CGCGCCGCCGGCGAGGGCATCAGCAGCGCGACGAGCCCGTCGCCGGGAGGGCGCCGCCGCGACTCCTCCTCCATGGTCGTCCGCAGCGCTTCTTGCCAGTGCTTGGACTCGCGCTGCCCCCGCCCACCGGGGCTCGAGGGGGAGGAGGAGGAGAGCTCGGGCTTGGGCAGCTTGTACGTCTTGGCAGGGTCGTGCCGCGATAGCGAGACGAGCGCGGACGCGGAGGTCGGGTCCAGGCGCAGGGTGTAGAACGGCTGCGAGGCGGAGGACAGCGTGTACACGGGCGCGTCCTTGAGCTGCGACAGCTTCAGGCAGAAGACGCGGCCCTCGGAGGGCGCGGCCTTCCAGCCGTTGGTGGCCTTCCAGAATGTCTTGAGCTCCTCGGTGGTGCTTGTAGTGGGGATCACGGGCGGGCTCAGCGAGCTGGCGCGCGGATGGGCGCGGTGCACCGCCGAAAACGGTGTCGTGTCCTGCTGCTGCTGCTGCTGCTGCTGCTGCTGCTGCTGCTGGCGATAGCGTGGAGGGGGAGCGCTGCGGGGCAGCTCGGGCACCGGCTCGGTGGTGGTGCTGGTGTAGGCCTGGCCGATGCTCATGACTTCCGGGTCGTAGTAGCTCTGGCGGCTGATGACGGCTCGGGGAATGTGGGACAGGCTCATCTGTGTCGGCCCGTAGGCTTGCTGGTCCAGAGGCAGGTCCAGGTTGTAGGTCGGAAAGATGGACCGGAGAGGTGCTGGTGCGGCGGATGACGACGGACCGGCGGCGCCGACACCGCTGTCGTCGGTGAGGGGCGGCTTGGCGATGGAGCTGCGTGAGCGGACGCTGCTGCTCCGCCCGGGAATGCTGGCGACCGGCTGCGGCGAGGCGACGGAGCTGGAGACGGGGTCGAACTGCAGCGGCGTGTGGGTGGTGGTGGGTACTTGCGTCGTCGTGTCTGGCCGGGGCGGCGACGACTCTGGGGATTCCGAGTCTGAGAAGCGGCCTGGTGGCGTGTTCAGCCTCTGATGCTGCTGCTGTTGCTCGTGGTTTTGCCGGAGTTGCTGCTCCTGCTCCTGTCGGGCCCGTTCCCGCGATGCCGAACGCTTTGGCCGGGGGTTGGGATGTAGACGGATGACGGGCGGCGGCGGTCGCGACACGTTGGGGTTGGGGAAAAGCGAGAAGCTGCTGCTATTTTGGGCGCCGCCGGCCAGAGGCTGTTGCGTTGCCATTTTGTATCGCCTTCTCTTTTTCCTTCTCTCGTTCTTGTCCTCTTTTTGTTGCTGTCTGGGTCCGGTGAGGACAAGGTCACTGCGGTTTGTATATATTCCAGGGTGCGACAAACACAGCTATTCAGGGACAATGTGGTACCCAATAAAGGATAAAAATAGAAGGGAAAAAGAAAAGTCGGACGATAATCATAAATGAACCTGCATGTCCTCGTGGCCGCTGTGGAACAAACCACCCCCTACCGTTTAATCAATCGAGACAAGGCAGGGACCTTGTCCTGCGTGTCGCGGACCGATGCGTGCGCAACCGCAAGAGCTAAAAGGGGACAATTAATTGCAGGACGGCATCACAGGCCCGAGCATGCGAGGAAGGGGACGAGGGTGGTACCAAAAGCTGTGGTGAGGCTGGCTACACAAGACATGATATAAGTCTGTAGGCGCCGTGATGGGCCGCAAGCTTGAAGTTCTCCAACTCACCCCCCATGCCTAGCTTCAGCGCCTTTGTTTTCTCGCAGGCTGGATTTTCAAAGTCTAGCTTCCTCTTCCTACCCGCCCGCCCAGCAAATCCTTCCTCAGGGCGGTATGATTGGGTGCTGGGCCACAAGGTTAGTGTCCGAACGCTGCAGGTCTGCCACACCACGGCAGTGAGGTGCAGCCTGCTGCAGGTGGGTGTAGGGCGGGCTGATCTATTCTTGGGAGAGGAAGAAGCAGCCACACTCAGCTGGGTTACCATTTTAAGCGCCCAGCATGTTATAACACCCGGACGATCTGAGGACGGGGCCAGGACGGCTGGACCACTCATAGCAAGCCCACCCCATACAATGGAAGCCCCCCCCCATTGTTACTCTCCAAAATCAATGTAACCGACTTGGTGGAGAAGGGAGCAGCCGTCGCTGACGATTTGTGCAATGTGTAACCAATCGCGAGAGCCCTGCTAGCGCCCGGCCATGTGGCTGGCGAAGACAGCGGCGCGATTGGGTCGAGATGGGGAAGAGTTACGGGGAGGGCCCTTGCAATGTGGTCGGCGGTCGACTCAATCATCTGCAAGGGTACATCGGAGGACGGAATCTGTGTCCAGTTAAGGATGGTGCAATATTGACTTGATTGGCCTACGGTGCTCCTATGACAAAGAGTAATTCGTACTTAAGGCCGTATCTACTACATACGATTCTAATAGCCATTAAATAGGCAAGATATAGGGCAGAAATAAGACCTGGGTGGAAAGCTGAATAGAGAATATTAGAATGATAATAAAGGTAAGAGAGATAGGAAAGACAAGGAGGATCAGGAAGGCATGAAAGATTAAAATCGGGGAAAAAAGAATAAATAATTCCAGCGCGAGACACGACTCCCGAAAGCGACCTCCGTAATGGAATGAGTTATTAATGGAGCATGCATTCGGGAATATCCGTGTCTCATCCATGCCGGCACTCATCAGATGGCGGCGACGTACAAGCAGATGACAGCAGATGACAGCATATGCAATGCTACTATAGTTGAGGAACAGTATTGATACCATTTTGATACCATTTGCTGACCCGAGATACCGATTGGTAACTCTGACACCTGTTAATGGATTTTATGTTCGTCTCGCATATATTTGACAAGAAAAAGGCATGGCTGGGGTAACATATCAGAAACAACGGCACATGATGCGTTGCATAAGCAATCACCGCTAGACCTCGCGCTCGAGCAAGGCTGGGCGGGGTCGTTTGTGATACCACCTTCACTTCATGGACTCGGCCATCACAAAGCATAATCCTCCGAAATTCTGGGATGAGCAGTCTTACCTTTCCCGGGAGATCCAATCCAGCGACATCATTGCATTAATCCAAGGCTGAAATCACCGTGCCCCCACGTTCCTGGGGCCATACCATGTGCACAGCGCTGACTCGGGTTCAGATATCGGCGCATCAAATGCGAAGGGGCCAAGCCGTCGTGCAAAAGATGCACAACATCCCCTGTCGAAATTATGCAGAAGCCTGTAGAGGTCAAGGTAGAAACAACGTGACAACGGAAAAGGACGACGAAAAAAAAAACAAAGACCCTCAGATTAGCTCTCTTGTGTTCTCACTGGAAACACACAGGACGCCAGCACCAGGCTACCCGAAAGTATGGCCAGGTCTGCTGGGACAATGCGAGCAGAGTCGAAACAAGTCGCAGGAGCAGGGAATAAAGACGCCAAAGCGTACGCAGAGCCGCAGCCAGCGTGACGATACGGTGCGAACGGGCTGGATGAGGAAGCGGGAGACACGAACCGTCGCGGTAGAACCCGCAAAAGGACAAGGAGTGCAAAACCAGGAGAACGCCGAAGCTTACTTGCTTGTACGCGTCGATGCCCCGCGGTTCTTCCTTGACCGAAGCGCCTCCCAACTCGACCCTCTGCCGCGTCAACATCGCATCCAGCACACCAACCACAGCCCTGGAATTCGCAAAGACCCTTCGTCTGCCCCCTTCATGCTTCTTCCCCGACCACTGTCGATGCTGTGGTTAAGCTGCAAATTTGGCTTGTTGGACTCTGGGTCATCACCGGGTCGAAAACACTAAGACTTCCCAAAGGAAGCGTATCTTGCTTGTTTGTGTATTTCCAAAACCAACCTCCTTCCCCGACCCGAAGACCTCTCCCCTTGTCCAGCAACACGCAGGAGCCCGGATTCCTGAGCTCGCCGGAACCGGAACCAGTGCGTCGAGTCAAAAGGAGCCACGGTTCCGTTCAGATCCTCGGGGCGAAATAGCGGATTCTCAGCCTGCTCCGATTGAAAACTATAGTTTTTCAAAAACATGTAGCAAAGCGCTTAGCTATTGCTTTCTTGTTTGTTCAAGGGTTGTCGGTCATTGCGGCTATATCGAATCCTTTCGAGTTGAGAAATCTGAATGGCCGTAGCCCCCTGCCTGGAAGCAGGCTAATGAACGAGTTTGCTGGCCCCCTACTTTCGTAGGAGTTCTAGCGAGTCGATCTGTCCGCGTCCCCTTGCGCGTGCTGTTGGACTGCGTGAGAGGCTGTTGGAGAAGGTCTGCTCAGATTTCTGTTCTTCATGCGGAAGCGGTCATGATAGTGACACTGCCACTTCACAAGGACCGCCCAGTGGCGACCTTGGTGTAGCGACAGGACACATTATCCCGAAAAGCGTGTGCTGGGATTATCCTCACTGCAGATTGGTTGTTTCATGGTGTCGGAGGCCAGACTTCTGGCCAGACGTGATGAAGCGTAGAACGTTTGCTGGTCGAAGAACACGGGACAAAGGAAATCGGCGGCTCAAGCTCGAGCATGGCATATACTTATCGTGAGGGAAGATATTTATCCCTAATATTTCACAAATTGATCCAGGGGCGCAAAGCTGCGTCCTCGTAAAGGTGTTTCGCCGTCGTGCATCCAGACAGGCAAACACCAAACGGGCGGTCGAAGAGCTCGCGCCTGAGGAGCTCGCCTCAGCCAAGCCTGGCATGATAGAGGTTACGGTAGGGAGAATAGAAGCGTTTGACGTTTGCATCACAAGAAGGAAATCCTCTGCCGCGAGTGGTCTGATCAGTGATGGCATAGGAGTCAGGAAAGGGGAACCATGTCAGTTCCAGTTCAATTTCTGCCTGCAAGACCGGCACGTGACTCAACGTGAGTCGTTTCTGAGCCGCCGGCGAGCAAGGATAGTGCGTTTCGGAGTAAAATACAATAGTTTTCGCTTGAAGCATATTTTCCATGTCCAAAAAAGAATAGAGTAGATGTCGTGTAGATGTGGTGTAGATGTTAAACGTTGAGTTGGCGCGACAGGGCGCGTTGGTAGAGTTTAGTTGAGTGGGGCTGGCTTGTGGCTCTCCAAATTGTCGTCACAGAGCAACCGAGACCGATTTTCACCATTTCTCTGCACGACAATACCTCCATCAACAGACAGTCGCCTGCAGCCGGCGCAAAGCAAATACACATCATGGTGCGTACTCGGCGCAGGCAACCACCCATACTCAACACATAGCTAACCCGCAAAACCCCAGGCGCGAAATTCGGAAAAGGCGCAGTCGATGCTGTTTCGCTTCCGCGAGGCGCAGGCTGCCGACCTGGGCATCGTCGACACGGGCCGCGCGCGACGCCCGCGCGCCATCACCGAAGTCGAGTCGATCCCTGTGTGCGAGAAGTGGCGCGGGCAGGTGCTCCGGGAGATCTCGCGCAAGGTGTCGCGCATCCACGAGCCGGTGCTGAGCGACTACCAGATCCGGGACCTCAACGACGAGATCAACAAGCTGATGCGCGAGAAGCACATGTGGGAGGTGCAGATACGGAACCTCGGGGGGCCCAACTACATGCGCGGCGGCGGCGGCAAGGTCTACGACGACCAGGGGCGCGAGGTGCCCGGGGGCGGCAAGGGGTACCGGTACTTTGGGCGCGCCAAGGACCTGCCGGGCGTCAAGGAGCTGTTCGAGGCGGCGGCGGCGAAGAGCGCCGAGGACGGCAATAAGCCGCTGGAGACGAGCAAGGATCTGCGGAGGGCGGTCGACGCGGCGTACTACGGCTACGCGCCGGACGAGGAGGACGAGGCGCTGCTGCGGTACGAGGCAGAGAAGGAGCGACAGGCGATGGAGAACCTGCTCGGGGACGGCGTACAGGAACCCCCAGAGGGGTGGGAGCCGCTGCCGGGCGACTCGGGCGATGGACATGTCGTGAGCTTGCCAACGCTGGAGGATGTGCAGGAGGAGCTGATCGATCGCCGGCGGCGAAAGCTGCTGGAGCAGCTCTGATGAGGGAATTCCCTGGGTTCAAAATCGGAGTTTTTTTCGTCTTCTTAGATATGGCGTACCGGTGCTTGGATTGAAAATTGTATTCGTTGCTTCTTCTTCAACATCTTGACCCTTGTCGCGTCATGGCCGGCTGTATGGGACCAACGGAGGTGGCTGCGATAGGTTTGCCATGCGCAGCGAACATTGCAACTTGGTGTCCTTGTACGGCAGGATGAAGACTAAAGCATACCTACTCGTGACAAACATACCTGCTCTCGCGCTGGCCATGTATGAATCAGAATGATACGAAGGTATGCTGTGGGCTGGCTTCGTCTTGAATACAACGGCGGCGTTTGGAAGCCGTCCAATACCCTGCGATACGGTGACCATCAACCCGGCTGGCGCGAGACCTAGGCATGTCACAGGAATTCTAGGCTGGGGAAGACTGGCCAACAGACGTAGCAATTCTGGCCGACATATCGCTTCACGAGCCTGGCTCCGGCTAGCTCCCGGGGGGGGGGACTGGAAGACTATTGTAGCACACACACTCGATATTGAGTACATAATATCTATTCTTGATGGTTCAAGCAAAAAATCTGCCGGTCAGGGGCAACTGGCTAATGTGATGTTCATTTCGGGCTGCAGCATGCTAAAATGATGCTAGGCAAAACGATTTGCTGCCACCGCAGCGCTAACAATGGACCCTTGTAAAGTTCCTCTCGATGCGACCAGTAGTTTGGCGATGTTGTCTTGATTTGCTCAGAAGAAATTGAGACAATCTATAAACGGCTTCAGGGGTATGTATCTCTGGTGACCAGTTGGCCTCGAAGAGTCTAGCGTTGCACATTGGTTCGTTCAGTTTCTCGCCTGGGCTACCCTGAAATACCCCCGGTCTGCGCCGATCCAGGCTGGGTCATGCTGATCTTCCTCAAACTCTCTCCATGGGCAGTCATACCACTGGTAAACAATCCTTGTACGGAGATACAGATTGCCATTCATTCTTGTTGTGCTGGCTAGGCAAGTGCCTTGTCGCACACATGGGTGCACTGATGGCGCTTTTCCCGTGCCACATCAAATAGCAGTAGAAATTCATGGCCATCAGGCAAGTCACCAAGTGGCCATTCGCCAGACGCTTTCACCCGTGCAAGTGCAGCTACTGGTTCAGCGTGGTCGACGAAGAAGCTTGTATCCACCCCGCACTTGAGACCGGTCGTGTCTCCCGCGTCGAAGAGACTTCCTCGAAGGCTGGCGTTCTTGATATAGCGGACTGGAGATGCCGCCAGGACACCTCGGGCATGTTGCCTTGCGTACTCCAAAGCGGTCTGGGGCAACACGAGATCTGGCTCGGTTGAAATAACACTTGCCAAGTCAGCTACTGAATCAGAAGTACTTCCAAAGGCCTTGGCAAGCGTTTTGCAGGCAGCAGGATGAGAGCTTGCGATGCCGAATATCTCGTCGACCTTGTCAAAATGGGCGAGGAGAAGCATGGTCGCGAGACGCCGCTCCCGATAGTCTCGATGAACGACAAGCTGAGTAATCCAGCAGACCTGGCGGTTGTCGTATCGCCAACGGCAGGCAAAGGCGTGTCCTGCCAGGGTTCCATTCACAATCACTCTTGCATAGGAGCTTTGTGATCCTTCGGGGAGACATTCGGCTCTGAGGCGAGATGCGGTCATCTTCACGCGGCCGCCTGTCTGCGAGTGAGAAGAGGACAAGCCCATCTGCTACAGCTACTTACCTGGCTTGCCGACAGCGCCATTATGATGACCCCAGATCCCATAGTTCTCGGTAAAGAGCCGGGCAGCATCCTTTAGGATGTCATCGGTAACCTGGATACGATCAAACACTTCTGTGCAGAAGTTGCGCGACATGTTTTCGTCGAGGGTATGGCTTGTTTGGATTATTACCAGAATGTTGTGACCAGCGGGAAGCCACATCGAGCGCCCAAGCTGGTTTGGTGGCTGCCTGCCTAATAATTTACCACGACGCCAGTAAAGTACCTCTCCTTCAATGATAAGTCATACCAACTCGTGCATGCAGTCTGGCCTCGTCTTGTATGCATTGCTGTCCTGTTACAGCGTCTACAGGGTATTCTATACACTGAGGAGACGCTGGCACATCTTTTAAAATCCGCTCCTCGAATTACATTCTACTCAGCAAGCCCTTGTCTATACTTGAGCAATGGTGTTTATTTTTCGTTTTATTTTTGCCAACCACAATCAGAACCGGTTCGATAATATCAGTCCTTTTCCGAGCCGGACAATCTTACCCTATATTCTGCCAGGCGTGTAGATACATCCACCCCGTTCCATGTCTCTTTCGCGCTTGAAGCTGGCGAGAAGTCGGGCAGACCAATCTGTTCAATGGCAAAACTTGCCGCTACAGAGCCAGCGATGGCTGCCTCTCTCGCATCATCTGTTTTCAGAAAGGCCACGGTAAAAGCGCCGAGAAAGACATTTCCAGCACCGGTAGTATCTACGACCACGGGCGACGTAGAATCGAAGAATGCTGGTAACCAGTCGACCCCGGTCTTTCGCGACAGTGTCATGCAGCCATGCTCTCCACAGCGCACAACCACGAGCCCATCCTTGTCCAGACCAATGCCGGCATCGAGAAAGAGTCTAGCCCGGCACTCGACATCTTCGCGGGAAAAAGGCAAGTCACCGTCGCAAGGGCCATCTGCCGTCAGAGACTCAAGCTCAAGGTGGTTTGGCGAGAAGACGTCCACAAGCTTGCAAGCTTGCAGATGTTGCTCCAGGAGGTCCTTTTTGCAGAATAGTGGCGCGGGCTCCCATACGATGAGTGGTCTTCGTTCTCCGACGAGACTCCGCAATGAGAGAAGCGAGTCAGCCATTTCCTGAAGCAGCTCTGGACGTACCAGGAAATGAAACCCCCGTGATCTGATCAGCGGGCTATTTTGCAGGTCGGACGGGTGAGGTTGCAGCGGTGGCGTGAGGTATCGAAATGTTCTCTCTGCTCAAGTCAGCCCCGGCAACCGCTTGACAATCACGTAGTGAGGGACTCACGGCCACTTTCATCCTTGTGTTGTAAAAAGCCCCTAGTGGAGGGGCTATTCGGTAGATTTTTGACTTTGAGCGTCACGTCCCACTGCTTGATCTGGTCCATCACAGTTTCCGGGAAGCCCTTGCCGGTGAGAATGACGGCACCAACAGTAGAGTCCATGAGTCTTGCTCCAAGCGTCGCTGTAGTGCGATTGTCAGAGATTCCTTATCTGCATAATATCAAGTTTGATGCTAACCATAGAGACCAGAGCCACCTGGCACATTGTAGAGTGTTTCTCGCGACGAGAAATGCAACTCATCTAGCACAGTCATGCCCAGCGACACAAACAGGGGACTTTTCTGCTTGGTGGACGGAGACGGCCACGCTTGCTCCATGGCTCCGAACCGCGGTAGACGCAAATGACACGCAGAGAGCAGCGCTTGGAGTAGCAACCTCCCCTCTGCTCTGCTGAGTTACGGTGAGGAGCCCAGCGCGAGTATTGTTGGTAGCTAAGCCGTTGCGCTGTGTGACGTGGCGACGCAGCAACCTCCCCCTCTGCCCACAGCGAATCAGAACAAAGAATGACTGGCTGATTTGAGCGATATACGACACCTGAGCCCGGATCACCCAGTCGACCTTCTTTCCACATTTGCTAGTCCTGGCCCTAACACGGCGGTTTCTTCGCTCTCACCATAGTTTACTGGCGTCTGCGTCCGTAGCAAGCCTGATACTACCATCCCCATGGCGTCTCAGTCGCGAAAAACATACATCGAGCGTGGGAAGCTTCACCAGCACACAGTCGCCAAAAAGCTCTTCGAGATCGCAGACTCCAAAAAGTCAAACCCGGTCATCTCAGCCGATCTCGAGGATACAGATAGCTTACTCAAGTGTGCAGATGGTAAGTCTAATCTGGTGTAGCACTTGCAATGACCTCGGATATCGAGCTAGGTAGTGCTGTCTGCTGACAAGTGCAATCATAGGTCTTGGGCCATTTATTGCCGTTTTCAAGACTCACATCGACGTTGTGCGCGATTTTGGGGACCATACTATCCAGGGATTGAAGACGCTGGCTGGCTCAAAAGCATACCTTTATGATTTTTGAAGATCGCAAACTCGTCGACATTGGCAACACTGTCCAGAAACAGTACCACAACGGAGCTCTGCGGATCTCGGAATGGGCCGACATTGTCAATCTCAGCATACTTGGTGGCGAAGGCATTGTCCAAGCACTCACGCAGACCGTAACAGACCCCAACTTCCCTTTTTCCGGCCAGCGCGCTTTCCTTATCCTGGCCGAGATGACATCAAAGGGGAGTCTCGCGACCGGGCCTTACACACAGCAATGCATCGCAGCGGCTCGGAAATACCCCCATTCCACGATTGGGTTCGTGGCGACTCAGGCTCTTGCCACCGCCCAAGATGAGAGCGCAACGAGCCAGGAGGATCCCGGTGGTGTTCACCACCGGGATCAATATGAAGAGCAGCGGAGATAAACTCGGACAGCAGTACCAGAGCCCGGCGGATGCGGTCGGTCGAGGTGCCGATTTTATTATTGCAGGGCGCGGGATCTACGCTTCTTCTGACCCGATTGCTGCAGCGAAAGAATAGGAGGGCCTGGGGCCGGCAAAGGGACGCAATGCGAAGTAATCTGTCGCAAGTTCAAGGTCGCACACATTAGCATCGGAGAGGTCTTTCGAGCGGAGGCGGCCAACGAGGACACTCCCCATCGCGAAATCATCAAACAAAACATGCTGGCGGGCACCTTCGCACCCAAGGAGATCAGCATGGCGGTTGTCCAATCGCACGTGAAGAAAGCTGCACAAAGTGGCATCAACGGGTTTGTCCTTGAAGGTAAGTCTAGGAGTAGCTCGCCGTGCGGCTCGGCAACCATGGTACTAATTGTTGCAGGGTTTCCACGACATTTGGCGCAACTGCATTACTTTGAGAGCGTTGTCTGCCCCCTGAAGTGTGTAGTCTGCTGCAGTGCGCGGAAGAGATCATGGTCGATTGCCTGCTGGCACGGGGGCGGTTTGATGACAATGCACAATCGATTCGCGGCCGCCTTCTTACTTTCGGTACCACCATCGCGGAAGTGATCTCTCTTGTGCGGGAAAGGGACATATTTCATGTTGTCGATGCAGAGCAGCCTGTTGAAACTGTAAGCAAGCAGATGACCGAGATCTTTGCCGACTTTGCAGAGAAGCGAGAGTGGTTGGTGTAGGCGCCATATTCTCTGTGGATTCTCTGCGGCCAGGTTAGTAGTGGAGGAGGCGGGCTTTTTAGGTCATCTTGGCTTTTTTCCAGGGGGAGAGGCTGGTACCTTTGGCCAGAGGCTTCCGCGCATTGACTCAGGTCACTTATTCGCAGCTTGCCAGCTGTCACCTTTAATAATAAAAACTGGCTGCTGAACTTATAACTGGCCATGCTTTCTTTCTTCTCACGGCCCATCATCAGCATCTACCCGCCTACGTCCGATGAAATACTCTATCAACGAGATTGAGGCCAGAATAGAGAGTTGCAGCAGGCCAGGAAATAAATCGAGGGGGAGGGGGTTATATCTGTTCTTTTCATACTATGACGAATGATGATCTGGCCAACAACTGAAATCATACAAAATATCCCAGCCCCAGCCTACCTGTTGGTCCGTTCTACTGGTGTTCCGTGATGTGTTGGGCTGTCCAAGCGGCCAGCTCATGTTGCAAGTGATCAAAGACGGCACTGCTGGAGGACAGAAGATCGCGACAGGGAAACAGCACCGGGAGTTCTTGAAGAAAGCAATTTCAGCCTGTCATTTGTAGATCAACAGTATCCGCAATTCAAAGACGCCAAACTGTTCTAGTTTAAATTATTATTATTAGCTCCCCAGGGAGCCAACTTGCGACCAGGGCTGCCAATATGTGAGACCCTCCCAGGATGGACCCTGGCCATTTCCCCAGTTCCCCTTCTCCTCCGCCATCCTTTCCATCTTGCATTCTGCATTCGCCTTCGCCTTTCTTTTTGCCGCTCTTTCTTCGTCGCATGCCCTCGTTGGCGCCCACGTTCCTTTCGTTCTTTTCCCGTTTTGAACTTCCTCGTTACCTCCCTGCATATATCTCGCTTACTATCCCTGCGGACCTGCGGTTCTAGCCGCCCACAACGAATCCCCGTTTGCGCGCCAACAAAGACTCGAAACAGCATCCCGACTTTTCTTGCGCATTGGTATTCCCAGTCTGCCATTCGACCCTTGTCTCAATCCTCAGCTTGCGGGACGCCTCTTTGTGCTCCTGAAGCTGTCACTGCCATTCCGACTCAGCCTGCGTTTGAACCTTATCCGTGCGAGCCTCCTTCTGGCTTTCCAAACCGCCACGACATCCGGGTGTCCACCCGGCCGCCAACAAACTAATTCGCTGTTCGTTGCGATCATACAACATGTAAATTGACTCGCCTTTCCTTGCAATCTTCCAGACTTGCTAAATTTCATCGACGCAGAATGGTCTCGTTCTTTGGCCTCAAATTTGGAAGCGACAAGAAAAAGGGCCTGTAAGTCGAACGTGTTGATACAGTGCCTAGCAACATCCGACTGATACCTATACGCACAGGGCCAAATCTGGTGACAAGAAAGGTCAAGATGGTTGGAAAGCAACAGAGCCGCCAGAATTAGCCCGCGGCCAGTTCTACGGCACATCTCAACCCCATGAGCATCTTGCCCGCCCTGGTACTTCTTACTCGTCGAAAGGCTCAACAAACTGGCGCCAAACTTTCAAGGGCTTTGGGGCCAATTCGTCCATGGTCGACTTGTCGCGCCCCATGCGCAAAGAAAGCGTCAGCAGCCTACGATACCCGTCCTCCGAGGCCAATCTTCGATCGCCAGCCTTGAACAGTAGTACTACGAAGCTTCCTCTACCCTCGGCTCTCGGTGGAAGCGGTCACCGAGTCGGTACCCCAGATCGGCCTTCCACAGCCAGCGGACACACAAAGGAGTGGGTAAATCCTCTCGATGTTCACTTTTGCAAGAATACTATTGGAGTACCTGTCCCGTCATCTGTCCATACGGATGGCCCGGTCAAGAGCCCACTTGCGATGCAATTTGGCGTGGATGACGACGAAGGTGACGTGGTGAAACCATCCAGCCCGCCGAAAGACAATGCATTACCTGTCAAGGAGATGACTCTCACTCACGGCTACCCATCTCCACCACAATCTGTCAATAACGCCGAGCAAGTCCTCTCACCGTCAGTGTCAGACTTTTCCACGTCCGGCAAGACTCATGGTGATCCTTCGTCTCTCCCTTCCCCGGCTACAACCGTTCCTCGTACTAGCGAAGATCGGTGGGAAGCCCCTGTCATTCGCAATGTGCTAGCGAAGCGCGACACGACTACTTTCCATTCACCTCGCCGCCGTAGTTTCACCATGGATCTGGAGCAGCAAGAACTCGAAAAACTGCGCAAGCAGAGGCAGACAGAGGGCTTCGCCGGTAGCTTCGCAGACTTTGACTTTGGCGAAATTATCACGAAGCAGGCGTCAATTGAGCAATTCCCAGAGCCGCCATCCACAATCTATGCTGCCAGCCCTGATCTCGAGCCATTTCCCACCTTTAAAAAAGACCAGACGCCGACGACCAAACCTGAAAATGCCTTCATCAGCTCAGCTCATACTGCGACAAAGGGGCCTGAGGGTGAACTCGGCACCTTTCAAAGGGATACTGAAGCAAGAGCCATGAATAACTCGCCGGAATTGATTACAAATTCCTTCCGACTTCCTCCTCCGGCGCCTGTTCCAGCTCCCCGGACAACCGCCCCCCGACCCGCAACGCTTTACGGCTTGGTTGGAGGAGCGCCTGCAGCCGCTGCCGGTGCTCATCCAGGAAACAGTCCTATGAGCACATTTGAGCCACCACCTCGCCTGGGATTCCGTGCTAGACTTGGCTCCGATGCTAGTAGCCGGCGAAAAACTGGCCCACCCAAGCCGTTAAAGACGAGTTCCTCGCAACCTAGCCTGCGACACAAGACCGTATTGCCTACGGCACATCATGACGAACCAAGCCCAAAGTCTTCCTTTCCACCAACATTGAATGGCGCAAATCAATATCCTAGTAATGAGGCATCGAAACGAAGCCTTGACATGAAGTCGCCCAAGAGTCCCTACAACATGCTCGCATTGGAGGGCGACTTTCCAGTCACGAAAGGTCTACCGAGAGGACGCCAGCCCCCTCGGAGACCCGCGCGATCTGACGAAGCCTCTTCACCCGAGCGTCCAGACTTTTCTTTGCCAGACTGGGGCTTGATCGACTCGGCGGAGCCTCGACACTCGGCAATGCCACCTCCCCTTGCGACTAACAGCCAGCCAAGGCCTTCGATCTCCTCTGCCATCGACATGAACCTCCCGAGTCCTTCTTTCGCATCCCTAGAGCTGTCTATTTCCAGCTCAGGCGAAAGTCTTACGCAAGCGTTTGAGGATGCTCTCGAAAAGACGGCACTGTCTCCGGGCTTGGTCGGTGACTTTTTTGCCGTTGACACGAGCTGTACCAGCCCTACTGGAAATACCACGAGAGTTGAAGCCAAAAAGGCACCACCGCGACCTGCCCCCGTTACTCTCCCACCATCTCCCAAGAAGAGCACAGAACCGCGATCGGCCCCGCCCACGCAAAGCGAATTTGGAAATACTTTCATATAATACCTTGGCGCTGGTTTGGGATTTACTTCTTTTCTAATCTTGTGATCATGGCCTGAATTCTGTTTGATTGTGTTTCAAGTTATCTTCTATGTGCGATGGCGTATCTCTCTTTTTTTCTTTTTTCTTTCACCTCGTTAGCGCTGGAGGCCACCTACTGTTTTATTTCTAATTCTTATTGTCTCTTGAGGAGAAAAATGATGCACTCACAAAACGAACTGCAAGTCTGGGCATTGTATTGCATACAGTTTCTTTTTTTGTATGAATCGCTTTTCCGGAATGCGGACCAGAGTGGCTCGCGAATCGATTTTGGGTGGGATGGATAGCACGACTTTGATACCACAACGTAGAGCAGGGCTGAAAGTATTTGGCTGCAGGTTATCTTGAATTTATTTGCGTAAAGCGATTTGATACCGAAACGCGAGTACCTATGCAGTGAAAACTTGGATGATATCTTTATTTTTGATACAATTCATCTAGATTTTGGTTAGACTACTTCCGCTTTCTTTGCTGGTCAGCGCAAAAAGTTCTTCAAGTTGCCGCCAATGTGCTCGAGGTCGAGCAAGAACGTGTCGTGACCAAACAGGCTCATCTCCTCGCTCAGCTCTACGTGCGTGACGTTGCGGTTGCCAGCCAGACGGAGAGACTCGGCGACCTCGCGCTGCTGCCACGCCGGGAAGAGGATATCGCTAGCGACGCCCATGACCAGCGCAGGCGTGTCCCGCAGCGGCGCGAGACCCTGGATCAGGTCCTCCGGTGGACGCGAGGAGCCCGCCGGGGTCGCCTCGGAGACGTCAATCTGCGACTCGGGCTGCTCCTCGTACGGCTTGTCCGGCAGCGTCAGGCTGCAGGCGGCCGCGTCGGCCCCGCTCTGGCCGGCCGCCTGGCGGGCAGCGCGGCGCTGCTGGGTGGCGCGCTGGTTCTGCAGGCCGAGGTCGAAGAGGTCCATGGCCTTGCTGACGTAGAGGAGGGAGTTGGGGTCGTAGCTGAGGCACCACTTCTCGCCGGCGTGGTCGAGGTAGGTCTCGACGAGGAAGTCCGGGCAGAGCGCGGGCGGCCGGGAGGGGTCAGCGCGGCGGCGGCCGAAGCGGCGCTCCCACTCCGGGCCGGAGCGGTAGGTGACGGTGGCGATCTCGCGCGCCAGCTTCATGCCGGCGTGTGGCGGCACCCGCCCGTAGTAGAAGCCGCGGTTCCAGTTGGGGTCCATCATAAGCACCTGCCGCTGCGTGTGGCGCATGGCGATGCTGTACGGGTGGGAGCGCGCGCAGCCGCTGATGGACACGAGGCGGCCGACGCGCTCCGGGAAGAGCAAGCCGGCGGCGAGCGACTGCATGCCGCCCATGCTGGAGCCGACGCTGGCGTGCAGGCGGCGGACGCCGAGCGCGTCGAGGAGGCGGAACTGCGCGCGGACCATGTCCTGGATGGTGAGCACGGGGAAGTGCGTCGCGTAGCGCTCGCCGTGGCCCGGGTCGACGCTGGAAGGGCCCGTGGAGCCGTAGCACCCGCCGATCGGGTTGGTGCAGACGACGAAGTAGCGGTCGGTGTCGAGCGGCGCGCCGGGCCCGATGAAGCGCTCCCACCAGCCAGGCGACGGGTTCTCGGGCGTGGAGTGCGCGTGCGAGGAGGCGGACAGGCCGGTGTGCAGCAGGATGGCGTTGGACTGGTCGGCGTTGAGGGTGCCCCAGGTCTCGTAGGCGACGTCGAAGGAGGGCAGCACGCCGCCCCAGTCGAGGTGCAGCGGCTCGCGGCAGTGGTAGACTTGCGTGACGCCGGAGGTGTACGAGGGCTCGGGACCGCTGTGCGAGGAGGAGGTTGAGGCTGCTGCTTCCGCGGCGCCCTGCTGCAGAGTCGCGGAGCGGTTCTCCATGGCGTCTAAGCACGGGAACGCCATGGCGGGGTTGGAGGCCGCGCCCGAGCGGGCGGCTGCTGTGGTCTGGAAGGGGCGGGTGGAGGACGGTGGTGATGACGTTGCGACATGGCGTGGGATGAGGGCGGATGAGGGCGACGAGAGCGTGGGCCGGCGTAAGTGCCGAGCGGCCGCGGCGAGCTGCCGATGGGGCCTCATGGGGAATATGTGTGAGTGTATTTTGTTATGGAGGTATGTCGCTGGATGATTACAAAAATGCCAAAAGGGAAAAATGCAAATGGGAAGAACAGCGAGATTGATTAATTAACAAGGTTTGGGAAACGTGAAGAAGGGTGCTTTGAAATTCATGTTTGCCCGTTGAAGACGACTAGGCCGAAGCTGGAGCTCCATTCGCACACCATTTCACGTGCAGCGCCGGCCGGATCGCCGGCCGATGCCCCGACGACCCGATAGCGGAGGCTGCCGCGGGGTCTGGGGAGTGATGTAGTGAATGATGGATGTATACACGGGGTGGACTCGGAATTCGGCTTGTTTGTCATTTTGTTTATTCCATTACCGATTGAATTCGTTGTTGCCGCAGTTCGACCACGGGCGGATCCGACCACGCAAAGCAATCCTGCTGCCGGTAGAGGCTATTCAGAGTTCATGCAGCCGCAACGTACTACCACTCGGTCTGTAGATTACGGTCACATTTTGAATAAAATTTTAGCATTATAAGGAGCCAGTCATAGCGACAGTTTTGTCGTGTATAAGCCCTCGTGTTCCCTTGATCAGTTGCCAACTTTCTGCGCCATACTTGTGCTGTGAAGTAGTCGAGTAGCTTGGACAAAGCTACCCTATAGTTGTCCGAATTTGCAAGCACAACTTTACATACAGTAGGAGACATTTGTATAAATGAAGAGCAATACTCAACTCAAAGAAAGGCAGTGGAACTACCTGTTTCCTTCTTTATCAATAGAGGGAGACAATGCGGACAATAAAACGGCGTCTAAAAATGGCTTTGTTTTGTTGAGCTCTCTCTTTATGATGCTGAAGACAGAAGAGCCAATAGTATCCAAAATGTGCCATCTTTATTCTTCGTGATTTTTTATTTCTATTTATTCTTTGGCAAATTTGTAAGCACTTCAAGTACCTCTTTTTCCCAGCTGCTCCCTTCATGAGTATAGATTACGCGGCGAAGCTCTACAGAACCACGCTATTCAGCCTTGTCGACAACCATTAAACAGTCTAAATTTTAGTCTTCAAAAAACCCCGTAATGCTTGCGATAAGGGGAAAAGCCAGTCCCAGCATTCGGCGGCTTGTTCCAGGTACCGACCCGTCAAGTGGCAACGTGCTTGCGTTGCGCCAGCCAGACCCCAGCACAGCTGACGTCAATACAGCCAGCGCACTTGGAATGTGTCCCTTTTTAGTGAAGGCAGCGTCTGCATCTTTAACTCGTCAACACCTGAATAGATCACTGCCTATTTGCATCAACAGAAGGGTAGCTGCCCAGATTCTACCCTCACATTCATTCATCTTTAGATGAGCCAGAGGAGCGATATTTACAGTCTGCTCAACGCCACATCAGGACGTCATCCCCCTGAATTACCCCGCCATGTCCTACCGAATCATCCCGGCCAACATCATCAATCGCATCCAGGCTCTTGGCTTTGGCCCGACGCCTGCTGAGCCGAGCGAAGACCGATCCGCTGACGCTCCAGCTATACCCTACGCGGGACAGCACAATGCAGATGGCCACTACGACCCCTCTCCCATAGACGTTGTCGTCGTGCGCATCATGATCGCGAAGGCGACCAAGCTGCCCGTCGATGTTGTCGATGGCATTTTCGAGTTCGCCGAATACTGGGTGCGCACGACGACTGCTGCAGACTATACAGGGAATGTGCTTTCGGTACACTCGAGCAACAAGTTTCTCGTAAGCAAATGCCCCAGCTCGCCCCAGCAGGCAGCAAACAGGCGCTGATAGCTACAGGTTCGATCGCTGCCTATCGGTTTCACGAACGAGCACGGCGGCAACCTAGATTTGACCGGCGACGCCGCCACTGCGAAGCCATTACAAACTCAAATCTCGACCAAAACTCTCCCGAGATTGGCAGACTACCCGCTGCCAAAGCTACAAGGCCCCGTACGCAAAGTGGTTTTCAAGGTGACATCCCACGATCAGGGCTGGTCGGGTGAGACTGGTGGTCTGTACGAGAACTCTTGGACCTGGTTTGAAGCTGGCCTTGAGCGACTGGAAGAGTCTGATATCGGTAAGAGAAGCTTGTTACCTCGAATTCCACGCGCGTAACTGACTTGCATAGGCCCTCCTCAGGACCCTCCCCCCACCCCCCTCCATCGAGGAGCCCTTCGACCAGTATATCCGACCGTTACAGAAATCGCGCCACAGAAGAGAGACGCGGACGAGTCACAATCCCAGGAAGAGGGTGCTGCAAATGAGGAGGCAACTCCAGAAGAGCCCCGATTCGAGTACAGCTTCCCGCTGCTCCATAGCCCGAAATGGACAGTCTGCAAAAACAAGCGTGCCCATAGAGACTTTCAAGACCACGAAATTACGTGGACATGTTACGATGACATCAAACCTGATTCTGACGGCGGCAAGGCTCTAGAGGAGAATGGCCGTGGACGAGAAACCGGCGATGGCGAGTTTGTCCGTAGTTTACAGCTCGGCGACGTCGTGACGCTGTGGGCGAAGGCGAGGTTCCCCGGCTGGGTCAACAGCGTCAGAGCAGCGAGCATTGACGTGTACTGGGCAGCCACCTGAAGGGCAATTTTTTTCCCCTTGAAGAACACTATTGATTGAAATTAGTTTTAATGAGTTATGAGTAAATATCATCCCAGATTCCTGGTTGTTTCGCGACCGTCCGCGTTCTGCATTAGCTGGGGCCTTGCCGCCAACTGACCCGCTGTTTGTATGACCGCGACCGTTGACGGATGCTCGACGTAATGCTCGACGTAATGCTCGACTTTACGCCTTTACACTCTAATACATTGGTGCAGGGGGTTCGAGGTATGAATCGGTCGCTCTATGTCCTTATTCTTAATAGAAAATTGCCAGTCAAGCCATACCTTTTGCCAAGTCGCAATTTTTCCCTTCACCACCGCCTCCAGAGCACCATGTCTATCCACATCCGAACCAAAGAGGGCGTTCCCATCACCCTTCCGGAGGGCCTCACTGAGGACCAACTTTGGGCATTCAAGCCATTCACTGTGAGTTTTAACCACACTCTTCTGCCCACTGTATTCTCTTCACCACCGCTGACAACCGCAGACGTGGATGAGCACCCTTTCGCGCTCGCTGGCACTGCAGTCCTCGAGCGCGGAGCACCCCTTCCGCGCGGACCCGTACGTGCTGCGCTCCGTCACCGTGCAGGCGTTTGACCTCTTCGGCGGCGCCCGCGTCGGCTTCCTCAAGCTCGCGGCCGTCGTGTCCAACAACGCCGGCGAGACGCTCCCCGCCGCGGCCCTCCTGCGCGGGCCCAGCGTCGCCATGCTCGTCATGCTCCTCCCCGACGACGCCGCGAACGAGCGCCACGTCGTGCTGACCGTGCAGCCGCGCGTGCCCGCGGGCAGCCTGGCGTTTGCGGAGCTGCCGGCCGGCATGGTGGACGACGCGGGCAACTTTAAAGGCGTGGCGGCGCAGGAGATGCAGGAGGAGCTGGGCATGACGATCGCGGAGGGGGAGTTGACGTGCCTGAGCGAGTTGGCGGCGGAGCAGGAGGAGGAGGGCTTGCCGGCGGCAATGTTCCCGAGCGCGGGTGGGTGCGACGAGCATGTCACGCTGTACAGCTACGAGCGAAGGGTTTCGCGTGAGGAGCTGCGGAGCTGGAGCGGCAGGTTGACGGGGCTGCGTGATAGAGGGGAGAAGATCACGCTCAAGATTGTGCCGATGAAGGATGCGTGGAGGGCGGGCGCGCGGGATGCGAAGACGCTGGGCGCGTTGGCGCTGTGGGAAGGGCTGCGGCGAGAGGGCAAGGTCTAAAATTCTCATGGCATTTTCTAAACCTGTTAATGTTCTATTGTTTCCCCTTTCTAGGTATTATTGCATGAATCTGTCTTGTATAACTCGTATCCATGAACATGGGCGTCATGTCATGGCGTCTCTTCATCCTTAAAGCGTGAGCTGCTGCGCCAGGAGCACACCCTCCGCCAGGGTGCCGACGCGCGCGTCGATGGCCACGCCCTCGGCCTCGAGTCTCTTGCAGAGCCCCCAGAGGTCCGCGAGCGGGTGGGTGAAGACCTCGATGAACTCGTCGTCCTCGAGCTGCGGCCGCGGGTCGCGGTTCTCCGGCAGGCTGGCGTCGACGTGGATGTGGATCATGCGCAGGTTGGTGTTGCAGAAGCCCGGGTCGTTGAACATGACCGGGGAGGTCTCGGCGACGACGCCGACGTAGCCCGTCTCCTCGCGCAGCTCGCGGACGGCGGCCTGCTCGGGGGTCTCACCGGCGTCGACGAGGCCAGCGGGCATCTCGAGCGACACGCGGTCGATGGGCGGGCGGTACTGCCGCTGCAGGACGACGTGCTTGGCGCCGGTGGAAGGGTCGTCGAGGAGCGCGACGATGCCGACGCCGTCGATGGCGCTGCCGGTGGGACGGGTGCGCCGCTCGGCGGACTCCCACGTCCGCGCCTTGCCCGTCTGATCCTGGTAGTCGATCCTAGGGAAGAAAGAGGAGGGGAGGTTAGGTGAGCTGGAGGGAGACGGTGAGGGGGGCTGTTGAGATGTGTCGGTGAAGCTCACTTGACTAGCTTGATCCAACGGGCTTCTTCGTCGGGCTGTGAATCGGTCAGCGGCGGGTTCTCGTATTGTGGCAACGGACGCGTACCAGTGGCCCGGTGGCGAGTTGCTTGGGCCCTTCGTTGGAACCCATGATGGCTGTGATGATTTTGACAGGATGTGGTTGTTGTCTTGTATCATGGATATGAGGGTGAAGTGAGCTGGTACCCGACATACCCACCGAGGCTGCTTGGGCGGGTCAAAGTCGCAGCTCGCACTACTCTGTTGGGCGAGACACATCTGAAAGAGATGGGCAGTGTGTGTAATAGAGCGCGCGGAATTAATTATTTGGGATTTTATTCGGAAAGCCAGTTGATGTGCCATGTTGAGACGTATAGTGGCTGATATGTTTGTCAAGCGCAGAAGAAGGCGCTGAACTCCCCTGTGGTACACTCTGAGGTACCTCAAGGTAGATAGCAGGTATGAACAGTGATACTCTTTTCGCAAATGTACAAACATGTACGACATCTAGAACACGCTGTATACAGAAAACGCCTCGAGCTTCAGCTGTAAACAAGTTTCCATCTCCATTTTCTTCGTCACCAAGTGCCTTTTCCTTTCAGTAGCTTTCGCGGTTCGTCCATAAGACCCCGCTCTGTAGACGACTTCGCACCAGCTACAGGCACACACATCTTTTCTCCTGTCGCACTGCCTGACGTGATGCCCACGAGTCCCTTCGGGTCATTTGCCGCCAGCGCCGATGCATCATCCCCGGCTGAGGCTAGGCGAACCGCATGTTTCTCGAGATAGCCGACAATCAACCCCTTCACGACCGCGTTCCCCGATTTCTGCGCGAGCTGTAGCACCGACTCGCCTCGTTCGTTGACGTGTCTGACATGCGCCTCAACGCCGTCCTGCTGCAGCAGGTACTCGACGACCTCGGCGTGTCCCGCCAGGACGGCCGCGCCGACCGACTGGTGCGCACCTCGCAGGTCCGCGCTCGTTGCCCCGCGGCACGGCGCGCGCCACAGCTCGTCGCGGAGCTTCGCGTCGCGCCGGGCCGCCTCCATCAGCCGCTGCAAGATAGGCATGCAACCCCTCTTCGCCGCGATGCAGAGGAGCTCGTTGCCCCAGCGGCCTGCCACCATCGCGTCGGATGCCTCGTCGACGAGGTCGAACGCCTGATCCCAGTCATGGTGACGCGCCTCCACGAGATTCCACTGCCGCATCACCAATCGGAAGAAGTCGAGCGCGTGCATCTGGTCATTGAAGTCCTCGTGCGCAAACAGGATCGGCAATCTTGACAGGCTTCCCCATTGCAGGACCTGATCAGCTGCGGCAAGCGGCGAGTCGGGAAGGTAGCTGTCGGTGCTGAAGTCTGCGTTCCTGAGCAAGTGGTGGAGGATAGCATCGGAGCCGTAGAGTGACGCGATGGCTAACGGATCGTATAGCTCGGCGTCAAATTCGTACCTGGCCACGATGGCGCATCCGGGACGACAGCTTTGCTGAGTCCAGTTGTCGAGTCGAAGCGACCCGGCACGACACAGCCTCTCGAGATCGGCCACCGCCGGGAGCGGCTCCTGCGTAACGTGGGCCAAGTGCTCGATCCAAAAGGACGCCGCGTAGACAAAGAACTCCCCAAAGCCTCGCTCCGTCGGATCATAGCGATTCATGTCTTCCTCCCACGTGTCCCAGGTGCAGTCTAGGGTGAAGCTTTGCCGGCACTCGTCATCGCTGAAGAGGTCTGCCTCCTGGGGAAGCTCTATGACGGCGACTTGCCTTTGTGAAAACAAGGGCTGGGCAGCAATGTCATCGAGGAGCAAGTACCGGATGCAGAGATCCAGGATGGGCCGCTCCAATTCGTCGATGCGCCGGCCAACGATGTCCAGCCTCGGCTGCGTTGCGCCGGACACGTTTATTTGGCTGTCTGCAACGATAAACTCCTTTACTGACTGGTGCACCAGCCGTACCTGACGCTTCTTCAGATCTTGAAAGTCCACCTGGCTGACAAAGGGCTGGATGATACCCATGACCCGCTGACAGTCCATGAACTTCTCAACGTCGGACACTGTCGTGGCAGACTCGGCGGTGATTCCCACGGTCACGGCACAGGTGAGCTCACTTATGCTGAGATTGCGGCGTGTGGCCGCCAAAAACCTCAACGCGAGACGGGCGAGAGCCCTACTCTCTTGGTTGTCTGCGGTATGGCGATCGAGTATGCGCCTGTAGAGCGTGGATAGCTCGGACGGCAGCGGCAGATCCTTTAAAAACTCCCTCATCCGAGCCTCGGCCCTGATACCGCTGGCGTTGATCGTGGTAATGGTCATTTGGATCCAGATGGCACTTCCCTGCGCCAGCGGCGACAGCCGCTCCCGTATCAAGCACTTGACGTCCTCGGAGAGATGCGGTAGGTGCACCTCGACGAGCCTGCTTACGATCGCCGCGTCGCGCCTCAGGTCCGGCCCGAGATGGAGCAGCTCCGTGCCGCTCAGGAGCGCCAGGATCTCCTCCTGCGGCCGCGAGGAGAGCAGGTACTTGAGCTGCTTGTTATCGGCGGCCAGCCTGGCGAGGAACCCGACCAGCCGGTTCCGCGACTCCCGGGGGCACTCGTCCAGGCCGTCCACCACGAGCAGCAGTGGCCGGTCGAGCGAGGCCACGGTGCCCTCGAGGAAGTCCATGAGCCACTCTACATCGGCCGCAGGGTCCGGGGTCCCGCGCTCCCGCTTGACGCTCTTGTACCATTCGACGAAGGGCTTCTGTAGACCCTCGAGCTGCAGGAGGAGCGAGAGAACGAGGGCACGGAGGATGCTGGTGCAGTTGCCCGTGCTGTCGTCGCGGCAGTAGTAGTAGCAGAGCTTTGGGCGGACGACCTGCCCTTGGTTTCGCAGCGTGAAGAACTCGACGAGAAAGTTCATGCAGATGGTCTTGCCGAAGCCGGTGTCTCCGACCAGCGCGAGGCTTTGGCAGTTGTCGTCCGTGTACCATCGAACGACACGCGGGTCCGTCTCGAGGTATTCGCAGGCATCATAGGCTGTGAGCTCTCGCAAGTCTCTGTGATATCGAACCTGATCGCTCAAGTTCTCCCTCTTCAAGCAAATAGAGACTGAAGACTGTGAGTTTGCGACATGCCAGCACCGGTATTTGCAGCATACGTACTTTGTTGCTCGTAGACCATGTCTTCCACGTCCTTTAAAATCTGCGCTGTCGCTGCACCGATGACCTTTTGCAGAAACTCGGTTTGCTTGAGGAACTCGTTCACAATCTGGGGGAGGCGCTCCGATGCTATCATTGTCCGTAGCACCAAGGCGAAGCCTTTCTTGGTTACAATGTTGTAGGCGGCTTGGTAAAACTCGAGGAGTTTCTGGTATACCAGCACCAGGGCCTATTTTGTCGTGTCAAGACCGAACAATTCACCTGCCGTAAAAAATCAACTTACGCGATGAATGCCCTTTTGGTCCATCTTTTGGCCCAATGTGTCACAGGCATTGATGTACTGCATCTGATCCAGCATTTCCGCAATTTGCTTGGCGAAATCGGCTTCCGCGGCTGCGAGATGGACCGCAATCTGCATCATCGTTAGCCAAACAATTTCACTACTATTTTATTGTCATTATTCCATTGCTAGTAGCAGAGCCTCCCGGGATACTTACCGCCGTGACGCTTTTCACGACACCTAGCGCGGTCGAGGCAGCCGGATGAATGGCCCCCAGGGGAGATGCAACCTCGAGCACGAACTTGAGGTTCTCTAGGGACGGTTTGATGGAATGCAGTATTTTAATCCCTTTCACGGCGGCAGAAGTTTTCTCGGTCTGCTTGCCCAGCTGCTGCAGCTCAGTAAACATGCGCTCGGCGTTCTTGCCTGCCAGGATGGCGCCGTCCATCTCATCACCCATGTTCTCGAGAGCTTCATGGAAAGCCTTGCTCCAAATGTCGGAGCGGGAATTGTCAGGCGCGGCCGTTGCTTCAAGGTGCTCCTCCTCATCGCAGTGCGCCGCAGCGACCGGATGCTTGGCCGCGGGTGACAGGACAGGACTGGCCGGCGCATCATCCTCGGTGACGACGTTGGCTACCTCTTCTAGTGAAGCACCGACAGTCGTGATACTATTGCTAGAAACTTGTCTATCGATGACTTAATTAGCGCTCAGGTTTGCAAAGACTGTGTAATGAGTGAGTGTTCTTGCCTTGAATGGGAGGGATTACCCTGGAGCGGTTTAGCCGCATCGGCCTGCTGAGGTTGTGGAACGTGTCGTCTGAACAAGCCTTCTAGAGCAACCCTTAAGCGCTGGCGTTTGTGTATTTTATCCGTCATCTTGTGCGACATTTCCGGCAAGGAACGACGATCGAAGCATGTTCAGTGGGAAGGGGGGGAGCCTCGCTGCCATTCAACAAATGATTTGCAACGCGAATGGCTTAGTTCGACCCCAATTCTGCACCTTGTCAGGGGTATCAAGTAAAACCAGTAATATTTCCTCCAGCCGCTGTCTACAGCAGGGTAACCGTCCTACAAACCAGCCTCACCGGGCCGGGCCGCAGATCAGGCTGGACTAAGCATTTTACATAAGTTTGCATCTACTGGTAGGAAGCAGGCGGGTATTTTTGGACCGTTTCACTTTGAGCGTCCAGAAGCATGTTGTCTGACATGTTGATGAGTCCGGTGATCAGCTCGTGCGGGGATCGCGTTCTTCACATGCAGACTCAGTCTTCGTAGCCTCGACAACACCACAACCCTTAAACCAATCCTAGTGGTCGACCAGCGAGCGCTTACGGGTTCACCATTATTCACTGGACTGTCCTTTGCGCGCGTCGTCCTCCAAAGGAAACTTGACAGAAATGTGACTGGTCATGATTGCGCTGAAGAGAATGTAGACAGGAGGTGCTGTTGACGTCATGGCATGTCACTGCAAGTCGGGCTGTAGTTGGGTATGCATACGTTGTGGAAGGCGCTGTTTCCTCTTTGAACAGCTGAGGGGAAGGCGAGGGTATTTGGCGCTGTACTGGACAGCATGTTATTTCAACTGAAGGATGTGAGTGCGGTTGCTCGCACCTGCCGACGGCTCTTCAGAGCCCTTGATAATTTAATCTAGCATGGCAACAGCGAGCGTGCGCTTGCATGGGCAGTCGTTACGGTATACTAGAAGCGGTCAACAAGGCACTAATCCGCAATGCCTCAGATATCGGTGACGCGCTTGAGATCGCCGCACGAAATGGGAATGAGCAGGTAGCACGTCGACTACCCTCTATTCACCCCGGCGACCACCCTAGCAACGAGCCCGGCATGCCCGGTGCCGTGTGCCACGGCTACAACGCGCTTCGATGGGCAGTAGACGAGGGTAACCGGCGCGTGGCATGGCTCCTCCTCAACGCACCACACAAGGTGAACCTGGATGCCCGTGACGAGGTCGGCAGGTCGCCATTGTCGTACGCCGTGGGATTCGAGTGGGAGTGGGAAGATGTTGCAGGCCTGCCAGAGAAACTCCTCGAATCGGGGATAGTCAACGTTAATTCTCGGGATCACGAAGGTCGAACGCGGCTGTCGTATGCCATGGAGCATGATAACGATGCCGTAATACGGTTGATACTGGCTATAGGCCAGGTTGGCCTCAGCTCCCGGGATCGCGGAGGAAAAACGCCCCTTCACTGGGCCGCAATAGGAAGCGACGCGAATGTCGTTAGAATGATGTTGACTACGCATTAGATCGCCGATGTTGATCAGCAGGATGATAATGGAAAGACGCCATTGCAGCATGCTATGGGCCATGTTCGGTTTACTAAGGATATCGGGCATCTCAAAACGGACATGGCGGTAGCTATCGCCGAGGTGCTATTAACACTGGGCCAGGCCAATGTCAATTTACAGGATGAAGATGGAATAACGCCTTGAGCGCAGGCTGCGATGGACGGAGACCCGGCCATGATAAACATGATGTTAAGTTCGAGCCTGGTCGACCCTAATGTGCGGGATGATTGTGGAAGAACGCCATTTTCGTACCTTGCATCCAGTGGCAACGTGTCTGTCATTGACCGGCTGCTACGGGGTACAGTTTTTGTCGATCTTGATGCGGCAGGTTCTGACGGAAGGACGCCACTGTCGTACGCCGCCCAGGAGAACGACGAAGCTGTTGTTGGTCTACTCCTGGCTACGCGCTTAGTCCATGCCAACGAGCGCGATCGTCACGGAAGGACACCTTTGTCGTACGCTGCGCAGCACAACGACGCAGCCGTCATCGACCGGCTCCTGGCCTGGGGCTTAGCTCAGGCCGACGTGAAGAATCAGCAGGGAAGGACGCCTCTATCGTACGCTGCAGGTAGAGTCGGCTGGGACCCCCCAAAGCAAAAGCCAGAGAAGCGTGAGGAAACGTATTTGTCTGGCCTCGCCGAGAGACTACTGAGGGAGGGCGAATGGGCGAGGCCGCAGCCGGACATTTCTCCAAGGATGACAGGGCCGGACGCCGTTCATGTATGCCATCGATTCCTCGTGGGAGGGAAGACAAGAGAAAGTCAGTCTCCTCAGGTCTGATGAAGAAACTGACGACGAAGACACGAACATGTCCGACGCATCGTCGGAGGCGATCTATTGACGATACGGAGGCAATTTCCAGGCCGCGTCTGAGCTAGCACAATGAAGCGGCTACCGAGACCCATCAGCAGACACATTCTGGTTTATTTTGTCGATATTGGCCTTTGTGTTTGGCGTCAATATTCGACCTGGAGGAATATATGTTCGGGAGCTTGATATTGGTCGCTGGTGGGGTGAAACGGGTGTGTCGTTATGGGGGCCTGCAGGCGGGCTACGCGGGGCACTGGGTATGGTGTGGAGGTCGCTGAGCTATTTGCTTTGTGAATGAATTCTTTTGAATGCGGGAAGCGAGTGGTAAATGCAAGCCTGGACGAAGACCCAAGATTGTATGTTTTATTGGTCAAGGTTCAGATAATTCGAAATGAGAAAAGCCTTCAAGCAAGAGTGGGGGCAGAAGAAGCGGGGCAGAATGCGCACGTTCTCCGCAGCGGACTGTACCAATGTATGTACAGTAATCCCAAACACCACAAACACCAACCTGGCCTATAAGACTTAGAAGACATGGCTGCTGTCTATTATTACATTATTATTCAATACAGATCCATTCAATCTGGTCGCTGAGGTAGCAATTGGCTGCTCAAGAAAACTCGGAAGTACGGATCCCTACTCCGCGCGACTAGTGAATCTGGTTTGTTTGTTTGCTTGTTCATGTGAAGGCCCCCACAAGCATTGGGGCAGCAATATCCAATATCCGTACTTGTCAGCACTTACTTCGTCTGCCGGCAGTTACATCGAGACTAACAGGTACCTAGGCTTGCCAATAAATACTCCAGCAACTGTCCATGGACGAAGCCACGAAGAAACGAGGCAGAGAATGCGGCAGTAGTCTCACTACTAGCGACCTAGAATCCCCATCTCGAAAGAATCTGATGCACTAGATGGTGCCAAGCGTTGAGAGCCACATATCAGCCGGGAATATGAAATCGAAGCCCATCTCCGACAATGTGGCTGCGCTGGCGCCAGCCACCGTCGTCAGCGCCGTCCACGACGACAAGTCCTTGATCGAGGCGCCGTCCGACGAGACGCTCAAGGTCGCCCGAGGCGCCTCCCGCGAGTCCCAGCAAAAAGCCCGCGAAAACGAACCGAACCCGTCGACGACGGAGAAGCCCAACGCCGTCCCTGATGATGCGTTCGCCGGCGACGACGACCGAAAGGCGATGGTTGCCGAGACAAACGACGCCGCCCTCCTACACGAGGAGTCGCCGTACGAGGAGGTGCGCGCGGCGGTGCGCAACACGGACGGCGGGGAGGTGGCGAACACGGTCCGCGCCTGGATCTTGGGCATGCTGTTTGTGACCCTCGGCGCAGGCCTGAACATGTTTCTCAGCATGAGGTAGAATACCGGCGTCCCCGTATGCTAAAAAAGAAACTTGCTAACAGTCGCGGCCTTGCCACTATAATAGGAGCCCGGCGATTGCGTTCCCAGCCATCATCGTCCAGCTGCTCGTCTACCCGATTGGTTGCTTCTGGGCGCGCGTGGTGCCGACGCGCAAGTTCAAGGCCCCCTTTGGCGGCGGCCTTGAATGGACTTTCAACCCGGGCCCCTTCACCATCAAGGAGCACACCGTCGTTACGCTCATGGCCAATGTCACCTTTGGCTATGCCTACAGCACCGACGCGCTGCTCGCGTTGCAGGGCAAGCCCTTCTACGATCGCAACCTCGGCTGGGGCTTCGCTCTGCTCTTCACCCTCAGCTCGCAGCTCATCGGCATCGCCTTCGCCGGCGTATTCCGTCGCTTCCTCGTCTGGCCGGCCGCGATGCTGTGGCCGGCACAGTTCTCGAGCACCATCCTCATGTACGCGCTGCACGACCGCGGCAGCGGCGGGGCGAGCGCAAACGGATGGCGGATCAGCAGGTACAGCTGGTTCTGCCTGGCCGCGGCGGGTATGTTTGCGTACTACTGGCTCCCGGCCGTCGTCTTCCAGGGCTTGTCTGTCTTTTCGTTCCCGACCTGGATCCGACCTGACAACGTCGTCGTGAACCAGCTCTTTGGCGGCTACTCGGGGCTCTCCCTGCTACCCATCACGTTTGACTGGACGTACGTCACGGCGTACCTCGCCAACCCGCTACTCGCGCCAACGCACGCGCACGTCAACACGCTGGTCGGCCTGGTATGCTTCATGCTGCTGCCCATCGTCGGCATCACCTACACCGGGGCGCTGTGGTCCAAGTATTTGCCGCTGGTCACCTCGCAGGTGTACGACAATACCCAGAAAGGCTACACGGTGAACAATATTCTGGGCCCAGGCTTCACATTTGACGAGGAGAGCTACAAGCGGTACTCGCCGCTGTTCCTAAGCCCCGCGCTGGCACTCAACTACGGCCTCTCCTTCGCGGCGCTCATGTCGACCCTGGTGCATACGAGCCTGCACCACGGCAAGGAGATTTGGCATCGATTCCGCTCCTCACGCAATCAAGAGCCAGATGTTCATTTGAAGCTCATGAAAAGGTACCAAGAGGCCCCCGATTGGTGGTACGGGGCGCTTTTCCTGCTCTCGCTCGCCCTGGGTCTAGCTACCGTGCTCGCATACGACTCCCAGCTCCCCTGGTGGGCGTTTTTCGTCTCGCTTCTCCTGGCGGTCATCTTTATGATTCCCAGCTCCATGATCCTGGCCGTTTCCAACATTGTTATTAGTCTAAACGTCCTCTCCGCCTTCCTAGCCGGCTTCATGATCCCGGGCCGGCCGATCGGCGTCATGATGTTCAAAGTGTTTAGCGTCATCACCCTCGGCCAGGCGCAGACGTACTCTAGCGACCTGAAGCTCGGCCATTACATGAAGATTCCCCCCAAGGTGACATTTTGGTGCCAGGTGATCCCCACCATCTGGGCCGTCTTTGTGCAGATCGCGGTCATGAACTGGACGCTCGGCAACATTGAAGATGCATGCCAGGTGCACCAAAAAGACCACTTCACCTGCCCCAACGGCCGCGCATTCTTCTCTTCAAGTATCGTATGGGGTGTCATCGGGCCGCAGCGCATGTTTGGCGTTGGCAGCATGTACAGCCACTTCAACTGGTTCTGGCTCGCGGGCGTCGCTCTCCCGGTCTTGCTTTACCTCCTCGCCCACAAAGCAGGCATCCGTTTCTTCCGCCACTTCAACGCGCCCATCATGTTTGGCTCCATGGCATGGCTCCCTCCGGCGACGCCGCTCAGCTTCTCGTCCTGGGCCATTGTCGGCCTCATCTTCAACAAGTGGATTCACAACAGATGGAACGGTTGGTGGACCACGTATAACTACATCACGGCATCCGCTCTCGACGCAGGCTTGATCTTGAGCACCGTCATCATCTTCTTTGCCATTACATTCCCAGGTGTACCTATACCGCAGTGGTGGGGTAACGTCGCTGTACAAAACACCCTCGATGCGAGATATGCGGCAATGCTCAAGACAGTACCAAAGAATGGCACGTTCGGGCCAGAGACATGGTGAGCATGAAATGTTGCTGCTTGAATACGTTTTGGATCTGTGACGAAACTATACCCAATTTCTGAAATAAACATGATTGTTTTATACACCTCTGTCCTCCCACGTAGCATCAAATTGACCCGGAGCTCACGGCGCGTCTCCTAGACAGGCACGGGCTTGCCGACCTGGGGCGACCTGTCAATGCTGCACTTCCTGTCGCACCGCTCTCCGGCTGGCAGGATATTGTACAGCATGTCGATCCACTGGACGTTCTGGAAGGCCTCACCTCCCTCCGCCATCTGCCCCGTCCACACGCCGCCGTCGCTCCACGCGTTGAGCAGCACGAAGCTGGGGTCACGCGGCGCCTGAAACGTCTGCGTGTGCGCCTCGACGCCGTCGACGCTGAACGTTGTGCGTCCCGGCGTCCAGTCGAGACGGTGCGTGAGCCAGTCGGACCACCGACGGCCGCCCGGTAGCGCGGCCGCGTGCGAGGCGCCCCAGACGGTGGTGCCGTCGGTGCGGTACGACGGCTGGTTGGTGTAGTGCACCTGCGTGGCGTCGGGCTCGCGCGTGAGCATCTCGATGTCGGCCTCCTGCACGTCCTGCAGGAGCGGCGCGCCGCGGTAGGTGAAGACGGAGGTGCACGCGCCCGGGGCGCCGTGGCTGCGCGCGCGCACGCGGATGCTGGCGTGGTCGACCCTGTTGATGGACTGCAGCTCGGCGGCGGTCTGGAAGCCGGGCAGGCGCGAGGTGCGCATGGTCATGAAGGTGCTGCCCTGGCCGCCGTCCGGGTCGCGCTCAATGTACAGGTTGTTGCGCGTGACGACCATGGGGAACGTCTGGTTGTTGTTGGGCCACTGCTGGACGGACCAGAAGTCGGTGAAGGGGTTGGGCCCGCTGAAGAGGGAGGAGGTCGGGTGGGCGTGGAGATTTCCGGCGACGTCTGGGATGACTTTGGGTTGGCCGGGGCGAATCGGCAGCAAGCGAAAGTCCCAGAAGCTGTGGTTCCGGTAGTAGGCCGGGTGCTCGCCGTCGTTCACGTAGCAGTCGCACTGAAAGTCGTCGACGACGGCCTGGGCCCAGGTCAACTTGGCCGCGGCCGCGAGGAGGGCGACGAGTGATTTGGTGTACGCAGGCATGACTGAGATGGAGGTGTACTGCGGATGCTTGGCCTTTCGAGTCCAGTTGCGGCTCATGAGCAGCCGGCCGTGCCTTTTTGTACCATTTTTTTTTTTTTGAAATGATAGTAAGCGCCCGCCTCAGACATGCTTTGGGCGCCTTTTAATAATCACACACATACTGCCAGTAGGTCTCTCTCATCGAACTTGGCGGCGGATGTAGATGAGAAACAAGGCTGACAACCCGTTGGCCGGGCGTGGTGAAGGTTGCAGATAAATCAGCACTACGGTTTCAAGTGATGGGGGCGTAGATTTGTCTCAAAGAGAACATCACATGGCGTCAAACACAAATCATTCAAGTGATGGGGGTGGTGGATCAGGGGAAGATCCTGGTGAACATCTGGATGAGACGGGATGAAATAACGTGGCTTGAACAAAGAGGACATCTCGGTTCGAGTGCCGATTGATATCGCGATAAGGCAAGACATCCCTTTCAGGAAATGGTCAATCTAGAGGCGACTTTAAGAATGTGACCACTCTAGATTTGCCACGGGCGCTCTTTGTCCTCTTATCAGGGGGCTCTCGGCGCAATGTAAAATGTTGGTTGGTTGATGTGACATGCCATGTGATGAGGCTTGGCGAATGACATAGGATTCTTGAATGAGCAAAAAGGTTTCAAAAATGAGACAAGGTTATTCCAGAACTGGGAACCAACTGCCAGGCAAGCAACGAAAGCAAAGACATGCATAGGATGACTCAAAAAGAAACAAGTTTATTCTGAAGTAACTAGTTAGTTGACTTGTCAAGACTTGCCACTAAGGACGCTGACTTGTTGCAAAAAGAAAATACGCAAAGGATCTTCATCCTAGCAAATCATCGAATAATCTCCATGCACTCATTTCTTCAAGCTCATTTAAGCTTGTTATATACTCTAAATCCCTCAGTACTCATTCCTTCTAATTTTATCTTGCCGCTCAGGCTCAGCCTTGCTGCAGCTTGGGCCGCCAATGTGAGACCCTCGAGCCCTCGAGCCGGGCCGCAAGCAAGACAAGGCTGGGCTGAAGCCGGCGCCTGAATTTCCGAATCCTACCTCCCTCGCACGAGTATCTCGGAACTCACGCCGAGTTCGTAGTTGCGCATGTCAGTTGCCAGTTGTTACTCGCATCGTGGGGTGAGTTGGCCAGGCCGGAGAGGGAGCTAACTATGTAAGAGGGAAGAGAAACCGAAGAGGCGTCTGAATCGGGGCAGCAACGGCGGCCTGACGGGTTCTTGGATCAGCCCGAGCGGATAAGGGGGATAACTAGGGGGTGGCGGCATCAACTGGGTCATGCCAAGAACTAACTCGTTAACTCGTGCTCTTGTTCGGAGCTCGGAGATCTACTTGGTGACGATGTATATATCCGTAACTTCTCTAATAACAAAAAGTTGGTGTACCTTTCTTGGCAAGCCGGGGGCATTGGGGTTGTCGAAAATATCTTCGCCGACTTCATTTCCCGTTGTAGGAAATGTCGCATGTAGGAGCACGATTTAAGTAGCACCATCACATTTTAACGCGAAATATTTTGAAAAATCACTGTATTTGGTATGGAGCCCATGTCGCTCGCGCGATCCTGTCGTAATATGCCAAAAGGCTGGCCTTGTCTTGCGGACACTCGCCCTGCGTCAAGCTCCTCCCCTTCTTCATTTCCGCCTTGGCTTGCAGGCCTTGGAGTCATTCTTCTTTCCGCCTGGACGGTTGTCAATAAAAGACGGCAAACTAGAGAGTCGGCGCTGCCTTGCCTTTGATGTTGTGCTCGTACGCGATGGAGAACTCGCTGGTGTTGTACGACCTCCAGTGGGAAGCGTTGGCCGCGTCGCCAAAGTGGTCCAGGACATGCACCGCTAGCTGGTACTTCCCGGGAGGGACGTACCGGACCTCAGCAGCAGCAGCCCCCTGACCGGGCTTGTAGCTGCCGTCCCAGCGGAGGGTGACGTCGTTGTTGGCCGAGTGGCGCCCGAGGTAGCGCATGGGCGAGGAGGTGGTTTGGCCGATGGACTTGACGCCGCCGAACTCGGTCAGGTTCCCGCCGGGCACGCAGTTCTCGCCCGCTGACGACGACGCGCAGATGCTGAGCGGGACGATGTCGAAGCGCACCTCGGGGGACCCGAACGGGATGTATGTCCAGACGAGGATCTGCGAGACGGTCTTCCCGGCATCCGCTTGCGCGATGGAGGCGGGTTTCCCCGGAAGCTGCCCCTTCGACGGCGGGTTCTTCAGGATGAAGGCTTCGGTGTCGGCGGGGACCGGCTCCTTGTCGGGCCCGTCGATCCGGAGCTGCGGGTTGGCATCCGCGAGGCTGTTGATGTAGCGCAGGGAGCCGGCCGCACCGAGGAACGGCACGCTCAGGTTGGTCCCGTCCGTGCCGTTGACCACGACCCAGCCAGACCAGATCAGCAGTTTCGGCGGCTCGCCAAAGCCGAGGCCGGTCGGATCGGCCGCGGTGACCTTGATGGTCGCCGACTTGCCTGGGGCGAGGGTGAGGGAGTCCTGGCTGAGCTTGACGTCGGCGGCGGCCTTGTCGACGCGCTCCGCTTGGAGAGGATTGGGGTCTGCGTAGCTGAACTCGATGGTGTTGAGCGTCGGCGCGTGCAGGCTGGAGAGGTTGTAGGTGACCTCCTTCTCGGCGGTGTTGGTGATCTTGAGGCTCAGCGAGGGCACGCGGTGCTCAGTGTCGTTGAAGGCCAGGCTGGCGGGCTCAACCAGCGTGGTCGCGTGCGCGGCGTTCCACGCATCGACTAACCCGCCGCCCTGCTGGATGACGGACGCGAGCCCGGAGCCGGAGGACGCTTGCTGCGGCTTGGCCGTCGACATGAGCCGGTGGCGAATCGCGTCCGCATCAATCTTTGCTGGCACCGCTCCGCCCTTGCCACCGGTGCTCAGCGCCTCGGCGACCAGGGCGCCGACGCCGGCGACGAACGGCGCCGCGTACGAGGTTCCGCTCAGCTTCATGTAGGTGTTGTTCAGCCAAAGCACCGGGACGTCGATGCCGGGCGCGCCGAGACTCGGCTTGACATCGAGGTTCCACGAGGGACCCAGCGAGGCGTAGCCGTCGCCGACTAACTTCTCGGAGAAGGTGCTGACGGAGAGCACGTCTTTGCCGGCGCCGGGGCTCACGACGTTGAAGGCGCCGGCGGCGGCCGAGTTGCCGGCCGAGTTGACGCAGACGACGCCGCTGGCGGCTATGCGTGCGACGGCGACGGACACGGCGCTGTCGGCCCAGGCGCCCTCCCACCCGGTGGAGGAGACGATGATATGCGCGCCGTCCTCGGCAGCGCGCAGCCAACCCTTGAGCAGCCCGCCGAAGGTTCCGGAGTGCTTGCAGTCGAGCACGCGGTAGGCTAGGAGGGTGGCGTTGGGGGCGACGCCGAGGTAGCCGGAGGAGGAGGAGCCGGCGACCATACCGGCGACGGCGGTGCCGTGGCCGTAGCAGTCCTTGGGGTCGCCCGGGGTGCCACCGGAGGCAAAGTTGTCGCCAAGGGCTACCTTGCAGCCCTTGCCGAAGCAGCCGCCCAGCGCCTCGTGTGTGTAGTCGACCTGTTGTCATCTCGCGTGAGTATCAGAGGCGGGGAGGGGGGGATGGGTTTTTCTGTCTTTGGGGAGGGGGGGTAACGTACGCCAGTGTCGACGATGGCGACCTTGATTCCTTCGCCTTTAAACCCTGCCTCGTGCATCTTGTCAACATGCGTGATGGCATTGGGCCAAAGGGCACCCTTGGTGTCCCTCGCCTCGTGCTGTTGGGGGGCATCAGGCTGCGAAGTCTTTTTCTCATTCTGCCCTGCCTGCTTCGGGGCCTCGTCTCCGATTTCCAAGCCTATCTCTTCGTCCTCCCACACTTTGAACCCAGCAGCGAGGGCCCGGACGTCCATCTCACCCTGAACAGAAAGCCCGTAGAAGAAAGGAGAGTCAAACTTTTCAAGCACCTTTCCGCCCGCTGCCTCGACTGTCTTGACAAGAGATTCCACGTCCTGGCTAGTCTTGCCCTCAATGATGAAGGAATTGGCAACGGTCTTGCTGCCATTGTCTGTTGGGGGTTGGTTTGTCGCGGCCAACACGGGCGAGGAGACGGCTGCCGTGGCAAGCCACAGGAGGGTAGATAGCAAAGGACGAACCATGATTTCTTAGCTGTTGTACAGCTAACTCTTCCACGGCAAAGTTGGGAATGTGCGGCTATTTGATGGAAAGTGGTGCAACAACCGGGTAGCAGTAGAGGCCTTTTTCAACCTCTGGGATGTGGCCTTGTATTGCAGATCCAATCTGGTTTGCTTAGACAGGTTTGGGGATCCTGGCCATCATTTATATATCTCTCGATCTGATGGGAAATTATCTCATTGCAGAGGATACGGCCACATCTCCAATGTCTACGACAACGCACCCTCTCACGAGAGCATTCATACGATTCAGAGCAACAGCACTGTAATTTAGAAAAAGAGGCTATCAAGTGCACATTTCCTTACTTCTCGAGTCATAATTGCACATCACCCATTGACGAATAAAATTATATCCTGCTGCTTGGCGGGACTCTGTCGACAACTACATACTGTCTTGGCTAATGATGAGATCAGCTCGGCGACCAATGGCAGCCATGGGCTCGGCCAAACTGGCTGAAATTTCGGAGGTGAGTCTAATGCTGAGGCTGTCTTACTCGCTCGACAAATAGCATGATCTTTTCTACAATACCGTGCCCAAGGCATCTTGTCCCAACTGCGAACTCGTTCAGCTAAGAAGCGAGGCTCGGCCGAGCTATGCTGAGTCGAAAGGTAGGGTTGCATACGGCAGTGGCCAAGAGGAACTGACTGGTGTAGATGAGAGTATTACATGAAGTAATAAGTCACTCGAGACTGACTTGGTACGTAATCATGTATAGATTGCCCGGGAGTTTTCTATGGCGCTGCATGAAGTGGCCGATCGTACCTGGTCGAGAGCGCTCATTTTGGGGCAAGGCTGAGAAATAGCATGACAGATCGGCAACGTACCGGCATGGATTAGATGTAATGCAGTTTAAAAACTATGTATGCACGGCAAGACGTCGGACGCTTTGCCTTGTGCACTGCGGTAGTTGACTTGGCCTATTGGACAGCCCCTCGCCGATAGCCAGCCGATGACGAGATGATTGGTCTATTCAAGTATCGATACGACATGAAACATACAATAGAATAGAAGCGAATTCATAGGCATAGCATGGTTGCGGTGCAAGTGCATGTATGGCTTTTATGCATACTGGGTGCGGCATAGAGTCGCGTAGACGAATTATTCGCGTAGTCTTTCTAGGATGCAGAATTGGCCGAATTCAAGTCCGACGGCTCGAGGCGAGGCACCAGACACGCAACGCAAAATTTGCCTTGTTGCGAGACGTACAAAATGTGTCGTGGAGGTTCTAGCGAGAATCGACCGCGACCTGCTCTGCCCGTAGCATTGTCGCAAATCTAGACCCAACAGGACCGAGCATCAGTGGCAACTCCGCGGCGAATTGTGTTTACTTGCACATGGTTATTCAGCAGCCACATCTTGCAGCAGGAATGACAAAAGCCATCCTTGCATTCTGTGGGCGCGCGCTGGATGATGTTGCTTCGGGTTCGGATGCGGGTTCGGATCCTGATGGTGGCGCGAGAACAAGGTACAGGGTAGGCTGTGATGTGAGGGGAACTACGGAGTAGCGGTCACCACCAGCGTTTGTCATCTTACTCCCCGACCGCGTGTTCCGCGAGATGCGTGTTCCTGCATCCTCATCTGATTTAGTTTACGGGTATTTATTTCATCAACGTAGCACACGTACGGGGAACAAGGGGGCTAATGTCCGCAAGTTATCAGTGCCAGCATACGCGGCCATCGAGTCCGCTAGTTATCCGTTCACAAGCCAAAGGACAATCATCCGGGGGCCTGTGATGTCCGCGATCCGGCACCTACTGTACCTACATACGTACAGATGGTTACAGATTGACTAGCGTCTCAGTGATGAGCAAGTTCTGTTTCTCTCTCGGACAGAGCTAGCGCCGGCCTGTGGCTTGAAGGTGGTGGTGGGCTCTCTCCGTGGTGTCTCTCTTTCCATCTTTCTATACGCGTACAACGTACATCAGTGCTTAATAAAGTAACTGGAGCCACGCGGAACTTTGCTTCGCCAGAGACACCCATCTATACTAACTATAAATAGCTAGTCGACGGAAACGCGCTGTGACTTGACTGGTGGATATGGCTCGGGCTGCTGGTCTGCGGCCGAGCAATTTGACTTTTCGGGCCCGGGTGCTATGAATCGCCCCGAAAATCCCCACTGCCCATCGAAGTCCGCAAAAGAAAAAGAAAAAACCAAAAGCAAGAAAAACATGAATCATTTCTCGGGCAAAATGAGATCTGTGCTGATGTACTGAAACGGTAACTACACGGTTGCCAAGCGTATAGTTATGGGTTTGGTGGTATGCGGAGCTGAGCCGCCACCAATGTTGGCCCGACAAGGTAATAGAAGGGTAGTAATTTGCCTACCGAATGTCCCGAGACACAGCGGAAAGCCTCTGAATGCAATCTGTAATGCCTATGATGCTGCGATGCCGTTGTCGTGCTGCATGCTATATGCCGGGTGGCAACTCGACAGACAGCCTCAGCCTCACTTCCGGCTCGTCCCAAGCCAACCGGTAACTGGTCCAGCCCATCTAGTAATTTAGGTAGCAGACCCGCCGTCATATGCCAAGCAACTCGCCTAGTCCATGAGCTAATAAACCAACTCGTGCTGGAAAGCATCATGGGTACCCTTCGGGGTCCAAGGCTTGCGTGCTGGAGCCAGCCTGACCTGACTGGCCTGTTGATCTTGCGTATTCGCCCAGAACTTGTCCCCCGAAACCCCGCCTACTAACCTTATCCTATCCCGCTTGCCCGCATCTCGGACTTCCTCGTGTCTTTTGTCCCTAATTTGGTCGCTTTTGGTCCACCCGTGCTGACCAGCGTTTCGCGACTTAAACCCTGGTGCGCCAGCCGCCGTTTAGCTTGGCTCTCTTGTCCTTTTTTTTTTCTTTTCTTTTTTATATATAAAACCATTGGACTGTCCTGAAACTTGGAGGTACTTGTCACGGCTGGCGAACCGTGAATCTGGAGCAACCTCGTAAATATCGCGGCCACGCTGCTGCTTAGAGCTGCTCCTTCCTCCTCCTGCTTATCGCCATTTCGCTCCTGCCGAAAAATCACAATACACCTCCCTCCTCAGTTGCCGCGCTTCTGCGCGCACTGCATCAGTCTAATTCATCATGTCCATCGCCTATGGAATGACGGGCAGCAACGATGCCACAGCTGCTAAATATGGCGTCCCAAACACCAGCCCGCACTACAACCCCGACGACGTCGAGAACAACCTTGACGCCTCTACTGAAGACGGCTCACCTGCCGAGACGGTGGTCAAGGGCGAACATGACGACTCCAAAGAGATGCATCGCCGCGCCTCGGTCGTCCAGGCCCTCGCCCGGAGCTACTCCCGGGCCTCGGGCGCCGCTGGCGACAACCCGTTCCTGGCCGGCCCCGACTCACCGCTGAACCCGAGCTCGCCCAACTTCTCCGGCCGCGAATGGGCCAAGGCCATCGTCGAGCTCGTCTCGCAAGAGGGCTCCGCCTTCCGCACCGCCGGCGTGTGCTTTCAGAACCTCAACGTCTTCGGCTTCGGCACCGCCGCCGACTACCAAAAGGATGTCGGCAATGTCTGGCTCTCGGCCCTGGGCGGCATCCGCAACCTCATCACCAACAACAAGCAGCGCATCGACATCCTCCGCAACTTTGACGGCATCGTCCGCCGCGGCGAGATGCTCGTCGTCCTCGGGCCGCCCGGCTCCGGATGCTCGACCCTGCTCAAGACCATCTCGGGCGAGATGAACGGAATCTACGTCAACGACGACTCGTACATCAACTATCAGGGAATCGGGGCCAAGGAAATGTACAAGCATCACCGCGGTGAGGCCATCTACACGGCTGAGGTCGATGTCCACTTCCCCCAGCTCTCGGTTGGCGATACCCTCACCTTTGCCGCGCGTGCTCGTCAGCCGCGCCAGCTGCCGCAAGGGCTCAACAGAAACGAATTCGCCAACCATCTTCGCGAGGTCGTCATGGCCATGTTTGGCATCTCGCACACGGTCAACACCAAGGTCGGCAACGAATACGTCCGAGGTGTCTCCGGTGGCGAGCGCAAGCGTGTGACCATCGCCGAAGCCGCCTTGTCCGGAGCCCCCCTCCAGTGCTGGGACAATTCCACCCGTGGTCTGGATTCTGCCAATGCCATCGAGTTCTGCAAGACGCTCCGCCTCCAGACCGAGCTCTTCAACAGCACAGCCTGCGTCTCCATCTACCAGTCGCCCCAGACCGCCTACGACCTCTTCGACAAGGCCATGGTTCTCTACGAGGGCCGCCAGATCTTCTTTGGGCACGCCAACGATGCGAGGCAGTACTTTATCGATCTCGGCTTCGAGTGTCCCGCTCGTCAGACCACGCCCGACTTCCTCACCTCGATGACCTCGCCGATCGAACGAATCATCCGTCCCGGGTTCGAAGGACGGACGCCGCGCACGCCCGACGAGTTCGCCACGGCGTGGAAGAACAGCGCCAACTACAAGGCTCTGCAGGCCGAGATTGAAGAGTACAAGACGAGCCATCCATTTGACGGTGAAGATGCCCAGGCCTTCCGTGCCCACAAGAAGGCTCAGCAGGCCAGGGGCCAGCGCAAGGCATCCCCCTTTACGCTCTCCTACACCCAGCAGATCCAGCTCTGTCTCTGGCGTGGCTGGAAACGTCTCACCGGCGATCCCAGTCTTACTGTTGGTTCGCTGATTGGAAACTTCATCATGGCTCTCATCATTGGCTCCGTCTTCTACAACCTTCAGAAGAATTCGTCGAGCTTCTTCCAACGCGGCTCCCTGCTCTTCTTCGCCTGTCTAATGAATGCCTTTGCCAGTGCGCTGGAGATTCTGACGCTCTATGCCCAACGCCCTATTGTCGAAAAACACTCTCGTTACGCCTTTTATCATCCATCCGCCGAAGCCATCTCGTCCATGATCTGCGACCTGCCGTATAAAATCGGTAACGGTGTCGTCTTCAACTTGGTCATCTATTTCATGACAAACCTGCGACGTGAGCCTGGACACTTCTTCTTCTTCCTGCTCATCTCCTACGCTACCGTTCTGGTCATGTCCATGATCTTCCGCACAATCGGCTCGGCTACTCGAACGCTCTTCCAAGCTCTTGTCCCTGCCGCCATTCTCATCCTTGCCTTGGTCATCTTCACTGGCTTTGTTCTGCCGACGAGATACATGCTGGGCTGGTGCAGATGGATTGGCTACATCAACCCGCTCGCATATGCGTTCGAGGCGCTCCTCGTCAATGAATTCCACGGCCAAGAGTTCCCGTGTACCGACTTTGTTCCCAACCCCGCGGTCGCAGGCTATGAGAACATCACGGGAGACCACCGCGTCTGCAGCACCATCGGCGCTGTTCAAGGTCGCACCAGTGTCAACGGCGATGTGTATGCTCGGATGGCCTTTGGCTATGAATGGGGGCACCGCTGGCGCAACTTTGGTATTGTCATTGCCTTCATCATCTTCTTCCTTTGCTGCTACATGGTTGCTGCCGAGTTCGTCTCCGAGAAGAAGTCAAAGGGCGAAGTCCTTGTGTATCGCCGAGGTCACAAGCCCGCTGCCGTTGAAAGTGCAGAGAGGAAGCACGACCCTGAAGCTGCCATGGCCAACATTGGCCCTGTTGTCACGGCAGAGCGCAGTCGCGGCCAGGATGGTGGTCTGCTGCAGGAGCAGACCTCCGTGTTCCAGTGGCATGATGTTTGCTACGATGTCAAGATCAAGAGCGAAACCCGCCGAATCCTGGACCATGTCGATGGCTGGGTGAAGCCCGGCACCCTGACTGCGCTGATGGGTGTGTCTGGAGCTGGAAAGACGACTCTGCTGGACTGTTTGGCTGACCGTGTCAATGTCGGTGTTTTGACTGGTGAAATGTTTGTCGATGGCCGACCTCGCGATACTTCTTTTCAGCGCAAAACCGGTTATGTTCAGCAGCAGGATCTTCATCTCCAGACCACGACCGTTCGCGAAGCCCTCATCTTCTCCGCTGTCCTCCGTCAGCCTGCCCATGTCCCTAGAGCTGAAAAGGTGGCATATGTCAACGAGGTCATCAAGCTTCTGGACATGCAAGAATACGCCGACGCTGTGGTTGGTGTCCCTGGTGAGGGTCTCAACGTTGAGCAGCGAAAGCGCCTCACCATCGGTGTTGAACTTGCCGCTAAGCCTCCGCTGCTGCTCTTTGTTGACGAGCCTACCTCTGGTCTTGATTCGCAAACCTCTTGGGCCATCTTGGACCTGCTGGAGAAGCTCACCAAGGCCGGCCAAGCCATCCTGTGCACCATTCACCAGCCCAGCGCCATGCTCTTCCAGCGATTCGATCGCCTCCTGTTCCTGGCCAAGGGCGGTAAAACTGTCTACTTTGGCGAGATTGGTGAAAACTCAAAGATAATGACCGACTACTTCACACGCTACAGCAAGAAGGAATGCCCCGAGGCTGCCAACCCCGCTGAATGGATGCTCGAGGTGATTGGTGCCGCTCCCGGCTCGCACACTGATCTCGACTGGTTCCAGACATGGCGCGACAGCCCTGAACACAGGGATGTTCTGCAGGAGTTGGAAAACATCAAGGCCGAGAAGCTGCGAGAATCCGAAAATGCCATTGGATCAGCACCCATCAACCAGGACCCCAACAGCTACCGCGAGTTTGCTGCGCCGTACACGGTTCAGCTGAAGGAGTGTCTTCACCGTGTCTTCCAGCAATACTGGCGCATGCCCATCTACATCTATTCCAAGACTGCTCTCTGCACCCTCGTTGCTCTCTTCGTCGGCTTTGTCTTCTTCCGCGCCCCGAACAGTGTTCAAGGCTTGCAGAATCAGATGTTTGCCATCTTCCAGCTGCTTACCGTCTTTGGTCAGATTGTTCAACAGTCCATGCCGCAGTTTGTCATTCAACGGTCACTCTACGAAGTCCGAGAGAGACCCTCCAAGGTCTATTCTTGGAAGGTCTTTATGCTTGCTCAGATCATTGTCGAACTTCCGTGGAACTCTCTCATGGCGGTCATCATGTACTTTGCCTGGTACTACCCGGTCGGCCTCTACCGCAACGCCGAGCCCACTGGTGATGTCACAGAACGCGGTGCTCTCATGTTCCTCTACCTGCTCATGTTCCTTCTCTTCACTGGTACCTTTTCCACCTTCATCATTGCCGGGTTCGAAACTGCCGAGGCGGGTGGTAACATGGCCAATCTCATGTTCACGCTCTGCCTCATCTTCTGTGGTGTCCTCGCCAATGAAAACAGCCTTCCCGGCTTCTGGCACTGGATGCTTACAGTCTCGCCATTCCGCTACATGATATCTGGCATGTTAGCAGTCGCGGTAGCCAACACGGATGTCGTGTGCGCCGACAATGAAATCGTCACTCTGCAGCCCCTCGGCGGAACTTGCATCGAGTATCTGGGAGCCTACATCGACAAGGTCGGCGGAAGCCTGCTCAACGGGAATGCAACCAAGGACTGCAAATTCTGCACCATTTCCGACACCAACACGTATCTCGCGGGCGTCAACAGCTACTACAAGGACAGGTGGCGCAACTTTGGCATCCTCTGGGTCTACGTCTTCTTCAACATCTTTGCTGCCCTGTTCATCTACTGGCTCGCGCGCGTGCCCAAGAAGAACAGCTTGAAGAACAAGAAGGAGGATTCGAAGAAGGGTGAAGCGCCCGTGGTTACGGAGGCTGCCAAGGCTTCGGAGAAGGAGAAGAACTAATTTAGATGGTGTTGTCCCATACACCGAATCATTCGCTTTCATTTTCTTGTTTTAAAATTGGGAGGATTATATACTATAGATTTCATCATGGCAAGCTCTAGTCTTGCCACAGATTTCATAATGTGTTTTTATCTACATTGATGGCTTTACCTCGATAGATTATTAGACTCGCTCATCATGTTCGGTTTCCTTATCGACAGTGTGTCTCTATTGGTTAAATGTGCTTTTACTTCGAATTTTCTTGCCGTTGAAGAGTAGCAGAAGCGGCGCAAAGGTGAGCGCAAGCCCGACGAACCCGAGCAAGCTGCTCGCCCAATCGTAACCCAATCGCTCATACATGGGCTTGGTGGCCAGCGGCAGAAACGCAGCAAACATGTTCTCGCCAAACGCGACCGCCGCGATCGCGCTGGCCGCGAACGCAGGGTAGGCATCCGTCACGTAGATGCTCGCCGAGTTGACCACCACCATGCTCGCAAAGCCGACCAGCGCCAGGCCGACCGCCGCGACGATCCAATGGGGTTGGTGCACGCTCCACCCGTACGCGAACAACCCCCCCGCGAGCGCGATCGGCGTCGCGGGCACGGCGAGGTGCAGGATGGTCTCGGGCGCGGGGGCGCGGGCGTACGCGCGGCACTGGAGAAGGCACGCGGCGAGCCCGAGGACCTGGCCGAGGCCGAGGGCGGCTTGGACGAGGCCGCTGCGGTAGGCGGGCCAGGAAAAGGCGGAGAGGAAGACGAGGGGGATGGACTGCGAGGAGAGGAAGACGAGGCCGAAGGCGAAGGAGGACCATAGCGTAAAGAGCGCGACGGTGAGCTCGGTGGTGAGGAGGAGGAAGGAGCGCGTGGTTGCGGTGCGCAGTTCTGCGAGAGCCGCCTTGGTGGTGGTGGTGGTGGTGGTGGGCGGAGAGGATTCGGCGCTGGCGGCGTCGGAGGAGGGGAAGTATAGCGGGTAGAGGACGGAGCCCCGCGTTTCCTTGAGAAAGAGGAAGACGGCGGGCGTCAAGGCGCCGCAGAGAATGAGCTGGATCCAGAATATCCTTGCATGTGTGTAAGCGGTGGGGTGGTTGTGAGCACGGGGGGAGGGCGGCGCTTACCAGCGCCAGGTGAGCGGCTCGACGACGGCGCCGAGCACGGGGCCCATGGTGACGCCAAAGACGAGGGAGAAGACGTAGAGGGTGAGAGGAAGGGTGCGGTCGCGGCTGTGCGGGAAGAGGTTGGCGGCGATGCCGTCGGCCGCGTTCTGCAGGGTGCCGCCGGCGGCGCCGGCGACGGCGCGGCAGGCGACGAGCGTGGCGAAGTTGGGCGCCAGCGCCTGCGGGGCAAGGAAGATGGTGAAGAGAACATGGCAGGTCTGCAGATGACTCCGTTAGTCAATTTTCCCCGTCCTTGGCATCCATGCAAGATTCCTGTGCATACCAGATACCCCAATCTCACGCCATAGGTGTCCATCAGCGGCAGTGTCGCGAGGGGCACCGCGGCGGCGGCGGCGTTCCAGGCGGTGACGGCGAAGAAGTTGTACTCGATGCTGCTGTCGGCGCCGAGGTGGAAGTCGGCGGAGAGCTCATCTGAGGCGGTGGTGATGGAGGTGGCGTTGAGGCCGACGACGAAGGTGACGACGAGGGCGGTGGACATGACGGACCACTTCTTGCGGCTCGGCCACGAGTACGGGTTGGCGGGATGCGCATCCCACTCTGGCGAGGGGCCATCTCCCATAGTTTTGGACGAGGCAGCGCTTTCATTGACCCAGGTTGAGTTTGTCAAGGAAGCAAGAGTTGGTCGTTTGTCAAGCATTCAACGACATGGAGATGATGCGTCACGTGCTCCACCAAACTTGCAACAATTTATCAACTAACTAGTCATCTCCGGGATTTCCCTCATTGATATCCATTGAACTATCTGTTCCGTTTTTTTTTCCCCCAACCGTCTTCTACGTCACCTAACCCGGACCCGGCATCCCCGCGGAAATACCAGTCTGAGGCTGCCCGGCATACCCTGCCACCAACCGAAAAAGGAAGGCCAGCAGCAAAGCCGAAGATGCCTGTCAAGACGAGTCGATTCACATAAAATGATGTCAATATTGGGAAATGATGAAGTGGTATTTATTACAATATTACCGGATTTATTAGTGGATAGCATCGCCAAGCCGATTCCACCGATGTGACGATTATCCCGTCGTACGGCCAAGCCCCCACGCGCTCCATCTGGCGGGCGGCCCAGACCCCGGCATTACGCAGGAGAATAACAATAATAATGCAAATATAGCAGATTCTGTGGTTCTGGACCTACTAACTACTCTGTCGCTGCCTTGGTATCATTACCCGCAAACAGACCGCGCACCAGCTCCGTGCAGTTCCGACCCGCCCCGACCCGGCCGTAGAACCTCTCGTCGATCCAGCCGAGCCACTCCGGCGCCGCCGCCTCGGGCGTGGCCGAGTGCTCCTGGCCCTCGTACAGCCTCAGGTGGACCTCGTTGCCCGCCTCGCACGCGCGTCGCCACGCCGCGCGCGTCGTCCCCATCAGCACCGTCGTGTCCGCCTCGCCCTGCACCACCAGCACCGGCGCCGGCGACCTGTCCCCCTGCGCCGCGCTGTGCTCCCGCTGCCACGCGCGCATCTGCCCCCTCCCGCGCGCCACGCCCTCCTCGTCGATGATCTCGCTCTTGCTCAGGCCCTTGACCATGGCGAACATGCCGGCGATGCAGACCTGGGCGCGCTCGGCGAGGCGGAGGCGGAGCTGCATGGGCGGCGCGGCGAGGCCGCTCCCGTTGAGGGAGGGCAGGCCGCGGGCGAGGGCAAAGGGGAGGTAGGTGAAGTAGCCGAGCAAAGCGGGGGTGTTGTCGGCGAGGTGGTCGAGGAACATGTCGACGACGTGGGTGGCGGGCGCGAGGGCGACGGTGCCGAGGTACGCGCTGTCGTTGCGGACGAGCGCGCTCTCGGCGAGCTTCCACGCGGCGCCGCCGCCCTGCGAGTGGCCGGCGGCCATCCAGCGGTCGCCGAGCACGTGGCTTCCGAGGGCGCGGCGGGCGGCGCGCACCGAGTGGTACACGTCCTCGAGGTGCGCCCGGTGCGAGAGGTACTTGTGGGTGGTGTAGTTGCTCCCGAGGCCGGCATAGTCGGTGGCGACGACGGCGTAGCCGCGCTGCACCAGCGGCTGCCACGTGCCGTAGTCGTACATGCCCGGCCCGTTGGACGGCGCGCACCCGGCGAACAGCCCGACCGTGCCGTGCGCCCACGCCACCACCGGGAGCCCCCCGCTGCTGTTGTCTCGCGTGCTGCGGGCCTGCGGGAGCGCGACGAACGCGGTGGCGGGCACGACGGAGCCGTCGAGGTCGCGCGAGGTGTACTGCAGCCGGAACAGGCTGGTGCCGGAGCTGACGAGCAGCTTGTCGTTGGCGTCGAGCGTCTCGAACTTGAGCACCTCGCCGGGCGGCAGGCGGGTGGTGAAGTTGGGCGCGGTGGCGTAGAAGGCGTGGTCAAAGTCGAGCCCGACGGAGAGCATGTCGGACGGCAGCGCCTGGCTGACGGCTGATTGGCACTCGTCGCCGCATCCGTATGCCGAGTAGGTGATGCCGGGGAGGATGAAGTTGGCCGCCTGGTTGGTGGCGGCCCCGGGGGTGAAGTTGGCGGCCTTGTCCGGGCCAATCCCAGCGGCGGCGGTAACCAGTTGGATGAGTGTCTTGACGTACATTTTTTGCTATCACTGATGGCTGATGCAGCGTGCTTTATGAGCCGTCCCGGATACTGAGGGTACGCTATTTATAATTGTCACAGTCATGATGACTACCATGATCCAATTGGACGCTTGTTGCTTCCATTCGTCATCAACAGGAGCCAGCTTCCACAGCGAGAATAGCGTCAACCCATCAAGGTTTGCAGAGTGGTTTCTTGATGGGATTAACGGTGAGTTGAAATGAATGATGAGATTATCCGCCGTAACCGATCCCTGCCCACAAGTATAAGTAGGCGGTGCAAAGGTCTAGCGTTGTACTTGTTAACCCGCACATCCGAACCGCTGTCCGCGGCATCACGGAGCTCTCGCGCCCCGAGACTAGAACTACTAGTATCTGGCAAGCGGTGGCCGCAGTTCCATCGAGATCCGTGCCGGAATATCGGAGGCTACAGTGCTAGGTTTGCTAGATGAAATAAATGAATTCAAGTCAGGGTTATTGTGCGGATATTTCATCTTGGGTCACTTGGCCGCGCGGTCAGATTATCGCAACTCATTGATGACGATACCGGACCCTGCAGTTGCACCCCAACTTATGACCAAAGGAATAAAACAGGAGAATTTAACTGATGTCACAAGTAGTAAAGTATATTCAGCGGTCTAGCTATTCTAGTTCCATGTCGTGCTGGCAGTATAAAGACTTGGCAAGTCGGTCGTCAAAGTACCAGGTCAGCATTTATCACCGTGCTTTGGCGACGACAAACACAACTCACCAAGTTGACCCGAACTGTGTAATCCTACACAAGGCATCCCAGTTGACGAACCGCCTCACCTAACCGCAGTGGGTGTAGGAGCTGATGGCGTTGGCGTAGTCGTTGGTGCCGTGGCAGCCGAGCGAAAAGGCCTCGATGCAGCGGAGGCGCGGGGCGGCGCAGGCCTTGTTCTTGTAGAAGGAGATCATCTGGCCGTTGCCGCCCTTCTTGATCATCTTGGCCGAGCGGTACGTCTTGGTGTAGGCGCAGGTGTTGTCGTAGACGTTGCGGCGCTCGACCATCTTGCCGCTGCAGTTGTCGCCCTCGTAGAGCTCGAAGACGGCGGCGCTGCTGAGGGCGGAGAAGAGGGTGATGATGGAGAGGAGCTTCATGGTATCGACGGGTATCTTTGAAGTATACCTTGGAGAAGGGAGATGAGTCTGAGAGTCTGATTCCGTTGAGTGTTGCGGATGTCTGGTTCTCAGGCGATGCAGACGAATATCTCGAGCTTTATATACATCTTCATGCACCGCGCTCGCGGCAATTTCCAATTCTGGGCAACTCTGAGCATCTCGAGAATTTCTTCTCTCTCGGAGACATAATACAAGAACCAACCCTTGGTTCCCTTCTCGAAGGTTGACCTAATCAGGCGGTGATTCGAGAAACGGACGAGCTATGATGCGGCTGACATGCTTGGCCAGCTACAATATGCAGTCAGATTCTTGGCCTTGGGCTCTGCTTCATGTCATGACTTTGAAGATCCTCTGAATTGGGCAGTTCCGATGTCTGGAAGGACGGAGCAGGCGAGACCTCATCCACCTAGCTGGACACACTTGGGCCCGTATGTATGCGGCAACTACCCAAATCGGAGTCGGACGGTCGCTGATCAGATTCGGTTGGAGATATCTGGGGCGTAAAGCTTAGATGAATGGCTTGCGCCACAAATTGACAAGCGGCTTGCCAAGTGCGCCAAGTTCTTCTGTGACCGCCTCGTTGATGCTGCCGCGGTCAGGTACCAGGAAGGTGGTGCAACTAAATTTCCAAAAATGAATAAATTCGGAAAAGAAAGTCATTCCATAAAGAAGCATCTGCCATGGCTATTCTCGTCGCCCGCTTTTTCTTTTAACACTACTACTTTATATCAGCAAGTTCTGAAGACTGGTAGACTTATACTCTGTAACACCTTTCCCAACAAGCTACTACACAATCTGCACAGCGCATCTCCGAATGAGGCATCTACTTTCATCTTTCCATCCCAGTACCATCCTAGCACTCTCGGACACATTTTATCCTGTCTCAGCCATACAAATAGCATTGTGAGGGCTGATTTGATCTTGGCAGGGTTCCACAACTTGTCTCTATTTGCTAGTCCAATTATGCGGGAGGACTCAGCAACGTGGCGCCGCTAAACGCGGGAGGCTGGTATAAGTAGTAATAAACATGGGCGATTTGGCAGGCCACGGATAGGAGATCGACGTCACAGGGACCGAGTTGTGTTGAGCTCAGCCTGATAACTAGACATTTGCCAAGCAAACTGCGACCAGTAAAAGAAAGTGTGCTTGCTCCCTGGCCTTGAGTTGACAAATTATCACGTGCTAAATCCCGGTGTCATCTCCTTTCGTCGTCTGTCATGATCTTCATCTTTCATCTGCGAACATCACACCCGTTCAGGCCGCGTATGCAGCCTCGAGGCGGTCCTTCATCCGACATGCCAGATTAAGTTGCCGAGAGATTCCGCAACCAGGACTCGAGTCCGTTTCAACTAGTGCTTGACTCTGGTCCATTTTCAACTACTGCTTGACTCTGTCCATTTCAACTACTGCTTGACTCCGTCCAGTTCAACTACTGCTTTGGAAATACTTGCCCCAATCCCAACCATGAGAGAAAAGGGGTCGGCCAACCCCGTCGTGATGGTTGTCCAAGGTCTTTTACAACTCCTCCGCGGCTCGGCGCGGCGAGCCTTGCTCTTCCGAGTCGTCCTCGCCATCCTCCTGGTCCCGGTTCTCTACCAGCTGCTCCCCCACGAGGCCAAGATCTTCCTGCTCAGCCAGCCGACGTCCGCGCGGTGCACCGCCGCGCAGCTCAACACCGACTACACCTGCCCGGCCGACTCCGCCGCGCGGCGCCCCGCGATCCCCAACGTGCTGCACCTGGTATACGTGCTGTCCGACCCGGTCGACGGCCACTTCCCGCTGCAGTTCAGCCACTTCCTGTCCGTCTACGCCGCCTGGCACCGCTGGCAACCCGACGCCATCTACCTGCACACCAACGTCGCCGCCAACAGCAGTGCCGTGCGACGCGCCCGCGACGGCGAGTCCGGCCGGTGGGCGCGGCACGTCTTTGCGATGCCCGGGCTGGTGGTCAACGAGGTGGCGGTGCCGACGCACGCGGGCAACGGCGTGCGCATCGCCGGCATGGAGCACCGCTCGGATTTCGTGCGCGTCCAGGCGGTGCACGACCTCGGCGGCGTCTATATTGACATGGACGTGCACTCGCTGAAGGATCTGCGGCCGCTGCGGGAGGCCGGGTACGGCGGCGTGGCGGGGAAGCAGACGGACGGGTGGGTCAACAGCGGCACGTTTATGTCGGAGCCGCGCGGGCGGATGATTTCACTGTGGAGGGAGCGCATGCACGAGACGTACGACGGGTGGTGGACGACGCATAGTAACAAGGCGCTGACGAGGGTCGCGGCGGAGCTGGCGAAGGCAGAGCCGTGCGCGATGCTGACGCTGCGGCCGGCGGCGTTTGCGCCGATGGGGTGGCGCTCGTTCAACACGGAGAGGCTGTTTGCGGAGCACTTTGAGGCGTCGCCGGTGTACTTGGGCGCGGACGGCGGGTTGCCGGAGTACCCGGAGGACTATGAGGAGCCGCGGCACGCGATGACGACGTGGGCGCACGACTGGCGGTGCACGTTTTTGCTGCACGCCTTCTCGCCGAAGAAGGAGAGGAACGGGGTAAAGGACAACGGCATCTCGCCACGCTTTGTGGTGGAGAGGAGGAGCAACTTTGCCCGCGCCGTGTACCCGATGGTGAGGAGCATGTATGCCGAGGGCCTGATAGACAAGCACGATATAGAGATGGATTGGATGTAATGTTAATCAATTTCATTCACCCTAGAGGTCCCTGTCAGAGAGCTATCTGCAACGCTTACTCTGCACTATCCTTTACCGGAAACTTCTTGACCGCCTCGTTCGTCGCAATGATGGCCTCCTCCGCGCCCGCCCAGGTCCTGCGCTCAAAGAACGTCACGTAGAAGCCGTCTTCGCGCAATGTCTTCAGCATGGAGAGGCCAGAAGGCCCTATTGGTAAGAATATTATCAGTACTTCGTCATATGCCAGCCTTTGAATATGAATCACCTACCCGCACCAACAATCGCAACTGTGTTGCATACACTCATTGAAACCGTGTCGCCTCGTTGTACGCAGTAGTTATGCTTTGATGCAGAGGAAGAACCTTCTTCAAATGATTTTTCGTTGTTGGAGTTGGGCCAGTTTACTCGGCAATTCAGGATCCCTCAGCGAGTATACAAAGGAAAGTCAAGGAAAAAAAGCAAACGAGGCTCCGCGCTCACCATCAAGGTCATGCAACATCGGACGATACGGCCAAATGTCCGTATACTTGCTCAATCTGAGCAGATTTCCATCCGTCGCAAATGATTCTGGGATGCAATTACTGCAAGGCTCTATTGCCACACCTGCTACCACCAACATAAAACCCCGCTCACGACCAGCAGACCCAGATATTGGTATCGACGACCTTTCAAAAGCCACGGGTCGAGTTGATATCGGAGTTGGTACGCGAGTTGACGATGACGCTTTTCGCCGCGGCTCGGACGACGAAGCTCTTGACGATGTCAGCGCCGTTGAGGTGGCCGACTCCGGTGCACGAGCGGTAAAGCTGGAGGGCAGGTCTACTCTAGTCAGATAAGTGAGTCGTTGATGTCTGTATGAGTGACAGTTGTTAAATCGAACCCCGAGTGGCGGCCCATGGGATGCGGAAGCCCGTCGGACACTCCATCGCCATTGCCATGTTGTAGAGGGGGCAATAATGCAAGGTTCGATTGTAGTGTGTAACGTTTTATGAATTTGCGACATTTCTCTTCTATCTGGTGCTTCTCGTGAGGCGATGGTTAAAGAGACAGCCGTGGAAGGGATACTCGCCCGCCCATGATGCAGCTTCTTCCGTTTGCTCCGACTGTTGACTAGTTCTGCTGTCGTCTTTGAACTGCGATGCGTAATTTTATACACTCAATTATACTACTTGGCTTGTTGGAGGAATATTTTTCTTGTTCAACCTTTTTTTCTAAAGTAAAGTTTGAATTTAGCCTGCATAAATGTACTTCTGCGATCGGCCCTCCTGTCACCTCAGCGCAGCCCTTGGCCTGAACAAAAGAAAACCACGTGCAACCAGAATGTCTTGGATTCTCCCTGAGCCCATATCATGAGAATATATCTACAAGCCTTGAATTTTAATGCACTGCCAACATTGGAGCGCAGACCTGGCCGCCGCGCACAACAAGGCTAGTTGCGGGCGAAGGAAGGAACGATCCAAGTCGGGCAGACCAACTTCTTCCTTCCTGCCTAGTCAGTTGTCATCTCTACAAAGCTTCATCAACACGCATCCCACGGCATCAATTCTTGACCAACATCATCTTTCACCGTGTCGTATCAGCCAGCTCATCTAAGAATTCATCTCTCTCTCTCCCACCATGGCTGCAGCATCCACCAGCTCGCCCTCCCTCACGCCCACGTCCAGCGCCTTCCGGCCCATCCTACTCTACGACAAGGACGCACCAGCCACCGTCATCGCCTCCGTCGTCACCGCCATCCCTCAGCCCAGTGGCTGGTCCGGTCCAGCCGACTACATTGAGTTCCGCGTGACCTGCGCCTTGCCCTTTTGTCCCGCCAACTCCTTCCCGCCCCAGACCGTCACGCAGCGGCAGGGCTCCGTCTGGGGCGGCCACCATGTCGTCGCGGGCACGATCACGGCTTGGGACTGCCGGCTCGGTAGGAGCGGTGACGATGACGAGGGCGATTACGGCAGTTGCTACACTACCACGCTGCCCCCCACGGGCCGGCCCGTGCCGACGACGGGCAGGTACACGCGGGTCGGCACCTGCGACGTCGACGCCCGCTCGAAAATGATGTTTGTCACGGCGGGATTTAACGAGTATTTCAAGGTCATGCCGGCCGAGACGGGGCCGCCGATTGATCTCCCGAGCGCCATCACCTCTGTCTTGCGCTCGGCGCATTGTCCGAGCAGCGCGTTCCCGACGCCGGGCAAGGTAGAGTCCAAGTCAGCCACTGCAACTTCGACAAACGGAGCATCAAGTACCGAGTCAAGACCAGCTGCTACACCAACCGGTGAAAAATCTAACGCAAACAACATCTCCCGTGCCTTTTCACTACTCCTCAGTATTCCGCCTTTGCTATGGCACTTCGGTAGATGATGTCCTTTACGTCTGCATGTGGCTGTGTATACGTGCGTCCTCCGGCAAATATATGCAAGAGGGGCCGGAAATGGTTACATTATCATTTTTACTGCAATTCTTGACTATAAATATAGCAAAAAAAGAGACCCGTCATTTCAGGCGGGACGGCAGGCAGTGCTCTTACTAACTAGACCATGCCCATCCTTTGCAACCAGTCGGTCGAGATATACAGTTTTCGGAGTAGCTTAGCTTCACAGAGATCTTTGCATTCTTCTCGGTTTCTCTCCAGCCTCTCCTAAAGGGTGCAACCTATGAAGCAGGTATCGGGATCTAGTGTATGGAGAAGCTGCTGGGGCAGTCCACTCGAGGATCGTCATCGAGGTCGAGCCCGAGGCGGAGGAGGCATGGAGCCAGCGCGTGCTGGGCGGCACCGGGTACCGGGACGTCTTGTCCACGTGCACGCCGGGATACCTGAGCCGCGAGGGGCTCGGGCTGCGGATTGCGCATGGGCTGGCTGAGACGGCGGACCGGGAAGCCGCGGCGAGGACGGCAAGAGCGATACCTTGGAGCGCTGGTCTACAGGCGTTTTTGGATGAGCTTCCCCACTGGCGCGAGGATGTGACACTTGCTGGATATCGTATCAGCGGCTTTTGAGCCGCAATGGCAGTGTCGTGGCGTGAGAACTTGTGCGGACCGGGTTGGGTATTAAGAAAACACTTGTAGTTTATGCTCATGATACGAGCAGGGGAATAGCAAAGCGTATGAAACATGAAAGTCTAAAGTTTCTATAGCTCAATTAAACAAACCATTGCTTTTCCTATCAAATAGCCCATCTGCATCAAGCGCTCATTACTCCGGCTTACGACCGACCATGAGGTACATGGGCGTAAACAAATTCTCCCTCGCGCCGGCGACCAGACAGTCCGCGGCATGCGCCAAGCTGTCCGCCGTCTTCTTCGTGCCGGCCGGCGCGATCCCGAGCGCCTCCACCAGCCCTGCCAGGCCGTGCGCGACGGCGCGACCCCAGCGCGTCATCCGCGCCACCGTCCATACATCACCGAGGGACTGGACGAACCTCATCTCGCCGGACACGGGCCAGTACCAGGGCGCCGGGTCCGGACGGGCGGCCATGTCCTCGTGGCGGAGCAGCTCGAAGCCCGCGGCGCGCATGGCGTCGAGCGCCTCGGAGACGCGGCACATGTTGGCGATGCCGTCGCCCTGCTCGATGCCGAGGCGGATCTCGCGGTGGCGCAGGTCGGCGTCGTCGTAGGCGTCGGTCATCAGCCACTCGTAGACGCCAAAGGTGCCGCCGGGCTTGAGCACGCGGAAGACTTCGCGGTAGATGCCCTCGAGGGAGGGCGCGTGCACGGTGGCCTCGATGGCGTAGACGGCGTCGAATGTGCTGTCCGGGAAAGACATTTGCTGCGGCGCGGGGTCAGCTCCCAGTCGGGGAAAGGACGGAGAGGGGGGGGAGGATTCACCATGAAGTCGCCTTTGACAAAGTCCACCTGGGAGGCGAGGCCCTGCTTGGCGGCGTAGCGGGTGCCGCGCTCGATTTGGTAGTCGTTGTTGTTGAGGCCGGTGATGCGGGCGCCGGTGAACTTGGCGATTTCAAAGGCCGGGCCGCCGACGCCGCAGCCGACGTCCAGGACGTGCATGCCCTTTTTGATGTTGATGCTGTGCGCGAGGTAGTGCTCGTGGCGGGCGATAGCTTGTTGGAAGGGCTCGCCGTAGGCGAAGCGGCAGAAGTGGAAGGATTGGCCCCAGGCATACTCGTAGATGTCGGTTACGAGGTTGTAGTAACTGAAAAGTCGGAATGTTACTGTTTGATCATCGGGGGGCGCATTGGGAACCTACTGTCTCGTCAAGGTTGCGTACTCGGCGGTGCGCTCCTGTATTGTGGTCAGCACGTCATGTTTGGTAGGCGACATGGCGGTTAACCACATCATCTTCAGTAGATGATATCGTGGCAATTCCCATCATATCCCTGTTTCGATGGCTTATACGTACAGCTCGCTGCTCAGACGTTTCGTCGACGGCTGTCTTGTTATCCCAGTGCTTGAAGTACTCATCGACAGCAACCTGCTTGGCTTGGCCGCCCTTTGAGAACATGGCGGAGATGCCGCCCTTGGCGTCCGCTGAGTTCCCATGCAAGGCTTTGCTAAAGGCAGCATCGCGGCTGTGGTCCTCGCGCTCGAGGTTGCTGATGGTGGACGACATGATGGAGGAGTGGTGGTATGGAAGGCAGTGTAGGAGGAGGGCTTATGAGAAAAAGAAAGGGCAACAAGAACGAGGAAGGCTGCATTTTATATATTCCAAGTTAAACGAGATGCGAAAGCCCCCTTTGCGCCCGGCGCATTAGGCCGTGCTACTCTTCCATACTCTTACTGAACCTCTGATGGAGCTCAAGGGTATGTTGCATCAGCCCCCTGAACCTCGAAACGCGTATTTGGGCAAATAGTACCCGCATAGTAAGTCTAGTCGAGATAAGTCCGTCCAAGCCGGACGAATAAACAAAGAATAAATCAGCCACATCTCTCTGTCGATCAAGGAGATGCCTGGTCAGAGAGGATTCAGAAGTTTGACAACATATAATTGGGTGGAGTTGCGCTCAGCCTATGTACTATGGTCCACCAATGGAGTTTTTCGAATACGACTACGAATACTCTTTATACTCTTTCAGGGCGCCAATTCCTGGTTCACGGCCCTGACTTGACTATTTTGGGGGTCATTCCAAGTTTTAGGCTTTTCCCAAGCTTGATGGCTGCTTCATCGTGCTTCATCTCATTTCCAAGTCGAGGCTTTGACGCATGACGCTACTGTGCTGTGGACAGGCTGCCCGTATTCGAGATTCTCCATGTCACTTCTCATACCTCTTGGCTTGAATCTTTTTGACCCAAAGAGGATATTGACAGGCAGTTGTCAAGTCGATTAATTAGGCGCTGACATAACCACATGCCTGATAACTGCTTCCCCTTGGTAAATACAAAATAGAGGGGATGTGTAAGTGTACGGCGACGAATAGCAGACGGTATTATGACATCTCGTCAATGTAGCCACTATAATCAGCATGAATGTCCCAACGTTCCCCCCAATCTCGGAGGCATGACATCCTCGCGTCGCGCGGTATAGTTTCGTAGCGCCCCCATGTGTCGGAGTCAGTCGTTCAAGCCATTGGACCGAGCATCTTTTAGCCAGATGGCGGGTGCATCTTTGGATGCCGCGACCTTGGAAAAATCTTAAAATAATGAGATATTTCTGTAACGAGTAATAGAGTCGCTTGGCAGGGTCAAAGATGGTTCCCCCAAAGTATTAGATGCTGATGTACCTAGGTAAGTGACTGAAGGTTTTGTGGAAGGCATACACAATACATAGCTGTCGACTGCTAAACTTAGAGCTATGTATGTATGTATGTATGTATGTATGTATGTACCACCTTTGTCTGTAGGGACATGTCGCTGGAATGTTGCGTCTGCATTTTCCACGAGCTTCGCTAAACTTTTAAAATTCTAGAAAAATGAAGCGGTCTATTAAATTTCAAAGAAAGCATACTCTTTCATTATTTAACATTCTATCCAACTAATCCTATGGATAAATACAGTTATGAATGGTATGGTATTCGTACCTTACTCAGGTAACTAGCGGCCAGCCACTTTAGCTGCTGGTGTGGGGGCGCGTCATGGTTGCTAGGCGAAACGCGGTAACGAAGGTACTAACAACTAACAAGACCGCTCAACGCGTCCAAAGTGTTTCCGCCTCCAATCAATCCCGTCTTGTCAAGCACGTCTATCCATATATCGAATTGGCTTGATTCTCCTCACCCCTCTCCTTCAATGCAACGTCATGATTTGCAATAATCATGCCGCTTCAAAAATCCTATTCCGACAGTCGAGGAATAACAAAGGCAAGTCATGAATCCTCCAATACCCTTCCCCTCGCCGCCGTCTCTGACCGTCATTCCTAACAGCATAATCGATCACCATGGCAAAGATCACATAGCCACCCAAACGGCTACCACACTCCAAAGCCCAAACCCCCGATTCCCGCATCCGAAGCCACAAAAACGAAACTCGGCAAGTTTCGCTACGAGGCTCAGGCCGACGACGATTCACTTCAAGTTAGCCACGCCGCCGACCAGCTGCAGTCCAGGCCAGCCCACGCCGACCAGTCAACACCTGTCACGAGATTAAACTGGCGCGATCTGGAGCCTCTCTCCAATGCAGAAGACACCGACAAGGACGCCTCCCCCAATGACCGCATTCTCTGGGACAACAAGCAAGCCAGCAGCTATGGCTCCGGCCTGTCACCAATGCTCGGCCGCAAGGGCAAGAAGCGTGCCAGAAGCTCGTCTCCGATTTCCTCACCCGCTGCCGATAAGCCAAGCGCCCCTGCCGTCAACATCAAGAGACTGACAAACGCCTTGCGCTCCCCAAACCCCGACCCGACGTTGGAGCTCTGGGACAGGTTCTCTCTCGCCAGTCCCGCCAACCAAAAAACTCCAATCGCACATCCCGCCCTCGCCCAGCTCATGGTCTCCTCTTCTCCCCAGCCGAATAAACAAACCGTGTCGCAACCTGGACGCCTCAACATGCGTCGTGTTGTTAGCTGTGGCCTCAATTGGCCCAAGCGAAGAAAGCTCGAAAAGTCCAAGTCCGGCAGTCAGCTTGCCAGAGACCAGCGCGACCTCGAAGCGGCCTCCAAATCGTCACTCGTATCTGCTCTCCTGAGTACAGTCACCAGCAGTATACAGCAGGACAGTTTCAGTGATGCCCATCATTCTGTCGAGTCGCCGTCAGCAAATAGAAGAAGCCAGGTTCAGATAGGGGAACCTCCTGCCTACGTCCCCTGCAAAGCGGATGGCGAAGAAGCTTCCAGAGATTCCTCGGACTACGGCGATGATGAATTTGACGATGACGCACTTATCGAACTCGAATTAACCACCACCACTGCCCCTGCGACACAGGCTACTCCGATAAAGCCGAAAGCGGGCATGCCCTCCGCTGCCATGCCAACGAGCCCAGCATCGGATGACTTTGGCGATGTAGACGATGAGCTGTTCGATAACGAAGAGCTAGTCAGGCTATCACAGAAACCAGTCCTATCTGCGGCGTCAACCAAGCCTGCTGCCATCCAAAAGAAGCCAGCCGCAGCCCTGAAAAACCCGGATGACGAATTCGACGATGATTTCGCCGAAGATATAGATTTTGAGGCTGTCGAGTTGGAAGCGACACAATCATTCCAACGGGCCAAAGCCGATGCTGGCGTAAGTCACAGCTGCGCCCTTATAATTTCTGTTGCTAAGTGGAAGAGTAGCGCACCAAAAAAGACAAGACCATCCAACGATATTTAATAACCAGCGTACTGGATGGCGAATACATCGACCAGTATAACGTGACCCGGCCTGAGAAGGTAAGTTTCCTCACCTCTGCGTCAATGTTTGCCACTAATACTTGTAGATCCTCTTGATCAAGGCAGATAACTCTCAAGTGACACGCCAAGTTCAACTCCGCGGCGCATGGTACGACACGCCGGCTCACGCCAAGTCGTACGTACATATCATTGGGGACTTTTCTGCCAAAGGACAATGTGCTGTGGACGACGCACACAACCTCCTTATTCTTCACCCCGACCAACTTGTCTCCGCTACCGTGGTTGCCGACTCGTTTGGCTGCATGCGCCGTGCCGTTCTGCAAGACCGAGTCAAAGCTACCAGTGAGGCGTCCGCGCCCCTGGTATATGGAACAATGCTCCACGAAATCTTCCAAGACGCTCTCCTTGCGAATCGATGGGACCTTCCCTTCCTTCACCAGTTGATTGAGAAGATTACAGAGAAGCACGTCGAAGAGCTGTACACCATCAAGGTCGGGCTGCCCAGCGCACGCGAGCACCTCCAGTCTAAAATGATGGAACTAAGTTACTGGGCAAAGTCATTTGTTTCTTCGCACCCCAATGTAAGTACGCTTGTCTTGCACCAATTCTTTTCCTAATGCATAGTAGAACGATGCTGTTGTGGAAGATCGAAACGGCAAAAAGGCTACCATGGCTGTCACGAAATTACTCGACGTCGAGGAGCATGTCTGGTCGCCAATGTACGGCCTCAAAGGCAACATTGACGCAACTGTTGAGGTAAACATGATGGATGGCAAGCAATCGCGAACATTAACGGTCCCATTCGAAGTCAAAACCGGTCGCAATGCAAGCAGCAGCCATATGGCACAGACCGCGCTCTACACCTTGTTACTATCTGATCGTTATGACATTGACATTGCCTATGGTGTGCTCTACTACATGGAGACCTCCAAGACGATGAGAATCCCCGCCGTCCGACATGAGCTTCGACACATGATTATGCAAAGAAACCAGCTTGCCTGCTACATTCGCGAACGTAGCGTTCAGCTACCACCAATGCTGAAAAGCAAGCATATGTGCGGCCGGTGCTATGCAAAGCCATCCTGCTTTGTATATCATCGCCTAGCAGATAACGGCGATGGCGAATCCAGCGGAATGGATGAGAAATTTGACGAGCTTGTGCAGCATCTCACTCCACGCCACCAAGATTTTTTTGTCAAGTGGGAGAACTTACTTACGATGGAGGAAAAGGAAAGCCAAAAGACGAAACGAGAATTGTGGACAATGACTAGCAATGAGCGAGAAAAGAAGTCGCGATGCTTTGCCGATGTCATTATCGAAGAGGGATCTGCTTCGGAAGACTCTGACACGCCACGTATCAACCGCTTTCACTACACTTTTATCAAGAGAAAGCCTGAGCCGGGCTTCTCCTTTCTAGAATCCGAGATTGGCGTTGGCGAGCCGGTTGTGGTGTCCGATGAGGAGGGTCATTTCGCCCTAGCAATTGGCTACGTCACAGCATCTCGCAAGCAGAGAATCAGTGTCGCTGTTGACAGGCGGCTGCACAACAGTCGCATTCGCCAGCCCGGCTTTGACGAGCTCGATAATCAAGTATTTGCCAGCATCATGGAGGTCGCTCCGGAAGGGGCCTCTGTGGAGCAGAGTCAAGGCCGAATTAAAGAGGCGCCGATACGATATCGCCTCGACCAAGACGAATTCAGCAACGGAATGGCGACTGTGAGGAACAACATCGTACAGATCATGAACAATCAGTTCCCCGAAGCAAGGCGCATTAGAGAGCTTGTCGTCGACCTTGAAGCCCCTCGATTCAAGTACATTCCGACGCAGTACACCGTCTCTGATCGAGAAAGCTTGAACGTCGATCAGAAGAAGGCGATCGAAAAGGTCATGAGTGCACAGGACTACGCTCTAGTCTTGGGCATGCCAGGAACGGGAAAGACCACAACAATTGCTCACATTATTCGGGCTCTCACTTCCCAGGGCAAGAGTGTGCTGCTTACATCGCACACCCACACGGCTGTGGACAACATTTTGTTGAAGCTCAAATCTGACAAAATGAGGATTTTGCGACTCGGAGCGCCAGCCAAGGTTCACCCCGAAGTGCAAGAATTTGCGACTCTTGCAGGTCAGCCCATGAAAACCTTTGACGAGATCAAGGAAGCTTGGCACGATAGCCCAATCGTGGCAACAACCTGTTTGGGCATCAATCATCCTGTATTTCAGGAGCGCGCTTTCGACTACTGTATTGTCGATGAAGCTTCTCAAATTACTCTTCCCATTTGCGCAGGACCGATCCGCATGGCTAAGACATTTGTGCTTGTTGGAGACCACAACCAGCTTCCACCGGTTGTAAAGAATGAAACGGCACGCCAGGGTGGTCTTGATGTGAGCCTGTTTAAGTTGCTCTCAGACGCACATCCCGACTCTGTTGTCAACCTAGCACATCAATACCGAATGTGTGAAGACATTATGACGCTAAGCAATACCTTGATCTACGACGGCAAACTTATCTGTGGCACAGAACAGCTGCGAAAGAAGAAGCTTCATGTTCCAAATATGAGGGCCCTGACACAGCGACACCACAACGCCTCAACCGTGCTCCTTCCTGGAACTCCTCGGTCATTTTGCAAAGGGCCTGCCCCGTCCCAATGCTGGCTGTATGATCTTCTGGAAAGTGAAGCGCGAGTCCGTTTTGTCAATACTGATGCTATTCAACCCGCTGCTCGCGAAGAGGCGCATGGAAAACGCATCGTCAACTCGGCGGAGATTCGGATTGTTTCACAGTTGGTTGAGAGTCTTATAACTGTTGGCATTCCCGCGAGCGAGGTCGGCGTCATGACTCACTACAGATCACAGCTGTTTTTGTTGAAGGACAGATTAAAGGGCTATCCTGGAGTGGAGATGCATACCACCGATCGATTTCAAGGCCGGGATAAAGAGGTTATCGTTTTGAGTTTGGTGCGCAGCAACGACGCATGCAATATTGGCGATTTACTACGTGACTGGCGGCGAATCAACGTTGCTTTTACCCGCGCCAAAACTAAGCTTCTTGTAATCGGCAGCAAGAGCACACTGAGCGGCAGCAATGTCAGCAACAAGGAGAACATGCTCAGTCGCTTCGTGGCACTGATGGAGCAGCGCGACTGGATCTACAATCTACCTGCCGATACGCTTGACAGTCATTATTTCGAAGAACTTGGCACCCAGGCAACAAGCATGGGTGGCACACAGGCCGTGTCGCCGCACATTCACAAAAGGAAGTCACCAAGTGCCAAAAGGTCAACAACAATGGCACCCGGGAAGGAGAACCGGCGTCCGTCGCCCAGAAAGGCGCGGATTGGCGAGAGAACGTTGCTCAAGGATAGGCTGATCACAAGGGATATCATTAATGAGATGACGAATGGAGCGTATTGAAGCATTTGTATCGGTGTTTTTGTCATGATTGTTTTCCGGAGTTTACTCTACTCGTTGTCTTTGGGATTAGCACCAGTATTGGAGTATTCAATTTTGGGCATATATAGTGTTGGTTTTCTCGGTGGCATTGTTTGGAATATCAGAACTGATAGGGTATACATTGTAACAGACAGGAGCACGATTTCTTCCAAGTTGGTGCCACCGGACTTGTATGTGATGTTTTACATGCTAAATTGGTCATCGAATCTGCATCGCTGTTAGCAACTGCTAGTCTTCTCTCTCGGCATTCGTTATAGAGAAGCGTACCCTTGCTCGCCCACAATGAGTTTTGTGTACTTTTCCATCTCCTCGAGCTGCACAACGCAGCCCGTCAGACTCTGGTTGTACGAGAAGCAGTAAATGTCGCTCCACCTGCGATGTGCCGCGTCGGCGACCTCGTCGCGCTCTGCCGCCGCCGCTGCAGCTTCCTCGGCGGCGTCAGACCCCACGAGCAGGGCCTTGCGCGCCGCAGCAGCGCTGGGGAGGTACCGCGGCACGCGCCGGCGAGCGCGCAGCGCACCAGCTAAGACATACAGCGTAGCGAGCACCGCGGCGACGGCATCGCGGCGCAGCGGCAGCAGCCGTGCCTCGGCCCCGCCTGCGTCCCCTGCTCCTCCGCCGTGGTGGCGCAGGGCGGCCTGCCGCGCGGCGATGAGGTGGTCGAGGAAGCGCTCGCAGGCCTCTGCGAGCGCGGACCACGGGAGGGGGTCGAAGCGGGCGCGCAGGCGGGGCTCGTGGCGGGTGAGAACGAGCAGCTGGCGGACGCTCGGCGGGGGAGGGGGGCCGCCGGTCGTCGAAGTCGACGTAGGTGGCGAGGGCGCTGCGGTAGGTAACGCTCAGGAAGAAGAGCATGGCGGAGAGCGCGGCGCGCAGCTCGTGGCGCGCGACAAAGGGCCACAGCGCCCAGTTGACGAGCATCGGCGCGGCGGTGCCGACGAAGAAGGCGAGGCCTCTGCAGGCGGCGTCAGCGGCAGTGGGGGTGGTGGTGGTGTCGTTGAGGAGGCTGAGCGAGACGACGGTAAAGGACAGGCTGCCGACCAGGCCGGAGCGCGGGTGGGAGCTGAGCGCGTATCGGTAGAGCATAGGTAGCATGTAGACGGCGGCAAAGGCGGCCACGACGAGGGGGTTCCCGCCGCCCGCGGCGTGTGCGGCCCCGGCCCAGACAGCACCGAGGACGGCGAGACACGACCGGTTGAGCAGGTCCTGGAGGTTGCCGCCGACACGCGGGTGCATGACGACCCAGCTCATGGCGACGGCCCACCACGCGTCGTACCGATCCCACCACCGCTTGCTGCTGTCGAGGTACGACGGCACGGCGAGCAGCGAGATCACCAAGCACGCCTTGAGCGCATACTTGCTCTCGGGGCCCTGCAGCCGATACAGGCCGCGCCAGATCTGGTACCTCACTTTTGTTTTGCTACCGCCGCCGCCGCTTGGTTTTGCGTCACTGCTGTTCGTGGGCCGTCCGGTCCCGGATGCGTTGGATGTTTCGGGCCGCAGCTGGGTATCATCAGCCCCCGCACTGGTTGACGTGCGTCCCGCGGGCTCGTGCGCGCGGGATTTGATCGTATCCAACAGTCGAGCAATGTCGCCAAAGGTGGCATCGTACGAGCCCGCGACGACGCCGCCTCGGTCGTGCCGGATCTGAGCATTTGTCCGGTAGATGGCCTTAGGCAGGGGGTAGGACGGCAGTTGAAGGCGCGGCCACTGGGGCGCTGTCTGCATCTCGCTCACATGGTGGAGGAGGAGCTGCACGGCTGCGGCGGCTTCGCGGACGTGTCGCGCGAACACAAACAGCTGCGCAATTTCAGAGTCGTAGACTGCAGAGTCAGGGAGACTACCGGACTGCAGTAGCGAGGACTCTACCGTGTCGAAAGTGGCAATTGTCTGCCCAAGGTGGATTTCCAAGGCTGCAGTGGCAGACGAGGCGTCTGGGGACGGGCCGATTGACCTTCTGTGGCCCGAGAGGTCCATCAGCGCTGCGTCACATCTGAGAACGCCCTCTCGCATACAGACAACAAGATCCTTTGTTGGTTTTGCTAGCGTTCTCATCACATTGTCTGCGTGTCCATCCCCGTCGTTGTCGCCGTGTTCCTGGTTCTTCTCGTTGTCGTCCATGGTAATGTTCTGCGGTTCGTCCAGGAGAGTCGTCTCGGTATCCATGGATAGCAGGGCGCGTAATACGGCTTGTATCAAGTTACGCAGCTCAATTACATCTTTCGGCTGAAATCTTGAGATTGTGGTGTCAATAACCATGTCGCGATATGCTTCCGACAAATCAACAAATGATTTTGATAGCTGCCTCCGAAGCCTGACATCTCTTGATTGGGGTCTTCTCAGGGCTTCTCCCACAAGTCCGAATGCCCGATGCAATGTCAGTGCAAGCGGCCGAGCCCCTCCATCAGGCCAAATCAGACAGTTGACTGTGAGTGCAATGGCTTGGCCCAGGAGAAAGGAAACGGCATAGCTTCGTAGTTTTGGCCAGGGGATGATGGTGCTATGCGTCTCAGAAAGTGTCGTATGAATGACAGCAATGCCAGCCGTCAAGACTGCCTGGTAAAATCTGACAAAGAATGCGCGAACCCAGGCAAGGCCAGAGATGAACAGCAGGAGGAATAGAGCCAAGACTCCGCCATATCCAGCGCTGGCCGCGAGTGTCGATGTCGATAAAAGCAGCGCCAGAGCACCCCATGCTATTCCAAACGCGGTACCCAGGACTGTGAATGTGACGCCGTCAAGTTGAGCTCCGACAGTTCGCGCAGGGTGGTTGAGAACGACGGATACTGCCACAATGTAGTGTTGGCGGCCTAGCCAGTGACGAATAACAGGCACAAGGCAGAGAACATACGCAATAAAATACGCCAGAAACACTTTAAGCAGTTTAATGCCTGCTTGTGTTGTGAAAGCACGTTGAACCACAATTTTAAACTCGCGCCACTGGTTTGGGAGGAAATGCTTGATCGTGAGAGGATTATACTGATCAAAAGCAGCAGGCAAGGTGGCCTTGAGCTCCTCAAGACCCCCTTCGGAAGGTAGATGTGGTGCTTTGAGAAAGACGGCATCAAAAAATCCGTCTCGCACCTCGCGAACGCCATATGTATCGGAGCCGTGGTCTTCCTGCATAGGCAGCAAGTTGTTCAGCTTGAGAAGACTAGTTGTGGAGCTCGTTCGACTCCCAAGACGGGGTCGACTGCTGCGAAGGCCTAGTCTTTTGGGTGTTATAGGTGAGGCAGGTGGAGATTTCCGCGAGCTGTCCTGTTCATCCGAGCTCGACGATTGCAGGGGTGAGCAGGTGAGGTGAGGCCGTGCCGGGACCTTGACCCTGACTGACGCACCGCTAACTGGTTCATCTTGAGGCACTAGCGGGCTTCTCGTCATCCTAGAGGAGCTGCGTCACCGACAAACGACTGGGTTTAGAGTATACGCGCGCAACCCATTGAAACGCTTCCATAGACCATGGTGGCAGTCGTGATTTGGACTGGAGACGAGTATCGACTTTCTGGAGAAGGTTCCGGAGAACTGAGCTGCGGGGAAGCCGATATGCACCTTGGCAAGCCTCCAGATCAGCGCATTGTGCAGTAGTGGCAACTGATGGTCAGATGGCGCTTGCAGCGTAACCAATCCAAGTCCAAGAAGTACAATTTTTGACGCAATCAACCAGTTTTGGCGCCAGAAACTGGTTAACTGGGTGTGAAGCTGGCAAGTGGGTCTGGAGTTGAAATCAAGGCGGCTGATTGGGACGAAACTATGCACGTGACTTGATGGGCCAGGTCTCTCCCCAAGGCGCCGCGATGACCCAGCGAAGAGTTGAGCCATTCAATCAACCCGAATTCGCAGTCAAAACTCCAGCCATTGACGCTCCAAATCGGTGTCTCGAAATCCCAGTGACACCGAGAAAGCACATCCTCCGAAGCACATCCACATCCTACGATGGCCATCCTCCGTCACTCGATAGCGCCGCTTCGGGCGGTCCGGTGCGCTCGCCAGCCCGTCGCCGCCGTGCGAAGCTTCTCCGTCACCGCCAACCGACGCGGCGGCGGCCACGGCAACGAGTCGCAGTTCGAGCCCCCCAGCGGCTGGCTCTGGGGCATCAAGCCCGGCGAGAAGCCCGAACCCGAGGGTTGGGAGTGGCCCATGTACATCTTTTGCGGCAGCCTGGTCGTTGCCGGCGTCGCCCTTGCCTTCAAGCCCGACACTAGGTGAGTTTTCACGAGGGTTTCGAGACGACTTGACACCGCGCTCTTGGCTGGGAAGGATAATTCGGGAATTTCTGCCCTCTTTGCGGGGTCGCAGTCTTGATGGAAGGGGCGCGGTGTGGGGAGGCGTGGCGAACCCTGCGTCATTTTGGCCAGACTCGTATGACAGTTGCTAACCATTTACACAGCGTCTCTACCTGGGCTCTCGAGGAGGCTCGCAGAAGATTAGAGGCTGAGGGTGTCCTGCCTGACCCCACGGCATCTCAGAACAAGAAGTGAGAGTTGCGTATGCGCGTCTAGAGGAGGACATGGCATTGAGTTGAGGAATAGAGGCAGCTACGATCCCAGATCGAGCTGGGCCGGACGCTGCCACAACACTGTATATGATTTCAAGCTTGTTGTTTTCTTTCGTATTGCGAAGACTTAAATTCCATCAATGGTTTCAGATAGAATCATGATTCTTAACAGCAAATTCCTGGGCCGTTCCTTCTCGACCCGAAGCCTGTAGACCAGCTCAGCTTTAATTTCAGTCTATTGCTAATAACCACGTCTATGTACAGCTTTGCTTTTTCTCACTCTACGCTGGCATGCGCTTACTGAGGAGTGACGTAGCTCCACTCATGCTCATTATCGCCATACTGAATCTTCTCGATCCAGTCCTTCATTTGCAGAGCAATTTCGCCCGACTCTTCCGTGTCCTTAAGACCGCAGTTGACCATGTTGCCCTTCCAAGAAATCTTGCGGACGGGGCTGACAATTGCGGCAGTGCCGGCTCCAAAGGCCTCGAGGAGGCGGCCCTCCTTGTCCGCATCGTACAGCTCTTGCATAGTGTACTTGCGCTCGCTAATCTTCCACCCAGCAGGCGCAAGGTGTTCCCTGGCGAGGCCGAGGATAGAGTCGCGGGTGACGCCCTCGAGGATGGTGCCGTCGAGGGGCGCGGTGATGAGCTCGTTCTGGCCGGTGGCCTTGTCCTTGATGGCGACGAACATGTTCATGGTGCCGACCTCGGTGACGTACTCCTCCTCGCCAAAAAGCCAGAGGTTCTGCTGGAAGCCGCGGCTGGCGGCCTCCTGTTGGGGCACGATGCAGGGCGCGTAGTTGGCGCCGAGCTTCTTGTCGCCGACGCCGCCGGGCCAGGCGCGGACGGCGTAATCGGTAGCCTCGAGGGACACGGCCTTGAAGCCGGTGGGATAGTACGGCCCCACGGGCGAGGCGATGACGAAAAGGAGGGCGGAGCCGGGGGTACCGACGCCGAGCGTCTTCTGAGTACCAATCATAGTCGGTCGGAGATAGAGCGAGTAGCCGCGCTGGTCGGGGATGAAGCGCGACTCGAGCTGCGCAAACTTGGAGATGAGCTCAATCAGGTTGTCCGGGTCAAAGGTGGGCAGGGCGATGCGGGCCGAGGACTTGTTGAAGCGCTCCATGTTCTTGTCGGGGCGGAAGAGGCGGACGTGGCCGTTCTTGTCCTTGTAGGCCTTCATGCCCTCGAAGCACTCAAAGGCGTAGTGCAGGACGCATGTGGCGGGGTCTAGGGAGAGGTTCTGGTAGGGCGTAATCTTGGGTTCCAGCCATCCCTGCTCCTTGTTCCATTCGATCGCGAGCATGTGGTCTGTTTGGGAGTGGGCGGATTAGCTATTTTTACTCCTCATGGAATGTCATGGGTGTCCTCACCTGTGAATTCCTTGCCAAACACAAGCTCCTCGGGCCTGGTAAGAGGCTTGGGGGTATCTGTCTTGGTGATGCTAAGCTTGGAGGCATCAAGCCCACGAAGCTGCGCGACCTGGCTGTAGAAACGGCCAATTGGCATGGCGCGCTGCATGGGGGCAGCGCGCAACAGGGCAGAGCCCATTCTGAGAGCGGATCGCATTGTGAATTGTATAGTCGCGGAGTCGTATGAGTGTTTGACCAGAATGTACCTATCGGCAAGGGCAAAAAGATTGACGAGATGCTACAGCCGCAGGACGGGTCTGGGGAGAGGGAGTGCAGGGAAGAAGTACTCGGTGTGGAGGGTCGTCAGAAGAAGTCACGAAATGGCACGATGCGGTACCGGAGCCGGTGTGGAAGGGCGTACAACTCCGGGGGATACAAGAAGCAAACAGTGAATCATTTTTAGTGGTTGCGGGTGCTAAAAAGCCCGCCGCTACCCGCTGCAACCCTATCTCGGCGCCAGGCTAGCGCCTCAGGTTTCGGTTCAATAGCCATGTAGGTACCCGTACTGTAGGCAAGGTCCGATCTTGTGCCGCCCTGGTGACGATGGATTATTGATGTACTGAAACAATTAACATGATTTGATCTATATTAGCTTCTTGTGCAATTGTTCTAAAAGCACTTCCTTCCCCTTAGTAGCTGGCTTCAAGTGGTGTTTTGCTTCCTTGTGCTCGTCCATCGCATTGACTTTAGAAGGCTGCGCCACACGTGGCACCAACAGCCCGCGCCTCGCCTTTGAAAGGTAACCACACGTTCGTAATAAATACCCATGCTCAAGCTATCGTCATCGTCGTAATCCAAATACACCGTTCCACGAAACAGCCGCGGGGGTTGCCGTAGCGCAGGCAGCCTTCTATCTTGACTCTACTGCTTTGTATTCGTCTAGACATCCGACAAGTTTCCATCTTGCGCACTGCTCAGGCCAACGACGGTGGCAAGAGCTCCCCTGAGCCGGGCTCATAATAGCGACTCGAACCGACATGCTGTAATACACCAACGAGCAAGCGCCGCGCAAACAGCCATACGACACAATGTTTTCCAACGCGCTGAAATCAATTTCCGCTACCAACATCACGGGCAACTACACAATATCGCCTAACGCGACCTCGACAGCTGGCCCGTGGCGAATCTACGATGCAAAGAAGAAGTCGACCGGCAAGCCCTACAGCGTCTTCGTCTTTGATAAGAAGTCGCTCGATGCCCACGGTAACTCTCTAGGCCGCTCCGGAGCCACCTCTTTCAAGAAGACGGTCGAAGAGGTTGTCGAGCGACTGAAAAAGGAAGCCTCCAGCTTAGCCAAGCTGCGACACCCGAACATTCTCGAACTCGTCGAGCCTGTGGAGGAGACACGAGGCGGCGGGCTTCAATTCGTCACAGAACCTGTCACGGCGTCATTGGCAAGTCTTCTGCAGGAAAAGGATGAACAAGAACGATCCGGTGGCCCTGGTGGTCGCTCAAGCCGCTATGTAACCGAGGACGCCGACGGTGTCCGCCGCAGGAGGGAACTAGAGATTGATGAGCTCGAGATTCAAAAAGGCCTCTTGCAAATCAGCAAGGCTCTTGAATTCTTCCACGAAAATGCCGGCCTCGTCCATGGCAATCTCACGCCAGAGGCCATTCTAATCAATTCCAAGGTAGCCAACTCTACCTAGCCACTGTATGGAAACAGCTAACGGTCGACAGTCTGATTGGAAAATAAGCGGCCTGTCATTCTGCAGTCCAGCAGACGGCTCAAATAAGCCAACCTCGATACAGGGCATCAGCCTCCATGAAGTTCTCAATCTCGACCCTCGGCTCCCCAAATACGTCCAACTAAATCTCGATTACACCTCTCCCGACTTTGTCATGGACAACAACCTAACGTCCTCCGCCGACATGTTCTCTCTAGGCCTCCTAGCTGTCGCCCTATACAACTCCCCGCATCGATCACCCCTCGAGAGTCACGGCAGCATCTCAACATATAAGCGCCTCTTTTCCTCCTCATCAACGGTTCCTTCCGGGTCAAACAGCTTCCTCAGCTCCCGCCCGCTGCCAAAGGAGCTCGCCAACCATGTGCTGCCACGCCTCATCACACGACGGCCTGCGCAGCGAATGACAGCACGCGAGTTTCAAGAGAGCGAATACTTTGATAATATTCTCGTCTCCACCATTCGATTCCTGGATTCCTTTCCCGCCAAAACGCCTAACGAAAAGTCCCAGTTCTTACGTGGTCTGAACAAGGTACTACCTTCGTTTCCCAAGTCCGTCATGGAGAAGAAGATTCTGCCAGCCCTTCTCGACGAGCTCAAAGATAAAGAGCTACTCTCTCTGATTCTTCAGAATGTCTTCAAAATTGTCGACCTTCTCCCCTCCGCGCGTCGAGCTTTCAGCGAGCGTGTTCGCCCAGCGCTCAAGGAGATCTTCGTCACCAACGCAAAGCAAACTCAGGAAAAGGATGCCGCCCGAGACGCTGGTCTCATGGTATTTCTCGAAAACTTGGCAGCTGCGGCCAATAATTGCAATGGCAAAGAATTCAAAGATGGTTAGTGATGAGGTGCTCCCATAACAATTAGCTGCTAATTACTCGACTTAGATATTTTACCTGTTGTTGTTGCTGCCATAGAATGCCCTACACCGTCGATTGTAGACGCCGCCCTACGCAGCCTCCCAGTCGTCCTACCTGCCCTCGACTTTAGCACCATCAAGAATGAGCTGTTTCCTATCGTCGCCGCCGTGTTCAGCAAAACCAACAGCCTGGCCATCAAGGTCCGCGGTCTGCAGTCATTCGTAATTTTATGTGGCGGATCCAACGATGGTTCAAGCGGTGACGACGGTCTCAGCGGCCTCATGCAGGAGAAAAAGAAGACGTCTTCCTCCACCGCGCTGGACAAGTACACCATGCAGGAGAAGATTGTGCCACTCATCAAGGTCATCAAAACCAAAGAGCCCGCCGTCATGATGGCTTCCCTCAATGTTCTCGGCATCGTCGGTGACATTGCCGACGCCGACTTTGTCGCCATGGACATCCTCCCGATCTTGTGGAGCATGAGCCTCGGGCCGCTGCTCAACCTGAAACAGTTCCAGGCGTTCATGGCCCTCATCAAGACCCTCTCGCGCCGTGTCGAGGACGAGCAGACACGCAAACTACAGGAGCTCGCCGGCACACCCAATGGCGCCACTGCCGCGCCCAACGAAGACTTCCTCGCCTTTGGCGGCGTCACCGGCACCGCCTTCGACAGCGGCTCCAACGGCGCAACGGCCGACGACTTTGAGGCGCTCGTTAAAGGCAAGGCCACCGGGAGCAGCCCCAACCCCGGTAGCAACGGCTTCGCCAGCTGGGACGCGCCCCAGGCCAACCCCGTGGCCACCGCCGCCGCCAAATCGCCCATAAGCCCGCAAGCTCCCGCCTTTTCCTGGTCGACACAAGCACCGGTCAGCCCTGCCGCGTCCGGGGGCCGCTCGTCCTTTTCGCCGCAGCAGCAGCAGGCCAGCTTCCGCACCGTCACGCCGGATCTCGCGCGGTTCGAGCCCATGGCACCATCCTCCACGCAGTACAGCCAACCGCTGCAGCCTTCGACGTCATCCTTTGCGCAGCCCGCCAGTGCTACTACACAGTCCACGTCGTCTTCCATAAACTGGGGCGCCACGGCCGCGTCGACACCCAACCCCTGGACATCGACGAGCGGCGTCAGCACGCCCAACTACAGCAACATGGGCGCCGGCACCGCCAGCATGGCATCGTCCATGGCCAGCCTATCGATTGGCGGCGGACACCAGCCGCAACGACCGCCCCTGCCAAGCCAGACGACATCGTTTTCGCTACCGCCGCCGCCGGGCGCCGGAGCGAGCAAGTCATCTGCGTTTGGCGACATGCAATCGAGTAGCGCCTCGGCGTGGGCGACGAGCGGCAGCAGTATGGGTGGCATGATGGCGCAGCAGCAGCAGCAACAGAGGACGATGAGCGGTAGCGGGATGGGCATGGTGAATACGGGTGGTGGCACGAATGCGAGCGCGAACGCGGCAGGGCAATCCAAGAGCGGCCTGGACAAGTATCAAAGTCTGATATAGATGGAAGGAAAGAGGTTGGTTGGGGTTGGTTGTAGTCTTGCACATAATGAAGTTGAAGAGTCAAAATCAAAAGATACAACGTATTCTGCTAAAGTATTGCGCTCATTTTGCAGGTCGAAAGACAAGAAAGCAACAAGCAACAAGCAAGTTGCGAGATTTCATGCAAATGGTGTTTATTCATTATGATGATCTTCTACATGCGAGTCTCCCCTTTGTGTCCGGTAATGTCGATGACAAAACTCGAGCTTTCAACTTTCAAATTAAAATCGGTAGTACACAATGAACATGTCCGCTTGTGTCCATCCCCCGCAGACGAGAATCTGAGCAAAGATTAAGACATGAGGTAGAAAAAGAAACCAACAATGGTGTATGTCGACAAGAGAAGCAAATGAAAAAGCCAAGAAAAAACGCTCACAGAATAACCAGGAATCTTTCATTGTGAAAAAAAAGAGAGAGAGAGACAAAGGGGAGGGGTTAAACCACTGGCACGGTTAAACAGATGACGGTGTGACGGGCTTGCGGGCGTCCTTGTCCTCTTGCTCATCCGCCTTCGCGCGATCTTTATCGCCATCATCTTCATCATCGCTGTCGTCGACAGTCACGACTCGGCGAACCTCAAACATGTGCTGGCTCTCGAAGCCCGACTCGGTGCGGACGTCGATGACCTGGTCTTGGGGCACCATCTCGTGGACGAAGGGCCAGCCAAGACGACGGCAGAGCTCGGCGACGACAACGTCACAGTCACCGAGCAGGTCAATGTCAAAGTTGATATGGGTGACGGGCTGGCGCGAGACATATACTTGCGGGATATGCGGGGGCAGCCAGCTGACAATCTCGGAGACGGGAGTAACCTTGAGCGAGGTGCCGATGACGATGACGAGGTCGACCTTGTCGCGGTCATTTTCCGTCAGGCGTCGCGAGAACTCGTCGGGGAGGGCCTCGCCAAAGAAGGTGATGTCAGGCTTCATGACGCCGCCCGTGTTGGGCGTGTCGTACGCCGAGGAGTGCTCGTCGGAGCTGTCGTCGTCGACGGACCACCGACGACGCTTCCGCTCGCTGGTACGTCGGCGCTTGGCGGATGAAGCTCGGTTTGCTGCGGCGGCAGCGATGGCGGCCTGGTTACAGCGAGGACACTTGGGGATGATGCCGGCGCGGATGTCAGGGAAGATGCGCTCGCCGGGGCACTGATAGCCGCACTGAACGCAGGAAGCGGTGCCGAAGGAGCCGTGGCACTGAATGAGTTTGTCCTTGGGGACACCAGCCTTGATCTCAAGGTTGTCAATATTCTGGGAGTAGTTGGTAAGGAGCTTGCCGCGCTGGTGCAACATGGCAATGAACTTGTGCGTGGGCGTGTAGCGCTCCGTGGCGGGGATAATGTCTTTGGCGACCGAGTAAAAGATGGACGGGTCTTCCTTAAAGACGTCAATGTCAAACACCTCTTGCGGGTCGTTGAGGCCCAAATGGGCAAGCTTGGAGTACAGGCCAGTGCCCTTGGAACGGAAGTCAGGGATGCCAAGCGACGTGGAGATGCCGGCGCCAGTAATGAGGATGATGTTGGAACTCTTAGCGATTAGGTGTACGGCATCCTCGACGGTGTTGTAGCGGGCAATCTTGGCGCGCTTGGAGAGCTCGCGGGTGATTGCCAGGGACAGAAGGCTGTAGTACGACTCATCGGGTTCGCCCTCAAGGAACGCCGGTGGCTTGATGTTAAAGGCGGAGAGCAGCTTCTTGGCTGTATAGCGGCCAGCGTCCACGGTCCGCTGGCAAAAGACAGCAGGGCCCTGGTCGCGAAGCTCTCTGCGGAGACGATTCGCCTCATCTGGAGTACAAGTATCGTTGCTGTCTGCAGGGGGTGTCTGTCAGCGGGGTCGAGTGACAACAGGGTGATGATCAGGAACGTGACAATGTAGCTGCATCGGCATGGTTTGCACGGTGGCAGAACAAGAAAACAGGCAAGAGGCAAATTTTTTTAGGGGATAACTCACGACTATATGTTGACGAGGAAGCTGAGCTGTCCTCAACTATGGCTTCAAAGGTATCCTCAAAGAGCGAGTCTGTCTCCCATGAATCGCGCACATCAGCCACACGTTCTTCCAGGTCAGCGAGAGATACCTCAATGGCGGCATCCTTGAGTTGCGCCGCAGTCGGTTCAGGGGGCAGTCTGTCGAGGGCGTCGGCATGTGCTCTGCGATTAGGCAGCTTGACGCCTCTCGCAGCGCCACGCTTAGTACTCATGGACGGGAGCCGAGAAGCTGAAGTTGCTGAGGCTCAAAGGCAGCTTCCGCAAGGAGGTACAATAGTTGCAAGGAAGTTGTCGGCAACTAGTTATCGAAAATGCAGAAAACAAGTGGCAAGACTCAGTTGTTTGGCAGGTGCAGAATGTGATGAATAAAGCCAGAAAAAATCCAAAGGGAGCCTGGTGCTGGGATTTTTTGTGCCAAACGGTCTCAGGCCGTGATAAAAGTGGCCGGGTAAAGAAGGGATGATGAAGGAGCAAGAGTTTCCTTGGTGTGGGCGGCGGCGGCGGCTAAAGTCGCGAGTTCTGAGGGGAAGGACGACGACGAGCCAGCACTTTGCAATGCCTTGCTTGATTTTCCCTCCTTTGTGGCTGTTTGATATTCGGTAGGAAAGACTACCGGTAAGAAAAAGTGGCTGGGTGTTAAGTAAGAGAGCGAGCGACCTTCCAAGTGGACGAGTTGCTACAGCCCTAATAAGCAAGTGCGTGCCAGAATGTCTTGCTTGTATAATAAACCCGGCGTTGTGGGAGAAGAAGGAGAGTGCGTTTGGTGATGGCGGGGATGGGGGAGTTGGGGCCGCTCGATCAACTCGCATACAGTGAGAAAGAAATTGGACGAGTCGGGTATTATAGCCAGGTGAGGGTTGGTATCTGTCTCACAACAGGGCAGATGGAACGCCCAGGTTGTCTGTCAGCTCGTAGAGCCTCGCGCTCGAGTAGTATTTGTTTTTCCTTGCTCTGCGGCAAAACAAAGGTTTAGAGATCTGAGTTGCAGCCAGGAGAAAGAGGTGGGAGGGAAGTAGAGGTTACTTCTGTTTTTCGGCTCTGGTGTGTGTTACGGCCTTGCTATCCATCCACTTAGTCATTTTATCAGGACGCCAACGCGGGTTGATACGTACGTACCTTTGTATAGATGTGATATGATGTGTGCGAGCCTATTGTTGCCTGTCTGCCAGTAGCGTGAGGCGCGGTCTGAATCACGATGTTTGCACGGATGCTATGGGGGAAAGGTGGATGCTGGCGATTTTAGCTATCTCGTGAATTTCTCGGGCCAGCAGTTGGTCGTTGTCGTTTGTGCGAGCCGTTGACGACAACGTTCCTCTGCCTGCAGACCAAGAGGAACAATCCCCTCCGTCCCAGGCTGTATCGGTGGTATCACAGATCACTGGCGGATTTGTCGTGTTTCAACTCAGTACAGACTAGCAGTAAGAAAGAAGGCGAATGGCATCCAATTGTGATCGGTAAGAAGGGAATATATATATAAAAATAAAAAAAATAAAAAAGGGCCAAGTCGCTGGCTGGCTCGACGAGTTGCGCCAGTTCTTGGTGATGAAGGTGCAAACGGCAGGAGAGAAAGAGGTTGTACTGCGAGGCAGAAAGTGAACATGCAAGCAAGACACACGAGCCAGCCCAGCCAGAGATACCACTATTACCACTATTACCACTGTTACCGCCCCTCATAAATCTTCAGGTGGGCGGCGGCCTGGGTCTAGACTGACCTGACCGACCATTAGGCCACCATGACAAGCTCATCAGGCGTCAGCATGATAAATAATCCTTTCCTTTTACTCACAGCGCAGTTTTTATCTCCAATGTTCTATTTATCAACCCTGTCAACTAATGCGCCAGAAATCCATTCGGCCAAAGTTCCGCCTCAGCCTCAGGCCAGGCATCAGCCAACCACCACTCAATGCATCGTATTATAGACGGGAACAAACCTTACACATACTAATTGATGGGCGTTGTTAATATGTCCATTCCTCGCATCGATATCGTGGTTTGCTCGAAAAATCCGCGCCGATGTGCGTGTCGCGGAGACAAGCCGCAGCTCAGGGTTGATACCACCATACCAAGACATGGCTTCTTCAAGCCGACTTGAGCATGGAGAACAAGGCATCGGGCGCAGCAAAAGTTAGAAAAATTGAAGTAACCTATGTCTCCTTCCTAAACACACGCACATTGCAATCGAGGCGTCCCTACAACCAGAAATGGAGAACTCGGAGGGCCTCCCAGCCTCGTCTAAGTTGACGACACATGGAAATCGGACACTCGGAAATACCCAGCACTTCACCATGGCGATCTACTCCGTAGACAATAAAAGAAGATCGGAATCCAAACTGTACATCATAAGACCTAATTATTCTGACACGCACGTCATCGTCATCCGAACCGCAGCCTGCCATCCCGGCGATCCCCCATCGCGTAACTTGAAAGTACACGCACAAGCAAACACAAAAACACACACCGCCACATACAACCCCGGCACCAACAGTTGGTACTCGTAGGCCTAGCCAGAGAGCAAGCAGTTGGCCAGCCAGGAAGAAGGCGAGCATCGCCCACGTCGTGGCATGGGCAGAGCGTGCCCAAGGAAAAAGCGGTAAACGGTCCTCGCAGAGAGCACGAATCGGCCACCGCAGCGACAACAAGCCAACTGCTACGCCGTGCAATGGTGAAGCTGTAGGTAAGGAACGAGGAGGAGTGAGTGTGAAGCGCGTTAGTCGTGCTCTTCTCCAGCGTCTGGTATAAATTGGTGGCCAACTGCGAGAAGGTCCAGGTGTGAAGCAGTCATTTTCAAAGTAAAGGCCACTGAAAGAAACGTCTTTCTTCGGAGAAGAAGGAACTGGGAGAGTGGACAAATCAGGGCACCTGGCTTAGCACAGATTATATATATATATACCTATCAAGATCAGTCATACACATGTACTCGTATATTTTGCTCGCCAGCCTTCACTTCTACGCTGCTAACATTCTAAAATTCAAAATTGTGAGTTTTACTATTCCTATCTTTTGGTTCGTCTATCGGATAAATATGCAGCCCATGGTAAAAAAGACACAATAAAATAACAGACTTCTGCTGATTTAATCCAACGAGTCTCTTGTACTCCGTACTCGACATGATGAAATGGTATTTAAAGAAAAAAAACCCTCTATAAAACGTAAACGATTGTGGGTCGCTAAAGAGCAATAATGATACAAGCGCCTTATGTCTCCGTCTTGCTGTTCTCGTGTATTGCCCCTGCCCAGTTATTTTTTTATTCATTATTCGCATTGTTTCCAGTCTCCTCTCGCTCGTCAACCGATCGTCTTTCCATAGGCTGCCATGCTGCACCAATACCAGCAGCCAGGACACCCACCGCGACGACAGGCGCGCCGACCTGCGAGTTCGATCGCGATCTGTTAGATCTTGATCTATGTCTCGACTCTGGTGTGCCGGGGTGCGGAAAGCTATTTTCACGCACAGACGTCTGCGTGGCGTTCACCGAATTGGAGCGCGAGTGTGACGGGCTACGAGAGCGGTTGATCATCTCCCTGGGGTGTTGCATGGCGAACGTGAGGGTGTTCAGGCGGCCACCCTTCACGCGACGAATAAAACTGAGATCAGCATAGACATCCTGCAGAGGCTCCGGATACCTGCCCATATCTTCGTCGGAAATGGTCACGCCGGGAATCTTGCTGGAGCGATTCTTCAGGAAATTCGGAACCAGAGCCACAATCAGCGAGTCGGGTATCAGACGGATGATGATGCCGACGGGGATGGAGAGAGAGCCGAGAACAATCGCAATAGCCCACATGGTAGGCGACTGGTAGTTGGCAATCTGGAACGCAGCACCGCCAACAAAGATGATGAGGACTTGACCACCACACATGATGGCGCTGATGGCAATGAAGAACCAATTCTTGGTCAGGCCCTCGAAGATGTTGAAGTTGTTATCTAGGCGGCGGTTGTTCCACTGATTGAATATTTGCATCCATACGAAGGTGTTGAATACAAGAGTCGCCTGCTGGTCCGGCGGAGGGATATCAACCGGGCCAGGCAGCGGAAGAATGCCCTTCGGGCTTCCATAGTACAGCACAAAGGTGATGACAAGCTGGTAGATGGCCTGCCCAATGATCATCTTCCACATGGTAGGAGATATGATGGATGAGCCCTTTCGCTCAGGTTTGCGGTCGAGGACGCTGTCCTGGGGTGGATCAGTGGCCAAAGCGAGCGCCGCAAGCGTGTCCATGATGAGATTGACCCATAGCAGTTGCACAGCGCTCAGGACAGACTTTCCTTCGGGGCTTGAGACGGCCGAGACAAAGGTGAGGACGACAGCAGTGATGTTGACCGTCAGCTGAAACTGCAAGAAGCGCTTCACTGCATCATTAACTGCACGACCCCATTTGAGGGCCTTGACAATGCTAGTAAAGTTATCGTCCATGAGGATAATTGCAGAGGCCTCTTTAGCAACTTCAGTTCCTGCAATGCCCATGGAGAAACCCACATCGGCAGTTTTGAGAGCAGGTGCGTCGTTGGTACCGTCACCAGTGACAGCGACAGTTTCGCCCTTTTCCTTGAGACGCTTGACAAGAATTCGCTTATCTTCAGGGCTAGACCTAGCCAAGACATGGAGTTTGGGAATGATTTCGGCTTGCTGCATGCGGCTCAGGTTGCGGAAGTCCGGCCCCTCCATCACCAAGCTGTTGGGCTGAAGAATACCGCACTCCTTGGCAATAGCTTGAGCAGTCAGCTTGTTATCACCAGTGACCATGCGGACCACAACGCCAGCGTGTTGACACTGCTTGACGGCCTCATAAACGCCTTCACGAAGAGGGTCTTGGATGCCGACAATACCAAGCAAGGTCATGTCCGCAAACATGTCTTCAAAGCTTATCTCATTGCTGTCACCGCGGCGAGCACCTCTCGGGGGCCAGGCATCAAAGTCGCGATAGCAGAGGCCGATAGTGCGAAGAGACCTGTTGGCGTAGCTTTCAATGACGCGACTGATGGTTTGAATGTTGCTTCTAGTCATTGGTGTGACTGAGTCATCCGTGGCCGGGTCGCGTAGGGTAGTCCTGCACTGAGCCAAGAGGATCTCTGAGGCACCCTTCACATAAAGTCTGAACTTGTCATTTGAAAGCTTGACAACGATGCCCATGCATTTGCGGCCCGAGTCAAAGGGAATCATCTGCACGGTGGTCGCACTTGCACGAACTTCAGCAACAGGGCCCATGCCTAAAAAGTCTCTAGCAAAGAGCAGGAGAGCCGATTCGGTCTTGGAGCCGATAAAAGTCTTTTCACCCTCGACTTCACCTTCAAAGGCCGTTGAGTTAAGGGCAACAGACTTGAGTAGCAGGTCTTTGACGGGTTCGCTGAGCTGACCAACAAACTTAGCAGGGGTGGTCTCGGCGCTGGAGTCCTGGAATCCCTCGACAGGCGAATCGGGATTGCTGTCGCGCCGTTTGGCTCCACCGAAGTGGCTGGTGGTACCAATCGTTCCAGAAACAATCTGCATCTTATTTTGCGTCAAGGTGCCAGTCTTGTCGGAGCAAATGGTGGTGGCGTTTCCCATGACCTCGCATGCCTTCAGATGCCGAACGAGGTTGGCATCCTTCAACATGCGGGTTGTGGCAAAAGCAAGTGCTAAAGTGACAGCCAGCGGAAGACCTTCGGGTACGGCAACGACGATGATAGTAACGACGACAATGAAGATTTCGAGGAACGATTGTCCTTTCTGGGCGGGAGTGACCTGAGGTGGGAGATGGGGTAGGCGGACAAGGAACTGGATGAATAGAACAATGAACAGGAGAAGACCAGCAGCACCACCAAGTTTGGCGATGTAGGTAGCGATGACGTTGAGCTTGGCTTGCAATGGAGTCATCTCAGGGTCTTCATTGAGAGCCATGAGAGTCTTGCCGTAGGAAGAGTAAATTCCGGTAGAGGTAGCCATGTACGTTCCCACACCCTCCATAATGCGAGCGCCCGATTGGATAAATGGATCCATCTTCTTCAGGCTTTCGTGACCTTGGATGGCATTGTAAACTTCATCACCGGAGCGCTTTTTGATGATATCGGATTCACCAGTCGTCTGAGATTCGTCACACTTGACATTGAAGCCCTCGATCAAGACACCATCCACAGGAACGAGATCGCCCGGCTCAAGGTGAATGACTTCACCAGCCATGACATCAAAGACCGAAATTTCAGTGGTTTTTCCCGCGCGTACCACCTTGATGAGACGATCTTGCTTCTTCTTGTTTAACTTGGCAAACTGACGTTCCTTGGAGTAATCATTGAGAGAGCCAACGATGACAACAATAGCAATAGCAACGACAATGGCAACGCCCTCGACCCATTCAACATTCGCCTCACCAGGTTCGTGCTCCTGGCCAAAGGTCTGGTAGAGACCAACACCAAGAGATATGACGGCGGCGACGGAAAGCAGAATCAGCACCTTGTCGTTGTAGGTGATCCACATGAGTTCGAGAAGCGATTTACCCTTTTTCACAGGGAGGCGGTTGTCGCGAAACACACGATAACGATCAGCAAAAGAGTTGTCGGCCTTGCTGGCTTTGCTGGCGCGCGTGTCGGTTCGCTCTACGACCGGCGATACTGTGTCAGAGCTCTCGGTGTAGGCCTTAACATTTTTGCCAGTGGCGGTGGCTTCTTCAAAGGAGACATGGCCGGATAAATGGCTCTCATCCGGGTTGAGGCCGGACTTGCGATCGGTGCGAAGGCCCTTTTCGAGGCCACCGAGGCCGCCGAGCTGATAAAAGGCCGTGAGGCTCTTTGGGTTGAACATTTTGTTTAGCTGGCCGGGGGTAAAGGCAAAAGGATTGTTGTCGACTTCAAAATCCTCTTCGGTACCGACGTCGGGTTTCAAGGCGGTATCATCCTTCATGATCTTCTCGTTGCTCAGCGATGAGGACTTGTACTTGTCAGTCTGGGTCGAATTGGAAGCGACTACCGTTGTTTCGCCATATGAATGTATTGATCTGGTGGCGTCTTCAGATTCAAGAGAGTTTTGGCGGGGACGAGCATCGCCAGAAGGAACGGAGAGGAAGCCAGCGCCTCGCTCACCGAACCCGAGGACGGGGCTAGAAACATTGTGCGGGCTGGTAGGCCGAATATCTCTGTCAAATGAGGTATCGGTACGGAGATCGGGACGCCCGACGTGGTGTGTGAAAGAAGGGACGGGCTCGCCAGCCAAAGTGGTCGGAGAGGTGGTATCATCGTTGGCTGGTGAGGTGACATTTTGGGCGGGTTGGCTGTCTTGATCTTGGGTCATGTCGGCGACACTGGCGGCGGGACTGACAGCAGTGGTGTCGATTGTGATGGTAGGCCTGTAGCAAGGAAAATCATGTTAGTAGTTGAGAGGACGGTGGCGGTATTGGACCAAGTTTTATGTCAAAGAAGCCACGGGAGGGAGCCTATGTGGCGAGTCGTCGAGAGGGTACGCACGCTCTTCGCCTACCAGCGGGTGGTGGCGGCTCGTTATCGCTGGAATCAGGCATGGCGCGAGTAGGTTCGGCGGAAAGAGGCTATGCTACTGGGCTGTCGGTTCGGGGTGACGAGAGTCATTGGTTGAAGGAGAGCCGCGGCGGGAGAGAAGAAGAAACTGGCGTCAACACAAGGAGCGGAAACAGTATTCAAGCCCTGTCGAGGCAATGGGTGAGAGGGAGAGAATATGAATCGACGTCAGAGACCTAGGCAATCATGATGACCACGAAGCAGGTGGTAGGTTGGACAATACGTGTTGAAGGCAGAAGGACAAGACCGGGGAGAGGTGAGCGGGAGGGCAAGTGTTGAAATGCCAGAAGCCAAGAGGCGTACCAGTAGCTTGTATTGGCAGGTGGAGATGGGACGGGCTGTGGTGCGGGGGGGGGGGGTGTGCGATGTGGAGGGAGGAACGGGGCGGCGTTGAGGGTAGAAGTTGGCGGCACGAGTAAGTGCCTGTTTGTCAAGAAGGTGATTTGTGGTAGCGGAGGTGGAGGCGGTTGTGTGGTGCGAGGGAATGAGGTGGCGATGGAGTGCCGACAGAGAACCTTGGCGAATTTGCGTCAAGCAAGCAAGCAAGCAGGTCCAGCCCAAGCCAAGCAGTGCAAGCGACGAGGCACTAACGTTAGCAGCTCCCAGGCACCTGTGGTAGATCAACTGCTAAGGCCGCAAGACAACCCATGCCAGGACCGGGAACGCTTAGCGTGAGGCAGTGCTCATGCTGGTCTGTAATTGGTGGCTTGCAGACTGTGCACCCCCCTGGGATGTGGGGAGTACCTACGGGCAGGTTTATCAGCAACGGAGGACAGGATATCTGGGTTCTTGGGCTGGTAGGTAGAGGTATGTAGAAATCTAGGCAAGAGCAGTGATTCATTATTCGTGTGGGACAAGTCACCAAGTTGATAAGAAATACTCGGTGCACGCATACGGTAGGTGCGGCCTTGAGGAAGCGGGCGCTTAACACCTTAACTAAGACAATGGGCTGAATGCACGTGTAACACCTGCAGTCCGTCTTGGGCACCTACTGGAGATATTCATAGCGCACGTACATAGCCGCTCTACTGCTATCCTACAGGAAGATCCTCCCCCTATCCCACTGAAATATCTCCATCACCCACTAATACCCTTTCTCCTCTTATTTACTCTGATACGCACAGTATTTGCGTATGTATTGCAGACAGACCATTTAATAAGTACCTCAGTGTGACAGCTTGTCAGTTTATTTATTTATCTCGTTTTTTAACTTTTTTCTCTATGAATCGTTGATGCAGCAGGGGTATTTAACAAGGAGCTTTCACCAACCGTTTCTTATTATTATTTGCACGGACCAGCGGGTGGCCGTCAACATTGTTTGCCGCGGCTTCTGTACGGCATCTGTCCGTACGGATACTTGCTTCTCATATCTCAGTTCGGCAGGTATTCTATGAGTCTGCATCACCGGTACTTTTGTTTGCACACTGATATGTCATGGCTCCCAACAAGCAGGCCGGAATCCTGTGCAAACACCAGTGAATAGGTAGCAAGCCAGTTCCATGGAAACATGCTTCAACGGAGTGTGAGTGTGCCTTGCTTTACACCCCATCAGACAGTCACTTCACCCAACTCGTCATCACTCTCGTACTGAGTAGTACCAGGGCAAGCATTTTCAAAGAGCCAAAATAAATCAAATCACGGCACTCCTCGTCGGCCCATCACCCCATCACCCCATCTATATGTCGTCGCACCAAAACAACGTCACTAATAACTAACTACTGCACAGCCAGTCCCTGCGCCAGCCTTGGTGCGGTGAGTGACCGGTTGCAACTTGCTGCGGCCCAACTGCAAACGCATGACCATCCATGCTAGATCTGGCATCGCATCTTGTCCGCACTATTTGAAAGAGTAAAAAAAACTTGCTTTTTTTCCCTTGTTTCCACCCATCCTGGCTCTTGTCTATCTCTTGTCCCGTCGGGTTGCCATGGTCCACGGCACGCAACCCTAATAACATCCTGGGCAGAAACATGGCCCTCGGCATTCCTCAGGCCGTCAAGGCTGGTATTGAGCGAACTTGGCTTTGGTTTCTAGATCACATCTCAAGCGTCGTTGGCATTCTGTAATTTTTTTTAGTTTGTTCCTAGGGCGAGTTTTTGCAAACTCGTTTATCTACTGTCGACTTGTAGCATGCACCTGTGATCTCCCTAATGACATTAGCGGATGGTCTGGACTGACAGATTTCATATGCTACCAGTGGTAGAGTGATCCTCGTCGAACTCGAGACCCCTATTGAGGTTAGAAGGAGGATACCAGTAATCTCTAATATACATACATTTGTTTGAATTTTACATGCTGCATTTTTCGTGCAAATACTTTGGCTGTAGCCGCCATCTGTTGATTAGCAGCACTTGGTCAGCGGGTCTTGCATTAGTGTAAAATCATTGGATAACAAAACGCCACCAGGAACAGGGAGAACATTCAAGTGCCATCTTACCAGGTTCTTATACCGAACATTTATTGGATGGCTTGACTTCCCGAAACTACTGTACAGCTGCGGTCACTTGTGGGGTACTGCAGCCGACAATCGTCTGTACCATCCGTTGTCTCCTAGTCTGAATCATGACTGAGAAGTCTATTCGTGCCACAAGTCTTGTCCTAGTTAGTTGCTTCATACGATTCTCTCTGAGTGTATTAACTTTGATACGCATCCGCCTGACTAGTCCACAGTGGCAGTGCATCGCCAGCCACGTGGTATCTGCTACTATCCGTGTAGCTTCATGTGTGTCTGTCTAGGTGCCGTGTACTTGGCGGCCTCCCATACATAATATTGACAAATCTTACTTCGTGATGATTTCCATTGCTGCTTGCATTTGAGATTTTATTGAATTTGAAGTATTTGGAGCAGCGGACTTTGAATCAAGTCTAGACATGTAGGTTCTAGCTCTTCTTCTCAAACAATTTATCGACAGTGCCTCGAGTCACTCTGCTCTGCTGGAATTTCAAATATTGCAATCATACTGGCTATAATTACAGTAGGGTCATTTCTCAGGTCTATACTAATAGTAAACTAGCCCTGATACATGTCATGATAACTTCGGTGCTTGTAGACACTCAAAGTCTCTGTTGGCTATTGCTTAGTTGCCCACGGCACCACCACCACTGGTACGCAACATGGTTGGACATAATAACAAGTACTAGTTACCAACAGACACCCAAATAAAATACACAGCGCCAAATAACTCGGCGACTTCATTCCTTGTCGAACGCTATGCCTCTCGTTTCATACCCCCTTGTGTAAGTTGAAGGTTAGCAGGGGCCGGCTAACACTCGCTCGGCTATCACGTCCCACAGCGGCGTCCATTTAACTTCCCCAATATTGAGGCGAAGCACCCAAACGATCCATGGAAATGGCTAGCAGCCGTTAGCTCCCATGTGTCACGTCCCGGATGGCAAATTGAAAGGGACTTTTCAGATGATCATGGACGTGAGTCGTCTTGCCAAGTCGGGAAGGTAGCCAGTTGGGCAAATAGTGTCCGCAGCCCACTGGTGAACTGTCCAATTACACAAAACGCAGGCTCGGGTAATTGATCGGAGACGTTGCTTTTTATTTCCATTACAGTGCATCATGTCATTACCATTTACTTTCATCCAAGGTCTGCTTGATACCTAGCTTACAGGCCTGTAAAGGGCCTGTAGTTGGGATGTATAGAATAATAGCACAACTGCACAGATCGACTATTGCTTCATCAGCGCGGACCGAGATGCTCGTCTTGTCTTATTCTGCAAGCCATCTATTAACCTCAAGGCTTGTTAATGCTAAGCTGGAGCTGCAGACCCATCCAACCCCGCGAGCTGAATTCGCATCAGCTTCATACTTCATGCACCACCAAAGGCAATAAGGCACACAGTCACCAGTCGCATATATTCATGGAAGTTCCTGTCGGCTTTCGTTTTTGTCATTTTGGTTGAGTCTATTTTCTCATTGCTGTAGCACATCGCACAAAAAGCCATTCTTGCTCCCTACATTTCGTGCCGTGGTTTTCTGCAACCTCCTCGTCCAACCACGTAAATAATTCGGGCTTCCATGCGCCAGATCGTGTCACTCTGGCAGCGGTATCATCCCACGGGCGGGGTCGAGCGGTTGAATGCAGACTATTGGGCCTTTTGTTTTACACAGCCTCCTTCACAAGCCAGGGTCGCATCTGCAAGCGCCATTTTGGTGTGCTGCTGTTGCAGCAGGATGGCCACACTTTTGCAGAGATGATTAATGGTTGGGATAAGGATTGGTGGAGGTTCTGTCATCAGGATCGTAGCATCTGCTGCTAGGTATGTCCCCTCTTGGTTGAGAGCTGTTAATTAGCGAAGGTGAGACATGCTTGTTATTCAACGCTCCAGCTACCCTGTACCTAACGCGCAATCTTTATGTCGCGATGTTTTGCTAGACTTCTTGGTGACTTAGTTATCTTGTTATGATCAACTTATTCTTGTCAATCTATGTCTAATTCTGCTTTTCTGTACGTGTCTTTTGTTCTGATTTATCGATTGTTGAGTTGTTCAACCACCTCGGGTCCGATTCGGTAGTCCAATACTAACATTGTCGCCAACCAACGTACAACAGCAACAGTGTAGACCTGTGTTATATTCGATCCTCGAAGATGTCAGAATATACAGTGAGGGAAGTCCAAAGTACCGCACAGCAAAACCGGTGAAGTAATAACAAGGCCTGTAAGTTGCGCCTTGGTAGTTGCTCATCTCGTATAAGTGACTGCTTGTGAGAGTTGGGCGTACGTGGGCCATCCAATGCCGCAACAAACACCCAGATAATGCACCAGTCATTAACTCACCCAATCAGTTCCTTCGCACTCTCATCTCAATTCCCAGCATGGCAAAATCAACAACATGGCATTGATGCACGCGCCATCACCGCTAAATGGAGAGCTGTGGTGGGGTCGGACAGGCACATATTGGCACCCCACCAGATATTTTTTTTGGTGCGCTGCGGTATCGCGCGATCACCACGAAAGACCCTTCACTACCATCTGTTTTCTTATTGAACCAATACATCTTGCTGTCCGTCACGAATATACCGTCTACGAATTATCCCTACCCAGCAGACATCATGGAAGCAACCAGCCAACAACAACAGCAGGAGGACGTTGCCACCTCCAAGCGCATCTATCTTGGTACGCGAACCTTGCGAAACGCAACAAAAATATTTGTCTCCTTCCCCAATTCCCGGCTGACTCTTTCGAACCGTTAGGAAATCTCCTCTACTCGGTCAAGCCCGGCACCATCGAGGACATGCTTCACGAGGGAGGCTTCGGCAACTTTGAAAAGATTCACATCTCCGTCGATCCCGTCAGCGGCCGCAACCCGGGCTACTGCTTCGTCGACTTCCCTGACAAGGCCTCGGCCGACCGCGCCCTCGAAACCCTCGACGTCTCCATCGGCGGTCGCCCCCTCAAGGTTCGCCCCTGCGAGCCCAAGAAGCCGCGCGCCTCGACCGGTGGTGCGCGTTGGGGCCGCGAGGGCGGCAACGCCGACTCCGGCTCCTCATCGCCCGCGCGCAACAACAACCGCAATGACAACGGCCAAGGCTTTAACCGCTGGGGTGACTGGAACTCGAACCGCGACGGACAGCAGCAGCAGCAGCAGCAGCAGCAGCAGCGCGGCGGTAGCGACAGGAACGGCCCCGGCGCGGCCCTCAACCACTTTGACGAGAACATGCAGGAGGAGGGCCGCAGGCTGTTTGTCGGTGGCCTGGGCAAGATGATTGACCAGGAGCACAACCGTGTCGAGATGGAGTCCATCTTTGCAGAGTTTAAGCCGTACGTTGTATCCTCACCTTGAGCCTTGCGCGGGGCTTGGGGCAGCGGTCATCCCCCCCTGCAAGTGTACTGTCCGACATGTCTGCCAAGGCGGATTATCTCAAAAACGAGAGATCGAGCGCAGTTTGGCCGAAGTCAAGAGAGAACATGCACACTTTTGCACAAGGCACAATGTAGGAGAAGCAACGAGCTAACAACCTTTGTCGTAGGGCCGCCATCGGCAAGCGCATCACTGCCCGCCCCGACGACAGCAAGCCCAGCGGCAACCGCAACTTTTGCTTCGTCGACTTTGACACGCGTGAGGAGGCCGAGGCCGCACGCCTCGCCCTCGACGGTATCGAGCTCAACGGCAGCCCCATCACGGTGCGCACCGCCCGCCGCCAGCGCGAGCAGACGATGCCCAGCAGCTACCGCCACGACATTCAGCGCAACGGCAGCGGCAACGGAAACAACAACGGCGACGCACCGGCGGGTGGCGCCCAGGACTCGCCAAGCAGGGGCTTTGCCTCTCGTGACTGGCGCCGTCGTGCGGACTAACTTGAAAAAAGCGAATGACACAGAAGGGACGAAAAAGACTGGGGGAAGAGGCGTTAGAGAGAGGGAAGAACCAACGAGCTCGATATTCAAGGCTCCGAAAATAATCAGAGGACCTGACGAGGACCAAAAAAAAGGGCAAACCACAGCGATATTAGCCAACACGGGTTTCTTGCCTGTGTTTCAGCGGCAGACATCATCTTCGTTTGATGTTTTATATTTTCTTGGGGTTTTCATCCATGCCATTAATGATGTAATGAAGAAGAAATGTGACAGGGGTGGCCGCAAGCTGGGCTGTTTGGGATATGGTTATGGACAATGGGAGGATTATTGTTTTCCTTTCTGGGCTCGGGTACGGATACATGATAGAGGCTGCGCATCGTACACGATGTGGCCAGTATGCATATGGCACACGGCCGCTGGGCAAAAAGGAAATCATTCATACCAATGCAGGAACTTGGTGTTTTGTTAACCAACAGCATGCAAGTTGTTCCACCCGAATTCATGCTCTCTCAACAGTGACCCGGCCGTCTTTCCAACTCTCACCAGACCGGACAACCCGCCACACCGGGCACGATTTTCCCATGATGACAGTTCCATGCTTATCCACATGTTAGCTAGTCAACTTAGTGCTTGTCCATCAACGAGCAGCACTGCCTCATCGTGACTTTTCTACAGACACGCCCATGGGCCGTCGAGGCTTCTCACCAGCCGGACTTGCAAGCCACGGCGTCTCGCTCGACCAGCTCCAGAAGCAATACCAACAACCACGAGCCTCCACCACGACGGTCCTTTCTTCACCTCACTTTCCCCATCCGTCCATACCCGCGCCGCGCTCACTGCAACCTAATCCTCTGCACAGCCTCAATCACGAGCTAACAGGGCGAGGTGGAGAAGGAGAAGGTTGTTAACAGAGCCTGGAACTATTACTAACAGCATTGATACTGGACAACGACAATCGGGCAGCTTCTTAATAAACTGGCACACCCAAGGTATTAGTTTTGGTAGCTGAAGGGCGCAATGATCTTTTGCGCGCGCGCCCCGTGCGGAAAATTCAACTCTTGGCGCCCGGCCCCCATGGGTCAGATATTGCGAGCCCGGGGGGCGTGTCGACAGCAACGACGCACACCATCTTGAAAGGGGTCCCGTCATCGTGCGGCGGCTGGGGGGCGTTGAAACGGGCCGTCCTGGTCAAACATCTCATGAGGAGGCTGTGCAGAGTGCGACGAACCTTTCATGTCAGAGCTCGTGGGATGCGGCCAAGGCTCTGGGAACTCAACCTCACTCAGCCTGCGGGATGGGAAGCAACACAGCCCTCCGTGCAGCTACTTCATAATTGCCTCGTATTCTGTTACCACAATTTCTCTGCCAGCTTTCTCACGGGTCATCTTTGTTTCCCCACACGCGAATTTAAGCTTGTTCTTGGTGGCCGCACTAACGAAAACCTTGGCCACAAATCGAGCATCACATTGACATGAGCAGATAATTAAGACAGAAACACAAATGAATCAAAAATTCATGTAAACAAAGACATTGTCTTCTTTGGAGGCCTCCGGCCATCGAAAGTCTACTAAACATCCATGCCCCTAGGTATGAGCCGATGTGGAAATTACACCAGTACAGTTTAATTTCCAAGTAGCGGCTAGATCTGAAATCGCAAGATTGAGTTGCAACAGGGAACGAGACCGCCCCCCCCCCTCCCCCCCAATGTAGAAGTTGTGTGTAATACATACATCAGAGACAAATCGACGTCACTCATCACCGCCGACCCAGGTCAATGTCCCGTACGCGCACCATGTCCTTGCGCTCCTCCTCATCGCTCCCATCCCGCGACAGCGCCTCCTCGAGCCCGAAGAACGGCGCTACCGCCTCCCGGACGACCCCCCTCCAGAAGCCGGCCACGATGTCCGTCTGCTCCGCGCCGGTCTGCTTGAAGTCCGGGAAGGCGTTGACCTCGAGCAGCCACGCGCGTCCCGCGGCGTCCACCAAAAAGTCGAGCCCGAACGCCTCGAAAGCGTTGGGCAGCGTCTGGAAGTGGAAGGGCGCGACGCGCGCCGCGCCCTCGAAGATGTCGCCCGTCACGGCGCACACCTGCGCGAAGACGTCCTCCTTGGCCGCCGCCGTGAGCCCCTCGAGCGCCCAGAAGGACCGCACCGCCGCACCGCCGGGAGAGTCCTGCAGGCACGTGTTGGTCAGGAAGGTCGCGGGGTCGTCGGGAGCCTCCCACGGCGCGCGGTAGGGCTTGCCCGCGAAGAGAGCGAGCATCGGCCGGTACACGTGCACGCGCAGGCTGCCCGTGCAGAGCACGTAGGTGCGGATGTGGAACTTGTGGCCGCCGTCGCTGAGGAGCAGCGGCGGGTGGATGTACGGCTGGGCGACAAAATGCCGCAGGTGCGAGGTTGTGATGTAGTCCTTTTCGTCGTCGTCGTCGTCGTCATCACCGCCGCCCTGAGGAGTCTGCTCCTCACGCGCCGCACCGCCCTCTTCTCCCTCCGCCTCGTCATCGTCGCTGTCCGGCTGGTTCTCCTCCCACCCGTCAAAGATGGCCTGCAGCCCGTCCATCGTGCTGAACAGACGGATGCCCTGGCCCCTGTCGCTCATGCCCGGCTTCAGGATCCACCACTCCTTGCTCTCCGGCGGCGCGCCCTCACCCAGCGCATCGTTGCGAGCAAGGCTCTCGCGAAGATCAAATGCTTCAACGAGAGCATCGTCCAGGAACTCGGCGTAGTCCACCTCGAACGCCTCGCTGCGCTTGACGTGCGTTTTGAGCACAGAGTCTGGCCGCTTCGCCACCCAGTGCTCGACCGTCGTCGAGAGGTAGTGCTTGCGGTTCACGGCCCTCCTGATCATGTAGCTGTTGATCAGGAACGATCCGGTGTGGGAGTGGGCTTGGTCAAAGTCGAGGGCCTCGTATTGCATGATCTGTAGCGCCCGCGCATGCGGCGGCGAGAGCGCGCGTGACGCACAGAACGTGCCGTCGTCTGAGACCGGAACAGTAGTGATTAAGTCGATCGAGTCATCAGGCAGAAGCGATTTAAGCGCAGACACAATTAGTGGTTGCACATACTCATCTTCGTAGGCAACAAATGCTTGAATCTTGTCGGAGCTGGTGCTGGCTGATGGTTTCTCTCTCAAGGCCAATATCGTGCTTTCTTCCCGCATAGCAGGCTCTGAACTGTAAAAATCTAAGGGTAAGAATTGTGTCTATCGATGGAAAGTATGTATAATATACACGCCACGTCATGTATGCACGTCGTCTTTATCTATTCCTACTGACTCAGGAAGATCCAGACTTCAAACCGCCCAGGGAACCATAGCACACACAAAATGAAAAACGCACTACGATCGTAGATGAAACATGACTGGGTCAACTCACAAGTTCAGCTCCTGTTGGCCGTTTCCTACACCAGCCTGTGCGAAGTTCGCCTTGAGAGGCGTCACGCTAATGGTTATGTCAGCGGTGAATCACCACGATGCCGAAACCTTGAAGCATACCTTGTGTGACCTTCCTTGACCACCCATCCATCAGACCCGGGTCCGGCCTCCTCTACACTGGTATAGACGTCGGTGAACCTGGGTGCCCATTTGAAGTGCTTATGTTTGTGCCCTTTGCAGTCGGTCTTGGTGGTGTCCGGAGCCGCCGCCCGTGACAGATCCCCCTCTCGGATCCGGGCCTCCTCCTCGTTGGGATCCGCGGCGGTCGGGTCGTCAATCTCCTCGAAGCAGCCACCGGCCTGCCAGTAGTTTTGCAGCATCTGGGTGAGGTACGTCTTGCGGGTGTCGACGGCCTCGACGAGCGGCACGTTGACGCTGTACAGGTCCACGCTGCCGTCCGTCGGCCACTGCTGGTACACGCCGTTGATGACCTTGACGGCCTGGCGGCACGCAGCGTCGATGATGACCGGGTCATGGTTGCGCGAGAAGAAGGCGAAGCTGACGGCGATGGCCCGTACCTTGCAGACGGCCGCCTCGAGCGCGCCGCCGAGCGTGCCCGAGCTCAGCGCGAAGATGGCCGTCGTGTTGCGGCCGTAGTTGGGCCCGCTGACGACGAGGTCGACAGGGCCCTTGTCGTGGAAGAAGTGGTTCAGGCCAATCTGCACGCACGACGCCGGCGTGCCGTCCACCAGGATCCATTCCTCCTCGCCGGCGCCCGAGGCGTCCGGCCGAGCGTTGGTAGTACCCTCGGTCTCTTCCCCGTAGACGGCGGCCGCCGGCCGAAAGTACAGCGGCCGCAGCGTCTGTCCGATCATGTGCGCCTTGCCGATCCATGAGCGCTGCGAGTCGGGCAGACACACGGACACGGCGTGACCGGCCGCCTTGAGGTGATTGACAAAAGCGTGGATATAGGGCGACGCCTTGGTCGACGGCGGACCGTCGTCGTTGGTGACCAGTATATGCATGACGGCGGCGCGACGGCTAGGCGCAGACTTTCAATATGGTAAATTGTGGCAAGAGAACATGAACCGTGCCCTATAATGGTCCCATTTGGCGACTGTAAGACTTGCGAAGAAAAGGTGAAATCGGCAAATGCTGGTGATGGAGGGGCATCTTTTTAACCCGCAAATGGCCACCGCCCGAGATTGGAGACGAAGGTGGGGCAACACAGCCGAGCTTGTGACGGCCTTCCTGATGGTGTCAACGTTTATCACTTGGGGGGGGGTATGGGTTTGTTACGCTGCTAGAATTGTACCTGTAATTATAATCAGAGGGGAAAAAGTCGATTGTTGCGAAAATGTGCATATCTTAGTTGACTAGTCTCTAACATGTAGAGTAAAATAGGTAGTTAAACAAAATGAACTCCCCCAAACGCCACAATATCCCAATATGCTTCCTTTTCTTCAACCGCTCAGTTTCTTAACTAGGTAACAGACTTGTAATAACATGGAAGAATTTGTCGAAGAGAAGAAGGAGGAATTTGCTGACCGGCGTAGAGAAATACGCGGCAGCATCCATCATTATAAAGAAGTAATGCTCATGATGCAAAAGACCTATCGATTCCCAGGTCCAGTTGTTTATGCGCGAGTACGCTTGGTAGATGTCGAGGCAAGTCCGTCGTCACCGGCTCTTTTGGTGGGTGCTGGTGCCTTGGGCTCCTTCTTCGTGCGTGGCCATGAATCGAACAGGCTTGATTGGCGCCTCCTCTTAATCGGAGTCTCCTCGCTTAACAGTCTGTTGGATGATCTCGTTGTCCTCCTGGTCTCGGGTGGAGAGACTGGTGCGTATCTCGGGGCCTCCGGAGTCTTGGCAGTCTCCTTGCCGGTCTTGGTGGGTGTTTGGGGGACGGGGTTCGCAAGACGTTCCTTGACTTCGTCTTCGACATCAGTCATTGCCTCCTCGTCTTCAAGCTCCTTCTCAGATAGCTCTTTCTTTTTGGGAGGGAATAGTAGTCGTGGCTTGACGGATGCTCGAGTAAGTGGCTGCCTGAGACGAGCGTCCTGGTCCAGCTCCTCCTCCGCATCATCAAACCTGCGCCAGAACCTTTTGCCGCGGAAGACGTACACCATTCCATCCTCGCGATGCATAGCATCCTCGAGGGACTGGGAGCCCTCGCCAGGAATCGCAATCTTCCTACGACTGCGACGGGGGCTGGTCGCAGTCTCTTGCTTGGAGGGGCCGGCAAATGGGTTGGCATCGCTGGTGTCGATCTCGGGAATTGAGTCCTTGGTATCAGTGAATATTTCAATGGGCTCATCCCCCCGCTTGGCGGTAAAGCTATCCATGCCGAGGCCCGAGTAGGACCTGGGCTTTCGCTTTGGGGCTGAGTCGTCGCTGGAAAAGAGGTTGCGAGCAAAGGTAGCGATTTCGGCGGCTGTTTTCTCGTTGGCAGGCTTTGATGGAGTTTTTGAAGGAGTAGGAAGCATGCCGCTGGAGCGAGAGGAAGACCCACGACCAGTCGAATTCACTGCGTTGCTGGTGGGTGGGAGATCGAACGGCCCAAGCGCCGCGGCGGCGTTTGCAATGCTCTGAGCTGTGAGTGAGCCCGAAACACTGCGACGGCTGGTATCAGCGGGGGGTTGGCGTCGCTTGCGCGGTGAAGGGACTGGCGAGGCCATGGCAGCGTTGCTCTGAATGTTGGCCCTTCTAGTGCTGCGCGGAGAGACAGGAGGCTTTTGATGGGAGGTGGCAGGTGAAGGTGTGCGATTGCGCTGAGTTGAGCTTCGCGTGGAACGGCTCGGTTTGGGGTAGGGGTGATAGTCGTCCTGATAGCCGAAGCGAGGTGCTGAGGGGGCTTGCATTTCCCGAGTCGACGGTGGCGGTGACGGGGTTCTGACATTCATCCTGGCGGCCATGACACGTTGTACAACTGCGAAAAGGATATAGCGCGGTAGCTGTGGGACGTGGTTGCAAGGCGAGGCAGCAGATGCTTTTAGCTACTCGCGTCACTGTCTGTCGTGTAGAATCGCGGACTCTCGGTAGGGTCAACACTAGGGAAATAGACCAGGAGATAGCAGCTTAACAAGCAGCGGCAGGATAAACAGCGCAGGAAAAATGTTCAACACTAATAATGGCTGTAGAAATGCAATAGGAATCGAGTATGGGATAAGCCGTCCTTGTTGTTGTGAGTTTTTGTAAACACTGTTGTTGTTAAACGATGTAGGGTAGAAAAGGTGATGCGAAAATCTGGGAGAAGGAGGTTGATGTTCTAGTACGGCGACACAAAGAGGAGGCTGGGGCAGAGGTATGGGGGCTCGGGCGCTGGACCAGCCCCCTCTGCTAAGGTGCAGTGGTAGAAGCGGGGCCCACACGTGTCGTGCAGCTTATTTTCTACACAACGGCCGCCCGCGACGCGTCCCATGCTAGGGGAGGGCGCGTTATTTTCGTGTAACTAGGGCGTCTTTATTAAAGTGGTCTCATTATTAGGCGGGCCGATGATTATCCTGGTCCTTGGATACAGGGATCCCTCAGTACCGTAGTAGCACTGACGGCGCTACGCAGACGCCTGTAGATGCCGAAATCTGTCTACTGGGGACGCCGAACGACGCTGTACACCGTGCTAGCATCCGACAGCTGCAACTTCAACGCCGCCCGACAAGGATTGTTTCGCACGTACAGTCATACCATCCTGCGATCAGTCACCATTTGCCCTGCCCAGCTGCTGTCTCCTCTCGCCAATCAACTCACCAGCCATTATGGCTGACGACTCAGAATACACAGAAACCGACATCTGGGCGTCGCCCCAGCAAACCCTCCCACAGAAAGCACCCAGGACTCCCAAGACACCAAGGACCCCGCGCACGCCAGCCTCAGAAGGCCCCGATCGCGATGCGCTTCTGCGCAAGGAGCTCGAAGGAGTGAAGAATGTCAATGAGGCCATAGAAGGCCTCATTGGTACACTTGAACGCGCCGGGGGCAACATGGATGTATGTCTAGACCCCGCTCAAGCAACCACCCGCCCATTCAACAGTTGACAATCCCGGCATCTAGGTTGTGACGCAGACGGTAAACAACGCCTCTACTCTCCTCAACACATGGACCCGAATCCTTTCCCAGACAGAACACAACCAGCGCCTGATCCTTGACCCCAGGTGGAAAGGCACGACGGAGGACCTTGCCGAACAGGAAGCCGAAGCCCTCCAGCGACAACAAGAGGCCGAGCGCAAGGCGCGCGAGGAGGAGCAGCGACGCGAGGAACTGCGCCGTCGCCGGGAGGAGGAGGAAACGAAACGCAGGCTGGCACCCGGCACCAGGTCCCTCCGTGGCACAGCGAGCACGCGTAGCACAGCCTCCAGCATCCGGGCGAGGGCAGGATCCCGTATCGGTGCTGGCTCTAGCTATTTATCCCACAACACATCCAGCTCTAGCAGTCGTGGAACATCGGGTATCGGGCGAGGAACTGGCACAGTTAGAGGCACCCGGTCACGAGGCACAAGATAGTTGCGCGGAAAGAATCATCTTCAACATCATAGTACATTTATTACAATAGATACCCATGCCCTTGTGGCATTTACTTCTTCGTGAAAAAAGCGCTTAGTTTTTTCATGCCCGTCGTGTTCACTTTTTTCAAGTCCCTGACGCCTCGGCTTTCATTTGCCTTGCGTTTCTTGTCTTCCTCCGCCTTTCTCTTCTTTTCTAGCCGCGCTTCGTCCTCTTCCTCGTCACGCATCCGCTTTTTTGAAAAGTCAGTAGTGGGTCGCGTTGCCATTGCCTCCTTGCGCAGCTTGTCGAGATCCGTGACATATGTGTAGAGCGGCTCAAAGTCTACCTTGCAAGTAGTCTTATCAGCTAGAGACGCTTTCAATCGATCGCCGATAACCTGTGGGATGCAACTGGCACAAATAAAATCAAATGCGACTCGGAGACGCTGGAGCTGAATCACTTCGGTCGATGCTGTCATGGCGGTCGTGACGGCGACATCTTCCTCGGAAAAGGAGGACGCTGCCGTGGACGGCTGCGATATTGCGCTAAAAGTCGACCCCTCGGTCGCAGTACTGAATTGAGACTCGGCTGACTCCGTCTTTGGCGTCGACGTGCCGGATTCCGCATCTTCGAGAGCCGTTGCGACAGCGGCAGCGGATCCAGCGAGGTTGCTTGCGCTGCGCAGCAGGATAGGCGCCTCGAGAGCTTTTTGCACAAACTTCTCCTCGACGCTGATAGGAAGCCCCCCAGAAGCAAAACGGGTAGCTTTAGAAAGTATGACCGAAAAGAGTTTCTCCTCGTTGACCCGGAACATGGTCTCGTCACCGGCGTCGACGCTGTCGCATACCGCGGCTAGTCTCGATTCTAGGAGCGCCTTCGTCTTGGGCCATTGCGCTACCTCAGATAGATTCGACAAATCTTCCGGCAGTTTATGAAGGTAGTCTTCGATTGAGAGAAATAAGCGCTTCTGGTCTGTTGAGGGTTTTGTTGCCTTGGCATCCATCAAAGCAGGCAGTAACAGGAACAAGGGGTCGACTGCCGTCGCGACGAACAAATCCGCGCTGGAGGCCGCCTCTGCGCTCTGAATGATGCCATGCTTCTCCTTTTCGCTGCTAGAAGATGCAATCAGCCAGCTGCGTGGCGCCTTCTTGGGCACAGCGACTTTTGTGAATTCGTAGAGGCCTGTCTCCGGGCAGGCTAGGTATCTCGATGGCCGTCCATTCTGAGGGTGTGGGAGGGAGACAATTCGGGCGTCTGCTGTCGCGGATCGCGGTAGAATAAAGAGTTTAGAAGGCTGTCCCGATTTTGAAGACAAGGCATATTTTGACCTGGAGGTAGAAGTTTCTTTCGGAGTGTCTGCCGCTGCGAGTTTCGAGGATCGCGTGTCTCTCATGATGGAAGCGTCGCGTGGTGGGCCGTGATGCATAAAATTAGGGAGTATGACGAGCCGAAAATTAACCAGAAAAAAGGTGATATAATAATGGCTGAAAAAACGCGAATAGAAAGAATTTTTGGATTGTCAACCGTCGCGTAGACGCTTGTCCTGTGTACCGCCCCGACAGCGTTGAATAGGCAGTTGGCTAAAACGCGCTTTACGCGTCTCCATCCATGCCACCAGCAGCCAGAACAGTGCGGAGCCCCGTTGCAGCGCAGCAAACGAATTGAAGTCAGCGTTGGAAGGGAACGAGCGAAGGGCGCTAAACCTCTTTCCCACCATCAGTCGTTTCACCTAATGCATATTGCTTTGTTTGCGGGCTTTGGCGATTTTTCTATCATTTACAGCATCATCAGTGTCATCGGTAGTAGCTCCCGTGTTTTATTCTTAGTGACTGGATACAGTTACGGGTCCATCTGAGTGTCGATAACCACTACTTTGGCTACGTGCCACCATCATACCCGTTGCGCACCGCAGCCCATATGCAGCCCTGGCCTCAAACACCCTTGCCAGGGCACACCTGCGCCGAGCAAAATGGCTCCAGGTATGTGTACTATCGCGTATTTCCCTGCTTTGATTCTAACTTGACGAAGGTGGCAAAGAACCTGAGCAACAATGGCCCCCACGATCCCCACACGAAGCTCTTCTGAGCACGCCGAAAGGCCGGGAACGATATCGCGAAATGCTCCAAACCTCGCCGAGCCCTTCGCCCTCTCGCGGTAATCGCCTCAACGTTGGTCCACCTTTGTCTGCAAGTGTCGGACTTGGCATCAACGAAGCTAGCGATGACGATGAAGACGACGAGGAGACTCTGCAGTTGAAGCTCCAGGAAATCCAGGCAAAGCTGCGGCTCAAGAAATTACAAAATGCGCGGGGAGGGAAATCCGGTTCTGGAGGCACAAGTGGTGGGAGAAGTGCACTTTCAGCCTCGCCTTCCATCTCCGACCGTCAGCAAATCCCGAAGAGCCCCAGATACAATCATGATGCCATCGAGGTCCCTGCGTCGCCAGTCCGAAAGCTCCAGGCCACGCAACCACAGACATCACCTAGCCGGGTGCTCTTGGGTATCGACAAGGGGCTAACAGCTAAAGATATATCTCTAAAGAGAGCCCCAAGCCATAAACGCCTAAACAGCGCACTGAGCTCGCGATCAGGTGGCAGCTCACTTGCTGCGTCAGCTTCGGAGGCTCCACCAGCTACCACATTTAGTGAGCGTCTCGCAGGCCTAAGAACGGAGGAGGCATTCCGGAAAGAACGGCAAGCTAAGATTCGAAGCGTTCGTTCCAATGCCTTTGGCATTGGAAAGGACGAAATGGATGTTTTCAAGAATGATGCCGTGGAGATTCCAAATGTTCCCTTGGCACCGCCTACGTTTACCCGAGACCAGGTTCTAGGGACCAATAAATCTACCAGTGGTTTTCTAGCGAGAAGTCGCACGATGCCCTCCGGCACGCTCACATACGGCGCAACCGATGGCCGAACGAATGACGCCAGCAAATCTTTAACCCTAGGTCCTACATGTGAGGAAGAGCAACCCTCATATGAGTTATACTCGAGCTTCCACCTGTCTCGAAGAATTCTCCCGCACAACGTCCTCACTCGCGGCGTATCCGGAAAGAAATCATACAACGTCAAAGACTTGCTGTTGAATGTCAAAGCACCGGACTTCAGCTTGCCTGATATCGAACAGGATATTGTCGTGTTTGCTATTCTGGCTAAGAAGTCAGAGCCTCGATCACGTATGCCAAGGGTAGGCAAGAAGGACGAGGACAGAGGCAACTATATGGTCATGACCCTTACCGACTTGGATTTTGAGGTTGATCTTTTTCTATTCGACAGCGGGTTCGAACGATTCTGGAAACTGAGCGAAGGCACAGTTCTTGCCATCTTGAACCCAAACATTATGCCACCGCCGCCAGGCAGACAAGATACAGGGCGCTTCAGTCTCGTTATTAACTCTGACGAAGATACCATTTTGGAAATTGGAATCGCTCGCGATTTGGGATTTTGCAAGTCGGTGAAGAAGGATGGCAATCCCTGTGGATCGTGGGTCAACAAGAAGCGAACAGAGTTTTGTGAATTCCACACAAATCAAGCGGTCAAGAAACAAAAGTCGTCGCGAATAGAAATGAACAGTAGCGGGTTTGGAGGGCCGAATCGCAGCGGGAAGTCAGCTTCTGGGGGTGATGAATGGAGCCCATGGGGCTGGGGCATACGGAAAAGGGAAAAAGAAAAGCCCAAGGAAAGGAAGGATTCCAATGGGAAATTCGATCGGGAGACGGGGACGCATTGGTTCGTATCGCGCTCAATGAGCTCAGCGGACTTGATCGATGGGAAAGACATGAGTCTAGGGGATCGGAAAGAACGAGCTGAGTTCTTGAAGAGGAGTTTGGAGGCAAAGGAAAAGGAGAGAGAAATCATGAATAAGCTTGGGCAAATAGGGAGCGCCGCTGGGCGAGAATACATGAAGCTCACTGGGGCCAAGGCGGCGACATCGGCCCAGGAGGCCGGCGGGAGTGAAATCTCGGCAAGGCCGCCCAGCACAGCAGACTCTGCACAAAGCCTGTTATCCCTAGATTTCCTAAGAGGAAGGGGGGCTGATCGACATATTCACTTGAGCCCAGTCAAGCGGAAACGCAACGACAGCTCGCAGTCTAGCGTCGTGACGACGACTAGTAACGGGTCATCGGCACTCGGCTGGGGCAAGGGTGTCAAGGAGAAGCTGTCGAGTATGAAGGCTGCGGGTGGTGAAGGGCAGCCTCCAAGGACGCGCTCGCCACGCAAGAAGACGCGTTTTGTCACGGAGAGGGGCATTCGCGAGGCTGGGAGAGAGAGCCTGGGTGCGGATCTATCTGCACGGCCGGGTATGGCAGATTTTGATGACGACGAGCTGGAGATTGTTCACTCGTGATACGGATACAGATGGGATTTTCGGAACTGGGAAAGGCTGGGCACGGGTATCAAGGCATTATTCTTTCTCACCAGAAACTGCATCACTGCATCACTGCATCACTGCATCGTTGGAGTAGCGTTTTCAGCATTTGTTTTGGTGTGGCGCCGGAAAGGTCTAGCATTTCTTGTATGATATCTTACGAATAACGCATTTAGAGGAAGCGGCTGCATCGTGTCCATTCAATCGATGAGTGTAGATTACGCACTCAAGAGTTTGTTGATTGATCGATCAAGACCGAGGATTGTGTCAATGAAGATGCCATGGGCCGGCAAGGGCGGTCAGCTGTGGCGCCGGTATGCCGACTTCTGGCGAACATGTTCGGATATTTACAAGAAACGAGACAGGTTTCACAGCATGGACATTCACTGTCCGGTGTCTGCGCAACGTTGGACGCGGTAGAAGCTATGCCTTGTGTCCCGTATACCGGGGCATCACTGTACAGGTCAAACGAGCTGAACACTGGCTGCTGGTCGTTCAGCGGCATTTCAGCGCATGCAGTGACATGGCTCTGACGGAGGGGGATTCCCAAAACCCGTAATTGAGTGTCGCGCAGAGACCTTGTGTGGCAGGCACGTCCCAGACGGCAGGAGCAGGTGAGAGAGGGCCGTTCATCTTCTTGACGAGGCACTCAGACAATGCTCACTTTCCATTTCCATTTCCATTTCCATTTCCATTTCTATCTTCACTTCCATTTTTTACCAAAACAATCACCTCTACATCAACCAGAATCAAGAATATATTTCCTCCAAAATCATGCTACCTCATTATCAATTACTCTTTGCTGCAGCAACGCTGCTGTTAACACGGCTCCCGACGATCACGGCCGCTATCATTGTGACGGGAGTCCCAGTCGCCTCGACAGCACCGACCGTGCCACCCAGACAAAACATTGTTGACCTTTATGCCAAAGGTGGACCGCAATGGTGAGTCTCAAACGAGACTTTCAGCCTCTCCATAGAGCAGAATCTGACTCTGGGTGTCAGGGATCTCTACATCCAGGCGCTCGCATCCATGCAGGCTACAGATATGACGGACCCCGAATCGTACTTTCAAATTTCCGGTATGTATTAGCAGTCATGCAACAGAAAAACAGTACTAATATGGCCTTTTAGCAATACACGGAGCGCCGGCCATGGAATATGACAACACAGGACCAAGGAAAACAGGAGGGGGTTGGGGCGGCTACTGTCCACATGGGGTAAGTCAATACGCTCATGATAGAAGCTCTGAGATATGAATTGACGTTGGCTAGGAGCTGCTTTTTCTCACATGGCACAGACCGTATGTGGTATTATTTGAGGTAAGTGCCGAGCGCCTTGATTGGGGGTTTGGCTCACACCTTGCAGCAAGTACTCGTGAAACGTGCCAAAGAGATCGCCATGAAGTATCCCGAAGAGCACCGTCCGACATACATCGAAGCGGCCGATTCCCTCAGGTCGCCGTTCTGGGATTGGGCTATGGATGGACGCGTGCCAGACAGTACTGTGCCGCAGACGCTGAAGATTACTGTCGCCGAAAATGGGAAACTGACAGCAAAGGACGTGGAAAATCCGCTGAAAACTTTCAACATTCCACAGGCAGTTGTAGACGGGCAATTCGGAGAGTTCGATTCGGAGCATAGAAATCGAGTATACCGATGCAACCAGGAGAATATGACCTATCCGGAGACAGCCAACGAATTCCTCCAGCGCGGCAATTACAAAGCAAGAATGGTATGTGACTGGTTGTGATCTTGACGAAAGCTAAGAACTAATGGAAATAGTACGACACGTTCACCAGGTCGCCCACGTTTTCGCACTTCTCTAGCATGGATACCAGAGGGGAAAGTCTGGAGGCCATTCACGGAGATATCCATTGGGCTGCAGCATGCCAAGGACAATTCGTGTCTGTGGCCCTTACAGGGTTCGATCCTTTGTTGTAAGTGTCTTGTGAAATCTGGCGAAGAAGTGGCTTACATGTTTTTTAGCATGCTGCATCACACCAATGTCGATCGCTTTTGGGCGTACTGGCAAGCTCTGTACCCTGACGATCAGCTTTTCCGTGACGAATACCCTGGATTTGGGCGATGGGCTACACCAGCCAACACGACTATCACGGCAAACTCACCGCTGGAACCTTTTCGACGAAGCGAGACTGAGTTTCACACATCCAATACAGTTCGGTCCATCCATGATTTTGGCTACTCATACCCTGGCTTGGAATTCAGAATCAAGATATCGAAAAACGAGCGTGAGGAAGTGACTCGAAGAATCAACGAACTAAAGCCAAGGTTCTCGAGGGCCTTGAGGGGACGTGAAGCAAACGCAGAGGGGAACAGCCCACGCCCGATGCTGACAAGATACTTTGCTCACCTGAGCGTGGAGGTATCCGAGGTTGAACGCCCATGTTCAATCGAATTGTCCATGAACGGCACGTATGTGGGCAATCTGGTATTGTTGTCGATGCCTGAGTATGGTGTTGTCTATGGCGAGATCCCCTTGGACTCTCTTGACAGCACATTGCAAGGCAAAAGCATTACAGTTGTTGTGGACACGCTTCAGTCGTTTCTGGAGATTGAAATTATCAAAGTAAGTTGCTTTTGTGTGGTCAGAATAGGAGCATTAAGAGTTGTGCTAAGTGAAGAATGCAGGACGACGGGTCGGTTTCTCTGGCACAGGTTCCGAGCCTGGGTATCCAGATTGAAGCAGCTCAGGTTGCAGCGCCACGATCAGAGACAGAGCTTCCGGAATATTCGGGTTCCCAATTTTTCAAAATTAGATTGGGGAGTAGATTATAAAAGCAGATTAGCCTGACCAGCGGGCGTAGCTGTCTGGAGTCCCGGTATGGGTACGGGCCAGCTCAAGCTGTGGCGTCATTGCCACTAATATAAGCTTGTATCATTAGTTTGCTGGGTCTCGTAGACATGGGAAGCTCTGTTTACAAGTATTAGCTAGACCCAGAATAGGAATATCGTTTTATCATCTCCCTGAAGACTTGATACCCAAGCAGAGCGACTTCATGAGCTGCCAGCTGCGGTGGTGGCTGTTTACAATGGTCGATGATGGGAGCAAGTTGGATAAGCTGCACGGGTGGCTAGACCTGGCAAGCGGGAGGGAGTGTTTTGGAGGGGTTAAATGTTACGCAACAAAAATGTGACAGCTATTGGCGGCCGCCTCCGGAAGGGCCAATGGTCAAGTTCGGGGGCGGAGGGCGGCGATACTAGACGGATTGTTAGGTGTGGCGTAAAGGTGACAAGAGGATACATACCAAGATGGCGCCAAGACTGTCAATTCCATGAAAGGTAGTTGATATAATCATCTTACGAAGTGGTTGCACTTGACCAGAGGACTTGGTATGTACTGGTAGACTGGAAATGACCAACTTGCCGGCTGTCGGTGTCGAGCGCCGAGGAGTAAGGAGACTTTTGATGACCAGGATTTGACCGGGCATTGACCTCGACGAGTTCTTGTCCACGTGGTTTGTTCGGGATGGATGCACGCGGCTCTTGCAGCATGGACCACACCGGGTTCAATAGCGGCAGGTCGCTTGGGCCGAGCCGGGCTGGAGGGAGAGAGGGAGCCGGGGGGGGGGACGGAACTAAGGCCAGGTCAGGTCAGGTTAGGTAAGAGTTTCATGGCGGCGCGCGGAAGTCCGGGAAGCTGTCACGGCCGGTTGATGGGCTTGGATGATGTGTGTGGCGGCGCAGGAGAAGAAGGGGGCTTGGGGGTTCCTCTTGTGGAAGCTGTAGAAGCAGAGCCGCAGTTGGCCCCCTTCTCTTGCGAGGCGAGGAAGAGAAGAAGGGTTAACTGGGCCAAGTGTGTGTTTCGATTTGGTAATGACGAGGTGAGAGAATGAAGTGAGGATATTGTAGTGGGGGGTTCACCAGCTTTCTGACTTTTTTTGACTTTCGTCTACCTAGCCACGCCGGTTTATATTGATTTCGTAAAAAGACCCCGTGCAACTTGCTTTCTTTTTTTTTTACAACTTAGTGTTATTTTTTTTTTCTGACCAGATGCCTATTTTGCACTATTATCGGCGATACTAACCGAAAGTAAACTTTGGCAGCCAGCTGGCCGGGTTTTGTGCTATTCTTGGATGTGAAGTAGTGAGATTTAAAGGACTCCAGTGTGGGGTGGGATGTAGCGGACTAGTGGTAAGAAATGGATGAGGGTACGTATCGGTAAAGAAGAAAGGGAAAGGATGAGATGGGAAGTGAATTTGAGATGGCAGGGCTGGCAGAGATCGGGCATGTGATGGATGAATAGACAGACGATGGTTTGGTAAGGCGAAGAAAGAAGGCGGCTGTGCAAGTACATACATGTGCATCTTTGAAACACGCACCCCGCAGAAGATGTGCTGTGCGTGCTGGGCTGAGCTGAGCTGCAACAGGAAATCCGGGGATTTGCATTGGGGGGGTGATGTGTCAGTGTAGTGTGAAGAGGGCAACCATAATAAGAGGTACAATAGAAAGAGACAGAGATACGTGGATGCAAAGTAATGCCCATGATAGCCGAGGCTGCCCGTGCAAAGGCGACGGACGACAACCCCATGTGACTGGTTGTAGTAGGGCCGATTTCCTGACACGCCCTAATTTTTGTTACTGTCTCGACATGATACGTACGTATCAGTATTATTAATAAAAGGCAGAGGAAACAAGGACGTATGTCGAGGCCATCGCGTTAATAACAGGTGACTAACGGCGAGGTTTAATTGTGGTGGGCGATTGGTAGTGTGCATGTCATTGTACGTAATGGGGTGCGCAGGACTGACTCGTCTTTTTGCATTGATGAATCGCAGGGGACTTTTGGGGGGGTCCGGTATTGTGCGGGGAAGTCGGGAATTATTGTTAGTTGCCTGGTAATTACCTGCAGTCCCTTGAGTTCGTTTATTGTTCAACAAGTGAACGATTTCAAGGCTTAACTGCATGTGGCGAATAGAAGGAGCAAGGAAGGATTATTGTACACATTATTAACGGGCAGTTGTCATGGAAAGCAGCGGGCTGATAAAAGACGGCGCTGAGAGTGGCCGTAGATAAGGAACGTGGCTGACTGGGGGCCTTGGCTGTGGGGGTTAGCCTGGTCTCTTGAGCGTTCTAGGTAGGTTGAAAAAGTATCCGTAGGGAAGGGATCAAGGGAAGTGGGAGTTGGGAATTGCATGAGGCGGCTTGTTTTGTTGCAGCCTTGATTAATGGATTTGTCGAGACTGTCTGTTGTTGACAAGTGGTATGACGTGGATGGGGAAAACAAGGAACAGAGACGGCAGTGCAAGTAGTAACTATCCCGATGATGGCTGGAACTGCCGCACTCCTGGTCTACCTACTGGAGGCGGCAACGGCAAAATGAATTCCAACTTGCCAGGGAATAGATTTGTCCTCGCCTGCATGTAATGTCGTCATGTTTGACACTTGACACTCCCATCTTGGAACTACAGTATGTTTGTGAAGCTATACCGGCATGTGCTGTCTTCTACATTTACAGCTTCGTTACTGGACGGACCTCACCAGCCTCTTCAGCGCCACAGCCAAGCCACTTGGCAATCATTGAGCAAGCTTCTCCTCAGGCCACTCTCCCTATTCTCTGTTCATCAATGCATGCATGCATGCACAAGCAAACAAAACACTTCACTCCCTCCAATCGCTCGTCCCATCAACCACATCGGCGCCACCCCATCCCCCCAACCAACAAGAACTATACTATGTATGTACATACTTAGGTACCCTTCTCTATCACCACCACTACCGAATACCGCGACCAAGCACTAATAATAGGCTAGCCCTCCTCCACCGGCTGCCAGTCAACCGACGACGCCAGAGCCAGAGAGGAGCCAGTCCACGCACCGCGCTGCAAACTCCACCGCCAACAGCAGACGGCGGCGGATCGGCAGTGACAAAGGAAGTCGACTAATACCTCTTAATAACAAAACCACTCGTCCGGCCGCCAGGCGGATAGACGGCTTATTAACGACGCCTCTCCTCATTCCGCACCTTGTCCCTCCTAAGCCCAAACAGGTCAACGCTTCGCTCACCTCCGAAACAACGCTCCTCGGCCTGCTATATCCAGCCAGCCAGCCCACCTTCATTTTAGCCTGGTCTGGCCATCCCAGCTGCCCATCCACATTCCCACGCCTTCGCCCACGCCGCCCATAGTGCCTAGTTATGGCTTGATGCTACCCGATGATGCAGGTTGGTTTTTCTCTTCTCTCTTTTTATTACCACGATTGTTCTTCTCACTAGCTGCCTGACTGCCTTGTTACACGGCCGCCACCGTTTCATCAACCTCTACCACAAAGCACTCACAGGCACATGCCGCGGCGTATTATCGGTATCAACACCCGAACCACCAGCCCTCCTCCTTCTACATCCGACTTCTTATATTGCGACTCTGCCCACACCCATTCCGCCCCCGTTGGCTTTCTACTCTTTCTCTCTTTCTCTTTCTCTCCTTCCCTTCATTCCTCTTCCTGTCATCCTTTGAATGATTCATCCTGCATCCTACTCCATCTCCTCATACTTGCCAAGCCCTTCTTCTACTTGACCTCATTTTCCGACTCGTCATTTTCTCCCTCCTGCTGCAACTGATGCTGTCAGCAACCTCCCATCCCCAATCCTCTAGGAAAACAAAATACAAAAAAGAAACACTATAGGCACGCAGAAACACAAAATTGACACTCTTGGTAATCATTTACCGCTGTAATCTCTGTTCCTGTGTGTCAATGCCTTCAGGTCCTCTGTCTCTGCCACATCTTACCACGGGCCATTGTACCCGTCAAGCACATCCTTGCCGCATCTTCTGCCGCTCCGCCTCCTTGAAGTTTGTGCCAAAGAACAATCCGATCCCCAACCGTTAGACAAGCTCGCAACAAAGTCATCGAGCTTCAGCCTCAGCTTCCGGTCTCCCTCAACTCTTGCGAGAGCTTCCGGTCTCTGTACAGGCTGAAAGAGCCGCTCACGTTCACGCACGCGGGCACATTTTCAGCTCCTTCACCGCACTCGGCAGGCAGGCAGGCAGGCAAGCAGGCAGGCCGTCTTGGTTTCAATAGACGAGCAACCCGCCAGCCTCCAAGACACATCCATCCTCCGATACGCTCTTGTTTTGCTTTTCCTCGACCCTGGCTTCTGCCCTCCATGTTAATTATGGCGACCGGCAATACAAGCAAGCCATCCGCGCCCATCAACATCACCCAAAAGAGACCCTCTGCTCAGGCTCAGACGACTTCCTCCGGAGACCACCGCCCACAGTCGAATCGAAGTCGCTTTGAACTCGGCCCTGCCAGCCTACAGGAGAGGGTTGGCTTCGAACCCGTGACCCGGACTTCATCCTCGTTGGCCGTTGCGATGCCATGCCAGGCGTGCCAGCGTTTCGGCTTGCGGTGCGTCACCCGCGACGACAAGGACGGCTGCACGCCCTGCCTCGAGGCCGGCGCCGAGTGCTCTCTGCTCGCCCTGAGCCCCCAGTCCCGTAAGAGAAAGCTGCACGGCGAGCCGTCTGGGGAAGGCACCGTCAAGAGAGGGTAAGTTTGTACAAGCAGGCCCGGATATCTCCATCTCTTTCCAGGCCTATCTAGTCGGCGATTTGCACCGCAGCTAACCACATGTCCAGATTCTCCACGTCGGATCTGCACTCTCGGCGACATACTACCAACAGATATGCCAGAAATACCACCAGCGCCAGTCTCCTCGAAGACTTTGCCAATGTCGGCGGACCGACCAGCCTCGGCCGTACACTGGGTCTGCAGCTCGACCGCCACAGCCTGTACATCGGGCACACGACCGACTTTGAGCCCTCGCTGCTCAACCTCTCCGACTACGACCCCGAGAATGAAAACACCTTCTCACGCGGGTCGCTGCGTAAGGTCAGCGAGGGAAACAACTTCCTCCTCGTCTCGGACAGCACCACGCGCGGCTATGCGCAACAGCAGCAAGACGTCATGGCCGTCGAGGCGCTCGTCGCGCCACATGGCCGCGCCCTCATCGATCTCTTCTTCCAACGCGTGCACCCGGCGTTCCCCATTGTGCAACAGTACGTCTTCATTGAAAAGTACGAGCGAGACTATCAGGAGTTTAGTCCATCGCTGCTCGCTGCCGTCTACTTGCTGGCCATCAACTGGTGGAGTCATAGCCCGGCGCTGGCCGAGCTGCAGCGACCCGATACGGATGCGCTGGAGCGTATTGTGCGTAGCAGTCTAGCTGACTCCATGTGCCGCCCGAAGCTGTCGACGGTCGAGGCCGCGCTGCTGCTCGCGCAGATCCCCGGCAGCGCGCCGTGGGCATCGACGGCGCAGCTCGTCGCCATCAGCCAGGAGCTCGGCCTGCATCTGGATAGCTCCGGCTGGGACATACCGCCCTGGGAGAAGGGCGTTCGCAAGCGCCTCTCCTGGGCCGTCTACATGCAGGACAAATGGGGCGCCCTCATCCACGGTCGACCCTCTCACATTGCCCCGTCCAACTGGGCCGTCCGCGGCCTCACCGTCCACGACTTTCCCGACATTGACCCGGACGAGTGCGATGCCGCACAACAGGACGAGAACGAGACGGGCCGGGTCGTCTTCATGCGCTTCGTCCAGCTCACCACCATCCTGACCGAGATCCTCGACACATTCTACACGCTCGCTGCCATGCACAAGGTCGAGCACGCCGGCGCTCAGGGTGCCCAGATGGTGCTCGCCCAAGCCAAACCCATCCAGCTCAAGCTCAAGGAGTGGTACGCCGATCTGCCCGCATGCGTGCGGCTCGAGTCGCTCTCCGCTTCGAGCGGACGCAGCACTCCCTCCGCTGCCGTCGGGCCCGCCGGGGCCGCCATTCCTGGACAACAACGGCCGCCCTCGGCCAACGTGGGCTACCTACACCTGGCGTACTTTTCCGCCGAGATCTCGCTGCACCGGCGCATCGTTGGGGTGTTGAGCGCCTCACCAACGACGGTCGACTCGTACCTGGAGGACATCTGCCGAAGCGCGGCCAAGGCGCGGCTCATCTCGAGCATGGACTTTGTCAACCGGCTGTCACCGGCGCACCTGCGCGCGTTCTGGTACTTTGCGTCCAAGACGGGCTTCGCGCTCATCGGCACCTTTGGTGCGCTGTTGTGGGCGACGAGCCCTGGCCGCGAAGAGGCCGACTGGTACCGCCGCCGCCTCGCCGAGTACCGCTGGACGCTGTCTGTCAGCGCCAAGCAGCCCGGCCAGCAGGGTCGCTACCTGACGGGCTTCGCGATGGACATGCTGGACACCTCCACCGGCTTGCTGCTGCGCCAGCTGCCGGAGAAGCCGTCCCTGAGCCGGCGCCCGACGGGCGCGATGGACATGACGGGCCGCTCGCTGCCAACTTCGTTTTCGAGCTATGGAGGTAGCAGTGGTGGACTTTCCGTGCAGGGAGGCGGCTTTAGGGGCATGGGCGTCGCAATGAATAGAAGTAGCCCGCAAAGCTTGGACAGCGAGGACGACAGTGCGGTTAGCGATGATGAGGACGATTTGGAGGACGACTATCGTATGGCCTTGTAATTGCACTGATGCTTGAGGGAGGCCTCGGGCGGCATCTCTGGTGAGACTTCTTCAGTTTGACATAACGAGATAGAATGCATTATGAAAATACCCATTTGATTCCCGCGCAGCAAATCTGCCAGACTTGCTTGACAGTGCGCACAGCAGAGAGAGGTAGGGGGCGAGGGGGTGGTGCTTGCTCCAATGCTGAACTGTATATTCTAGGCCACCGGAAATAAATAAAGCAAAAAACCGCCGATTCTTCATCGGCACGCTATCAAACTCCGGTTTTCTCTTGTGCAAGGTCGTCGTCAAACGGCCCCATCACGGAGCTCTCATCAGGGGACGACCCCACCTACAGCTTGCAAAGCACATGAAACGTTCCTTCCGATGGCCCAGACGTCAGAGCGTTCCTTTTTTGTTTCCTCCAACCTGTCCTCCCGCGATCAGATGCTGGACATTTGACGACGCTCTTATCTCCAGCTCGTTTGCGTGCTATTGTATTCGGTTCTTCTTCATCTTGTATTCTAGTCCGACAACCATTGCCAGCATCCGTCCTCGCTCAACAAGCTCCCTGAAGCTCCCTCAATCTCTAACCCGCCCTCCTACTTTGCGTTTACCAATCTGACGAGAGACACAACCCGACACGAACACGCGAAACGATGCCTCGCAAAGCAGCCGCAGCACCTGCTGTTAGCCGCAAGACCGCCTCCTCCGCCGCGGAACCGAGCGTCGCGTCCTCCAAGGCGCAGTACGAGCGGGAGCTGCGCGACCTCGCCAGCAAGGCGCAGACGGACGGCTCGCAGCTCGCCCGGCTGACCGCCCAGTTCCGGCAGGTCCGCAGCGCCGTCACCTTTCTCTTCTTTGCGGGCTTCTTCGCGCACGCGTCGCAGCTCGCGCTCGCGCCCGTCTACGGCAGCATCCCCGCGGCCACGCACCACCCGCGCGTGCTCGCCGCCGCGGCCTTTGCCGGCTGGGCCGGCAACCTGTTCCTCGCGCGCACCCTGGCCCGCGCTGGTGGCGGCCTTTCGGCGGCCCGCCTGCTGCCGGTGGTCGCGCTGTCGGCGCCGCTGGTCCAGGTGCTGCTGGAGCCGCACAGCGCGGCGCTTGGCCCCGGCTGGGGCCCGCTGCTGACGGAGGTGCTAACGGTGGCGCCGGTGGTGTTGTTGGCGGCGGCGTGCGCGGCGGACGCGCTGGAGGGCGTGAGGGTGCCGCTGCTGCCGCGGTTCGTGGCGGACGCGCTGCCGGGGATGGGCTCGTGGGCGCTGTTCGCGGCGTTTGAGGGCCTGGCGCGCGAGTACGTGCTGCGCTTCGCGGGCCGGACGGAGAACGGCCCGGTGGCGGCGGCGGCGACGTTTGCGCTCACCCGCGTCGGCATGCAGCTGTCGCTGGGCGGGCTGATGGCGGCGCTCGCGCCGTCGGCGTGGCTGCTGCTGGCGGCGCCGGCGGTGCTGCACACGGCGGTGCTGAACACGCACGTACCGACGGCGCGCGCGGCCGCGGCGCTCAACGGCACGCTGCAGGCGCACGAATGGCTGCTGGTGGACCGCAAGGAGTCCAACACGGGGTACGTCTCGGTGCTGGAGAGCCGGCGCGGCGGGTTCCGCGTGCTGCGCTGCGACCACAGCCTTCTGGGCGGCGAGTACACGGATGCGGCGGGCGTCACCGGTGGCGTCGTGGCGGAGCCCATCTACGGCGTGTTTGCGATGCTCGAGGCCGTGCGGCTCATCGAGACGGAGACGGCTGTGGCGGACAGCGATGCCAAGGCTCTCGTCATGTAAGTTGTTCTCCCCCATGTCTACCATGTTATGGCTGTTAACTAGGTTCAAAAGTGGCCTCGGCATCGGGACGACGCCGTCAGCCCTGGTGGTGCACGGCGTCGACACGACGGTCGTCGAGATCGACCCCGTGGTGCACGCGTTTGCAAAGAAGTACTTTCACCTGCGCGAGAACAACGAACCCGTGCTGGCAGATGCTGGCCGGTACACGAAGAAGCTGGCGGACGACCCGGCGGGCAAGCGCTTCGACTACATCGTGCACGACGTCTTTACGGGCGGTGCCGAGCCCGTGGAACTCTTCACGCTCGAGTTCCTGCAGCAACTTCGCGCGCTCCTCACACCTCACGGAGCCATTGCCATTGTGAGATGCCCTCTCCCATACCTGACTTCCTCTCCCGACGCCAAATGCTGACCCTCTACACCTGCAGAACTACGCCGGCGACCTCGCGCTGCCCGGCCCGCGCGCCATCGTCCGCACCATTGGCGCCGTGTTCCCCGCCTGCCGCATCTTCCGCGAGTTCCCTCCCGACACGGAGTCCATCGCGGCCCACGGCGGCTCCGACTTCACCAATATGGTCATCTTCTGCAAGACGACGCCCGGCGCGCTGACGTTCCGCAAGGCCACCGACGCGGACAGGCTGAACAGCTTCGCGCGCCGCGAGTTCCTGGAGCCGACGCACGAGGTGCAGGCCGCCGAGTACCTGGCTGCGGACGCCGAGCAGCAGGGGCAGACCCTCCTCCTCAGGGCCAACGACACGGACATTGTGACGCAATCGCACAAGACGAGCGCGCGCGGCCACTGGTCGATCATGAGGACGGTGCTGCCGGGCGTGGTGTGGGAGAAGTGGTAGATGTGTAGGGAGAGATTTTCTATATAATTTGTATATACATTGCATGTACGTCAAGCCAACGGCCAACCGGTTTCGTCTCTCTCTCTTTTCATTATATACTATCGTCTTTGTTTCTACTTTTTCTGCGCGTTGATGGCATTCACCGCATACTCGCCATTCTCCTTGGTCGTCTCCCTCGCGTAGTCCGTAATGTACGCCGGCGGCTCCTTAACCCTGTTGTACGACGACGGGACCGGCTCGCCAAACACCTGGTGGACCGGCACCACGCCCGTCCACACCTCCCCCCTTAGGCGCTCATCCTCCATATCATGCTTATCATCCCCCGTCTCGCCGTCCCTCGCCTTCAAGCTGCCCGAGACGACGCGCACGCGCAGCACCGACGTGCTCTGCAGCTCCGCCTGCGTCGGGGGCAGCCGGGCGCCCTCCCACCTGCCCGGCACCACGCCGTCGGTCAGCAGCTTGAGCGCGTACAGCTTCTCCTCCGGGTCGGTGACGAGCGCGGCGTGGCCGAAGAGCACGACGGAGCGGTAGTTGTAGCTGGAGTTGAACGCGGAGAGGGAGAGGACGAGGCCGTCGACGTGGGCGGCGGACACGCAGACGGGGATGCCCTCGCCGGAGGAGGAGGAGGAGGAGGAGGAGGAAGCGGTGTTGAACATGCGGCCGGAGACATAGCCGTGGACGTAGAGGTCGAGGGGGTCGCCGAGGGAGGCGGAGGGCCGGGCGAAGGAGCCCATCTGGCCGATCATGGGGAGGGTCACGGGGAAGGGCGAGTCCGGGACGGTCATGGAGAGGTGGATGAGGGGCGAGGCGTTGACGAGCGCGTGGATGCGCTCGAGGGCGTAGACGCCGCGCTCGCCGTGGCGCTTGACCTTGTTGAGGGCGTCTTTGGGGTATTCGAGGTTGTGGCGGCCCATTGTGAGTAGCTGAGATGATGGCCAAAAAAAAAAAAA